CAATAAAAATAACTTTTAAAAGTAAAAAATAAGCTAAAAACTTTTATTAAAATATTTTTAATATAAATATTTATTATTTAAGCATTTTTTAATTAAATATTTATTATATAATATAAAAAAGATAATTATAAACTTATATTAAAGCTTTAATAAAATAATATAATTATTATACTTAAAAACTTATTTAAGGAATTTAATTATAAGAAAGTATTAAACTTAATTAAATATAATATCTTTAAGTTTATATTTTATAATAAAAAGATATATAATAATATATATTTTTTAAATTTTAATAATATATTAAATTAAAAAAGTAAAATTAAAAAGCTTTATAAAAAGTTATATTTTATAATAATTAATTATAATAATTATAATAAAAAAGAAATTCTTATTTACTTCTTTATTATTTAATAATTAAATTAATAACTTTTAATTATTTTCATATTATTTCTTTTTTAATAAAAAATATATATTAACTTTAAAATATTATTTAAGTTTATTTATAATTAAAATTAAAGCTTAAATATATAATATTTATAAGGTTATTATTAAAAATTTATAATAAGTATTTTTTTAACATTATTATATATATTATTAAATCTTTATATAATATTATTAAGTTTAATATATATTAATAAATAATATATTATAAATATTATTATAAGATATTAAGTATAATTATCTTTATTTATAACTTATACTTTTTTATTTTAAATAATAATATAAATAATTTTAACATTATAGCTATATAAATAAATAATACTTTTTTTATTATTATTTTAATATTTTTAATAATAAAGAAAAAAAAGATTAAGAAAGTAAATATTTAATATAAGCTAAAAATAATACTTATTTTTAAAATAATACTTATTTTTAAAATAATACTTAACTTTAATAATAATACTTAACTTTAATAATATAAAAATTATTATTATAAAGAATAATATTATTAATATATATTAAAAGGGCTAAGGTTTAAAGATTACTTTTATTTAAACTATCTTTCTTAATTAAAAATAATAATATATTAAGTAATAACTTTATAATGCTTATTTAACTTTTATTTATTAATTAAAAGTTATATTTAATTTATTTATAGCTATTTAAATTATTACTTTAAGTAAAGAAAATTATATTAAGCTTAATAAAAAGCTTTAATAATAAGTTAATTATCTTAAATATAATATATAATATATATTACTTAACTTAATTATAATTAAATTACTTATTTTTATTAATAATTCTTTTATTAATAATTCTTTTATTAATAATTAAAATTTTAACTTTTAAATAAGCTTTATTATTATTATTAATAATAAAACTTAAGGTAATAGCTTTATAAAATTAAATATTTATAATAATATTATTTATTAATTTTTTATTAAATATAAGAAAGTTATTAAAAGCATTTTAACTTTTAAGATTTATAATATAATTTATAAATTTAATATAAATATTATTTTAATAATTATTTTATATTAAATTTCTACTTATTTTAATATTAATATTATTCTTTTTATAATTTATATAAATTTATATTCTTTATATAAATACTTAATTAAGCTTAATTTAATTAAAAAAAACGCTTTATACTTAATTTAATAATATTTTAATAATTATATAAGAAATATAAAATCTTTAAAATTTAATAAATTATTAATAATTATAATTTAAGAAATATTGTTATAAAGAATATATTAAATAAAACTTTTAAGCAGCTTATAAATATTAATAAGATTATAATTAAAATATAAAACTATATTAATTAAAAATAATTATTTATTTAAATAAAAAGAAAAAGCTAAATTAAAACTTAAACTTAAAACCATTATTTTTATTTATATAATAATTAATAACTTAAGGCTGCGCTAGCCTTATATATAATATAAAGTAAAAATATTATATTATTATTATATTATTTAATAAGTTATAAATATAATATTATTTTTTATTTTTAAGATTAAAAAATATATTATTATAAAAATTAATAAAAAAAGGTAATAAATTAACTTAATTATAATAAAATTATAAAAGAAATTATTAAAGTAATTTAATCTTTATATTTATTAATAAAAAATATATTAAATTAATAAAAGTTTAATTTCCTTTTATTAATTATTTATAAATTACCTTATAAAGTAATATAATTTACTAGCTTTTAATTATATATTCTTTTAAAATAATACTTTATATTTAAAATTTTAATAATAATGTTTATATATTAAGAATTTTACTTTTAAAGATAATAATGCAAGCTATTTTCCTTATAAATACTTAAGTTATTAGCTTATATTTAATAAATATTTTTAATTAAATTTTATAATTTAATATTTATATATTAATCTTATATATATTTTTATTTATTAACTTAATTAATATTAAATAATTTCTTAATAATTCCTTATATTTAACTTTTTTTCTTTATTTAAATACCTTATTTATTAACTTTTATAATTTATTTTACTTATCTTTTTTTAATAATTAATTAATTTTTATTTAATTATAAAAATTAAATATAATTAAGTTAAAGTTAAATTAAATTAAAGTATATTATAAGTTAAAAATTAAATAATATTATTATTAATTTAAAAATTTAATTTAATTCTTATTTAACTTAAGCATTATAAATAATAAAAGTATAAGTTTATAAAATGCATTATAAATAAAATATTTATATAATAAAAGTAATAATTTATACTTTATTAATTAATATAATTAAAATAATTTATTATATATAATTATTAAAATAATCCTTATTTATTAATTATATACTTTAATAAAATAATTAACTTTTAACCTTTTAATAATAACTTAAGCCTTTTTATATATTTATTTTTTATAAATACTTAATATAATTAAACAAATATATATTTTTAATTAATTTAATTAATTAATAAATTTAAACTTAATAATTTTAAGTTTAATTTAACTTTTTTTTCTTATATACTTTTTAAGGGCATGCATTATAAGTAATTAATGATAAAGCACCGGCAGGCAAGGATTATATATAATAATATATAACCACCCTTAAATAATTTATAGCTAAAGAAAGGTTTTGCAGCTTATAATTACAACCTTTTTTTCTTTTATATAGCTAATTTAAATATAACTAGTTTGCTATTAATTAATACATATTAACTTAGCTAATAATAAATATATTAATATAAAACGTAATATATAAAATTATATAATATTAAATAATTAAAAATTAAAGTTATAAATAAAGATATTACATATTTTATAATAAATATATAATTAAGTTATAAATTAAATAAAAAATTATATTATATATATTATTTTTATATTATATATTATTTTTTTATTATATATTTTTTTTATTATAACTTTAATATTAAGTATATTTAAATTTTGCTTAATATTAAAAAATTTAAAGTAATAAATTTTTTTAAAAAAAGGTTTATTAAAATATATAATTAAAAAAAAGTAATATTAATTATTATTATTTTAAGTTATTTAAATAATAATTAAATAAAAAATTAAAGTAATTTTTATTTTATTATAATAACTTTATATTTTTTATTTTTCTTATAACTTACTTAATTTAAAGTTTTATATAAATTTTTAATTAATTTAAGGTTAAAGGTTGCTTTATATTTTTTAAATTTTATTAAAAAAATTATTAATTAAATTTTATATATTAAATTAAGTTTTTATAATTATTATATTTAAAAAGGTTTACTTAAAAATAAAATTTTATTAAGTTATAATTTCAATTATAATTTATATATTTAATATTTAACTTAAATTAAGATTTAAATTATTAATTTAATATATTTTATTGCTTAAAATCCTTATTATAATTATATATAAAGTAACTTTAGCTAAGATTAGCTAAACTTAATAATATTATAAGCATGGCCTATATATATAAGGATTTAATGAGCTAAATCTTTCAGGGATTTCCGGCTATAAAGCTATGGAAATCAGGGATTTTGTTAGTGTTTTTCCTTTTCTTCTCTCTTTATTAAACCTAGTTTAGCTATGGCTTTTATTCTGCATTAGCGTTACTCAGGACCGTTACAAGTAGAGCTTACTTTAAACTCACCCCCTCTTTACTTTAGCATAGTTATATTCTGGCCTTATGGCCATTCCAGATTTAGGGCTGGCTCCTTACTACGGGTGACTATATGGGTACCTACTTGAAGGCACTTAGAAGGCTGTGCTGTCATTGACAACTGTTTGCGCACACGGTACAGAAGGAGCAAAGTAGCAGTCTACCTAGGTGTCTACCCTCCAATCTTGTGGTTCTTAGTGACTACTCCGTATTCAACAGTATAGTAGGTAGATAGATAGGTACGTAACAGTGACGGGTCCTGGCTCGCAGATTTGTTATAACTGTAGGCAGGCGGGCTGATAATCACAGGCCGATGATCAAGGCTTTGGCCCGTGCATGCCGTGGTCGAGTACACCCGCCTCCACACGCGGGCTGGAGAAGGCAGAGAATGCCGGCCGCATTAGACCTAGCTGCGGCGGCTGCTGACAGGCAGGGGCCCTTGTCCCCGGAGGAGAACACGCTCTCCATCTCCATCTCCCATCCCCATTTCATGACGCCATGCGCCGTGGCCCAGCTCCAGAACCCGGGCCCTGACGGTCAATTTGAATGAATGCACTCCGACCATCTTTGGTTCCGCCGTCGCCCCAAGCCCCCGCCAGATTGACAGCCGGACGGTAACCTCGGTCCTGACAGCCTTGCCCGCCATTTTGGACAGTCCACGAAAGATTGGCAAAGCCTCGTCTGACTCTGTCTGCGTGCCGCGCCGGCCCGAGCAAATCAGCAATCCATCCTCTTGGAGTGAGCAGTCTAGCATTTCGCTCTAGCTCACTCAACCTCTCGCCCACGTCCGACCCCGAGCAAAGCGACGCCTTCTCCGAACCACCATCTGCCTTTTTCTTGTCGTCCTCGCTGTACAATATAATTCATCATCATCATCGGCAAGGCTGTCTGCTCTCCCGGCCCATCCTGCGCGACATCGCCTGCCATGGCGCGCCTTCACATCACGGCTCTGTTATCACCCGACCAGGAAGAGCAACTATCCGCTCTACGGACTCTGAAGAATGAAATCGTCGGGCACGATCAGAAAAAGGAGAAGTGGGTCGAGAACGGGATCATCGAGCCTGTCGTTAAAATCTTGGAATCCAGCAGATCTTCTCCAAGCACAAATGGAAAGGACAGCAGTCGAGGTCGCATACCGCCCTCGAGACCTTTGACCGGCGAGGAATCGGTGCGGTTGCAAGCACTCCAGATTCTTGCCAGCCTTGCAAACGGTACGGCAACCCATGGCTCTGCGCCGAGGACAACCTGTGTCGCCGCAGCTAACAACGATTCGCAGGTGGCTTTGCTTTCCTGGCTCCCATACTCGCAGCTGGCGCCTTGTCCGCCATATTATCGAACATACCTCCAGTCGACAACCCACCTCGGGTCGTTGTCGCAGCCCTAAGAGCTGCTGTGAATATTGCTGAAGCCTCGACTCTGGCTCCACCCACCTCCGCTACAGACATCGCTGATCTGGCAGGTGTTGCCTTTGTGCCGGTACTCCTCGATGCCTTCTGCGACATTTTGACGAATCCCGGAACAAACCAAACCGTACAAACTCAAAAGAATCTGGCGGCAAGGCTCATCGGTCTGCTATGCCGAGAAGAGCGCTCCCGGGTTGATCTAACGAATCACGGCATACTAGAAGCTTTGGCAACGAACCTGGCAGCTGCAGTCGTAGCCCGGGGATTCGTGGTTCCCGGCGCAGAGACTGTTGCTCGAAGTGAAGGGGTGTTGGACCTGATCCCTAGCCCAGCTGTTCCGAGCACGGATGTAACCGCCATCTTGGAAGCGTTATCTGCCATAGTAGGGGACTCCCGCTGGAGGGCCTCCGTCTTCGTCTATGCCCCAGCCTTGGTCGCTGTGTTTCCCCATCCTGGGTCGCCGCGGCGGTCAAAGGGCATGAAAGCATGCGTCAACTCATTTGAGGTTGCTGGATTGAGCAATACAGCGTCGAAAGACCTCGGCGCCTTGGACTGCTTCCTTCCTGTGGTGCCGGAATACCAAGCAAAGGGCACAGGAGTATCTTCCTTCCCACCGCTAGGGTCGCCTCCGTCGAGAGATTATCTGGCTTCCTCAAAAGCACCGTCCATCAAATGGATTGCTTCATCTTTGAACTGGGACACAACCCAGGCTGATACAGCTGGAGCAAATGCAGAGGGTGTCGTCGAAGAGACAGAGAGCGCTTTAATACCGTGGTTGATATACACGGTCCGGTCGGCCCAGGGCATGGAGAGGATCATGGCTGCATCAGTGCTCACATCGCTCCACAGGGCCGGCCTTTCCAACAAGTCCAGGGAGGCCTACATGGGTCACTTAATCGTGCCGATACTGCTTCAAACCCTGGAAGACATTGGTATCACCTGTGGTGCTGCCTCTGAAGCAACCTTTGTTGATTCCAAGACTGCCGGCAACTGGTCCATTGTCGAACGCAGCCTGGCGATTCTGGCAAGATTGATTGTTGACAGCGAGTTCCTCCAGAAATGTGCATTTGATTGCGACGGTATGAAGATCGTCAGCAGTTATCTGAAGAGTGCCTACGAACCTTTGACAAGCAAGTCGTCCAAAGCATGGAGCCCAAATGCTGGGAGTGAGAGTACGGGAGAGCGTGAGATCGGGTTACCGACAAGCCGCCTCGGCCCTGCGGGACAGCTGCCTCTTCAGGTTCATCGCACGCGTGTGAGGGAGAATGCTCTGAAAGCTGTTGCCGGATTAGCAGCGAGCAAGGACGACTACCGCAAGGCTCTCGTGGAACAAGATATAGTGCCGTACGTCGTGGAGTCGCTCTCGCCGAATCCATCCAACCCCAAGAATAAGGAGCGTCCAAAATCGCCCAAGCAACTTTCAGTGGGGGGTGGTGGGTATGATGCAGCATATGGAGTCAACCCTATCACTGTCATCGTCGCAGCATGCCACGCCTTGCGCATGCTCGCAAGGAGCGTGAGCATTCTTCGGACCACCCTTGAAGATAACGCGGTCGCTACTCCAGCATTTCGCCTTCTACGCCATCCGGACATCGATATCCAAATTGCGGCGTCTGCCCTGATGTGTAATCTCGTCACTGACGTCGCACCAATGAGAGAAGTAAGTGGCCACCCAGTGACCGTCGCAGCTTGGGAAAGAGTACTCACACGACGAAGTATCTCAATAGCGTTGGTGTCATGAGGATCCTCTGTGAGCAGACGCGATCTCAGAATCCGGCTTTGCGTCTGAACGCGCTATGGGCTCTCAAGAACTGGATCAATGGCGTGGGTATGGATGCGAAGAAGGAATGTGTCGAAGAGCTCTCCGCAGGCTGGCTGGTTCACTTGATCTGCGACGATACTGAAGACGACGCGCTGTACGAGCGCACGACAAAGTCCAAAAAGCAAGCTGCAAACGACATGGACGAGGACGTGGAGATGGCCCAGGCTGGCGAGGAACGCTCAAACTCCGGTTCAGCACTACCCGACACGTCCATATTACCAACGAGCGATGAACAAGGTCGCACGCCAAGGCTGCGCCAGGCCGAGCGGAAGATTGCAGAGCTTCGCGACACAGAGCTGAGTTTAACGCGTAAAGTCCGCGACGACGATCTTGCGGTGCAGGAGCAGGGACTCAACTTCGTACGGAACCTCATAGGGCCCGCAACGTCAGCAACCGACTCGGCTAGAGATCATGCAGACATGATCGACTATCTCTTCAACATCCTCGGCCAAGACCGCTTCTTCGATATCTTACACTCGAAGCTACAGCTCAAGTACCTTCACCCCTTCGGCCGGCGGTACTCGATGAGCCGTGAACCCCGTGTCCTCTACCCCCAGGCTCGCATCGTCTCGGCAGTCGTATATATCCTGGTGCACATGGCAGCCAGCGTGCCCCGCCACCGACAGGTGCTGATCTCACAGACCAAGCTGCTCTCAGACCTGGGCAAGCAGTTCCACAGCAAGGACAAGGATGTCCGCGTGGCGCTCTGCCACCTCATGACCAACCTGACATGGCGCGATGACCCGGATGACGAGGATAGCAGCCGTCAGCGGGCTGGGGAGTTGAAGAAGCTCGGCCTGCTAACCAAGCTGGAGACTCTTGAGAGCGACGACGGGGAGCTGGACGTGAGGGAGAGGGCTAAGGCAGCGATCTGGCAGATCAGCCAGCCTAGAGGTTTTTAGGAATCATCCTCGGCGAACAAGTCGGAAACAGCTGCACAATGAATTTTTTCCAGGCCAACCCACCCAGAGCGAAATGTGGTACTTGTTATTCGATGCATTTTGGTGGCGCTCTGAATATCGGTTATGAAGCATTGGATTGGGCGAGGCACAACCCCGTGAGCACGATGCCTTGAAAACCTCGAGGCAGGCCAGGCCAGGCTACGAAGTGGTAATGGGAGGTACTTGTACTTTTGTGACCAGAACGGAGGCTGACTATAAGATACTACAACGACATGGGACAGCGAATATACCCGGAATGCTTTCATTTTGAGACGAGTGCTTCCCCTTTCGCCGAATCTCTGCTCACGAAGCTTAACTTGTCTTGCAGGTGGATATCCATATGGTCACGGTCTTGCAAGGCCCTGTGAGTTAATCTATAGGTATGTGTGTATACATGTGCATACACATACACACAATATATATATATGGATGTATATATATACATCTGCCTCGAAATCGGTTTGCACAGATAGTGATGTAGAGTCATATATGGAGAGGTCAGCTATCGGTCTATGCCCTGCTCAACGATAGTCATCAGATATGGAGTCTCGGTCTCAATGCCGTATGCTTTTGTATGCTTTCTTTGATACTTTCTCCGCGGGTTTTTTTTTGAACTCCCCATGAGACTCTGGGGGTGGGTGGAAAAGAGAGGGGGTTGGAGCAGCCATGTTTGTTTGTGCTCAGATGCTGGGCTAAGATATCGCAAGACATGACACTTGCCGCTTACGACCTCCTCGCGTGGTGACCTGGAGAGCTGTTGGGCTGCTGGTATGATCCCAGGCCTGAAGGGGCAAGCAAAAAAGTAAATATTCCAAGCATCTTGTCCATGGAGATGTAGCCTTAGGAAAGGATCCGGACAAGGAGAGACCATGGTCGCCTTTGACAAAGAATGACATGAGCCAATGCCATTTGGGAACGTTGAGCTCTCTTCAACCGTGTGCACGTTGAGGGGCGCCAACGAATGCGACGGTCTGTACGTAAGTGGTCAACCTGCAGGTGATCAATCACCTCGAGCAGCAGGCCGCACGCAACTCGCCACCTGGGCACGGCATTCGCATACAAAGTCGGACTTCCAGATGTCGCACAGCATCACTGAGGGAGGGAGAGTGCACAGGCAGACCGGGTCGGCCGCTGAGGGGGCAGAGACCAGGGATGGGCACACATTAGAGTTTCCCCCATCCTCTTGTCCTCGGAGGCGAGCAATCATGTTCCCGTTGCTTTCTCTGCCCATTCGAGCCGAGATCTCGATTGCCCATGGCTGCAGCCATGCCGTGGTCGAATGGGGAGCCGGCCTCGCTGTTCTCGGACCGGCAGGGGTGCTCCGGAGCAACCGGGCGGGCTGTTTGACAGCAAGATGGCCCACCCATCGATTTTGACGGCTCGCGCGGATGAAGTCATCACAACGTGACCCAAGCAGACAATCACCCGAGTCACCTGCACAGAACCAGCAGTGTGCCCAGCCCATGGTAGTATTCTGCTTCTAACCCGTCCCTGGTTTCCAGGTCTCGTTGCGGTCTTGGATCCCGGGGCTTCCGCTCCGGTGTGACTGGCTGCCCTCGCCCTCCGGCGCCGGCCTCGCCAGCAGTGGTCGAGATCAAGCGATGACCGCCCCCGGGCTGCAGGGCAGTTGACATGTCAATCCACAATTGAAGGGCTCCTTTGGTACTCCGCGTCATGCTTGCGTGCCGTCTGCATGTTCAGATCTGCATCAGCGTTGAGCTGGGCAGGTTGATGGGCCGGCCAGTGTCGTGTCTCTGGCGCGAGAGGGACTGACGTGCGCTGCTCAGGCAAGGGAAGAAGGGCGGCATGCATGATGGTCGCCAGCGTAGCTGGACTTGCATGTGCAGAAGCAACGGCTGGCCGCAGGGCAGGCTCGACGCTCGGGCATAGAGTTGCGTTCGAGACCGCGAGCTTCCATTCCGTTGGTCGGCCGCGAGGTTGAGGTTGTCTGGAAACTTCGGCTGGGGCCCATCTATCTCACCACTCGGTCTGCTAGCTTCCAACTCGGGCTGCTCGGCACTCGCCAACGAGCAGGCCTGAGATGCGGTGCGATGCTGCTATGAATGGTCTTGGCCTTCTCGCGGACGCACGCACGCGCTGGTATAAGAGAAGGGGAGTTCCCCTCGTCCCAGCCCCTACTGTCCTTCTCATGCTGCCTTAACCTAAGGATATATATCTTGGAAGAGCTTACACAGACTCATCCCTGAGAGTCCCTACGGTACCTTTTCAGCTGTACTGAATGAAGCTTCTTCATCGTCTCCTCCGTCCGAACCCATCACACCGTCGACACAATGATTCTACCAAGATCAAACAAGGCTCTACAGATCAACCCGCCTTCGGGGGATCAGGCTCTCTCAGTGGGAGGCTCTGACTGGCTATGGGCCGTCACAGCTGTCTTTGTGCTGGAATTCGTGAGTCTATAGTACTGCTGGGATATCTGTCAGAGGACTCGAGGCTGACGTACATCACAGCTCGTCTTCTTCGGCTTGACCTTTGTGGCTCGATCTAAGGAAAAGATATTCCACTATCTGTTTGCTATCACTCTCCTTGTCGGTTCCATCGCCTACTACGCCATGGCTTCAGACCTGGCCTGGGATGTCATCAGCCAAGTCAATGAGACCCAGAACGGCACCCGTCAAATCTTCTTCGCCAAATATGTCTATTGGGTTGTGTCCTTCCCTGTTGTGACTATCGCCCTTGGCCTTGTTAGCGGTATCTCTTGTACGTATATCGATATGTGTTCCTGTTATTCTCGGCCATTGGTCAAGGCCGTTATGGTTTCACAGAAGAGACAACAGTCTATATCCACGTCCCATTGCTTGCGTTGAGGGAACATGAGATCAAGTTCTGACAACCCACAGGGACGAGCATCCTCTACAACGTCACCCTCGCCTGGGTCTGGGTCTTGTCTTACTTGTTCACCGCCTACACGGCGTCGACGTATAAATGGGGCTTCTATGCGTTCGGCACTGCGGCATACATCCTTCTGGCCTACAGCACCCTGTTCGAGGGCCGGCAATCTCTGGCCACGCGTGACTTTGGGCCAGCTCATAGTCATCACCTTCTCCTTGCCGCCTGGACCAACCTTCTCTGGCTTAACTGTAAGTGAAGCAGCACGGCAGTTCACCGCCCCCTGCACCATCAAGCCCGGCATGTGCTAATTCTGAACCCGATCTAGACCCAATCGCTTTCGGCATCTCAGATGGAGGAAACAGGATCGGTGTCACGCCCAGCTTTATCTACTTCGGCATTCTCGACCTGCTTATGGTACCTGTACTGGCCGTTGCGTTCCTGTTCCTGGCTCGCCAGTGGGACTATGGGCGTATGAACATCGCCTTCACCCAGTATGGAAGAGTAAGGGCCTCCGAGGGCACGTACCCTGAGAAGAGCACCACTGCCACTGGCCCTGCTGGCGGGCCCGTAACCGGTGAGCCAGCGCCCGCTGCGGTGTAAGGCAACGATGGCCGGTAAAAGCAACGTCAATGATGCGAAGATGCTGCCTAAAGTTTCGAAATCGCCAACTTCGTGTTCATTGCTCTTGGTATGGGCATGCGAATCAAAGCGGGGTGCAAACTCACACGAGTTGGGTTGGGTCATCACCCCAGGGAAGCAAACTGCTTCCCAGTAATTACGGAGGTTTAATTTTGGAACGCGAATTGTCATTGGACTGGATACCACGATACCACTCTCTCTGCAGCTTAATTTCTCAGCCTTAATATATGTCCTCGAGTTCCTTGCACACTCTCTTCGAAACCAGGAATACTAAGAGATGCCTGACTTGACACCTTCTGGCGGGTGGTCCCAACCTCGAACCCATGTTTAGTGAACAAATTTCAGATAATCCCATTTAATTCTAACGGTGGAATCTGACTTGACATGGGAAGAGATTGCAATGCAGTCTATCGCCTGCCGTCAGTCAGCCCCGAAACATAACAGGAGACACTAGGCGGAACCTGTGAGGATGCGAGATCGCAGGGTTGCCTCTCAATCCATGGCGAGTCACTGGATTTGTACGGTGCACCGAATGGTATGTCAAGACTCAAAGTTTCAAAGTGTGATTTTCTCACCATCCAAACTAATTTTCATGAGATTCAGCCCAGCTCACAGAGCCACATGCGTGAGTTCACGGCCTCTCCCCGTATCCTTGCCAGCCGTTGGCTCGAGCAGGAAGGAACTGGCAGACTAGAACGGTCCATCGCGCGGGAGACTGTCGTAAGGCGTCGTCTTGTACGTGACTTCAGCGGCAGTAAGTCCAGTTGACAGCGATCTAGAGTAGACAATGTTTATGCCGGACCACCCAGATCCAATCGAATAGTCTTGTAGAATTTATCTGTCAAGTCCTGCCTCAAACAGTCATAATGGAGTATATTTTTAGATGTACTTTCCAAGATGTACGGCTCGTCAAGGTGGTGTGGACAGCGACTCACAAAGACTCGGTCCACGGCCCGCAACTGACCACTCGGGTCGCCACTGCCACTGCCACCCAGGTCCTGCAATTATTTGGAATGGCATCCTGCAATGAGACCAAGTCAGGTGCCAAGTAGAGTATGGATCGGAGGCTGGGTAAGTGGTGGGTATTGCGGCACTGGCAGGTCGATCACCAACGATTGCACCCTGTTTCATGAGCATCGCGAGTGAACGATAACAAGCCTGGCGAACCAAGCTCGACCATGATGCCTGGATATCAGACGTGTCGCGTGCCCACTCGAGCCCGGCTGCCGCCCCTGGACAAGCTGCCAACCCCACCTGTCTTCCCAGTCCAGAGAGCTAGCATTCTGGATTCTAGATGTCCTTCCTGTTTTGACAGCGGCGGCCAGGATCTAAACTAAGTAACAACGAGCCAAGAGCGAGTTCTTTTTTCGCGGCGGCTAGGCCGACAACCTTTCGGACGAGTAATGCAGTTCGAAAAGCGATCACTCCCGCCGTCGATCTCCCCCTTACCCTCTTCCAAAACACTCGCTCGACTATCGCGACTCTCCGTCCGTATCGATCCGAGAAACTCTAGAAGCCCATTACTTCTGCACAGACACTATGTCTGTTCTTCTGGGTTAATGGCAGTCGACGTTGACGGCAGCTGGCGGCAGCTGGCGAGACAGCATACTTGTATCCAAGGAAGATGCCGAAACCCAGTCTTTTAAAAACACTACTGTATGTTTAGGGAGAAAGACTCGCCAAGGTGGATACCCGCGAGCAAAAACAGGCCCCACCTCGCCGTTATAATCTCCCTTTTTAGCCATGGCTGGGAAGCTTTTCCTTTACCAAGTGCTCTTGGCGAATAGACGTCGACTCAGACGCTATCATGGGTGCCATATCACCCTGCGATCACGCAATTATACAAACCACGCATGCCCGCCCACGCTGCCCGCCACCTCCCGGGAGACAGAAGCACTCGACACCCTGATCTGCGTGCAGAGTCCCCTCTAGAGCCGTTCCACCGTCGCAATGGCGCAACAAGCATGGCCAAGCTCGTTACCGGCTTAGCACGGGTCAAGCTTCCACTTCTGGGCAACGGCTGTCAGGAGTCAGGGCGGTCCTGGAGAGAGGCACCGGAGCGCTGCGACGTGCCGTAGGTAGGTTGCACGTAATAACGCAAATAGCAATGCGTGTGTCTGTAGGTATGTATGTATGTATGTATGTATGTATGTATGTATTGTATCGCTGGATAAAGGGCGGGCACGCTCCCCTCCCCGTGCATTCTGCGTCTGCCAGTGAGTGACCACAGACCTGCAGACCTGCCGACCAGTCCAGGAACCTATCTCCCATTACCCGCCACGGGAAAGACCAGGTTACCAATATGGGTATGTATTCCGGTGTTCAGTGCACGGTCCTGCCTCCTTTGCGGTCGGACGTCGAAGCGTGTCCATGAACTGACCAGAAGTAAATCTCCACAGCTGAGAACGTCGTCGGCCTCAACGTCCAGAAGGTCGTCGAGCCGGACGCGGACCAGGGCGTCCACGACGCCGACAAGGCGCGCCACGTCCAGACCTTTGCCTCCCAGGCGTCGACGGAGGAAGGGGCCCACGACCATGCCCTTCTCGACGACCAGGCGTACCCGGCGCCCACGGAGGAGGAGCGCAAGACGCTGCGCAAGGTCTACGACTCCATCCCAATCGCCTCCTGGTCCCTCTGCATGGTAGAGATGGCCGAGCGCGCCTCCTACTACGGCGTCAAGGCCGCCTTCAACAACTACATGCAGTTCCCCCTGCCCGAGGGCGGGCCCGGCACCGGTGCCATCGACCCCAGCAAGCCGAACTCCCACGCCGGTGCCCTCAACCTGGGCATCCAGGCCGCCTCGGCCCTGGGCCTCCTGTTCACCTTTCTGGCCTTTGTTATTCCCATCTTCGGCGCTTGGATCGCCGATACCAAGATCGGTCGTTACCAAGCGATCTTGTGGGGTGTGTTCATTGGCGGCGTCGCCCACGTGATCATGATAGGAGGTGCTGCGCCCGCTCTGTTGCAGGCCGGAAAGGGCGTTGCGCCCTTCCTCGTCAGCTTCATCCTCCTCGCCATCGGGGCCGGCCTCTTCAAGCCAAACGTTGCCCCATTGGTCATCGACCAGTACCAGTACCAACGCGAGTACACCAAGGTGCTCAAGTCTGGAGAGAAGGTGCTCGTCGACCCGGAGACAACAATCAGCCACATCATGCTTGTGTTCTACGCCTTCATCAACGTGGGCGCCTTCTTCTCCATCGCCGTCGTGTATATCGAGAAGTACCACAGCTTCTGGCTCGCTTACCTGGTGCCGGGCGTTGTGTATTTCCTCCTGCCATTCCTCCTGGCAGCCATGTATAAGCGCACAGTCAGGAAGAAGCCCCAGGGCTCCGACCTGACCCGGTTCATCAAGATCACGACCTCGGCATTGAAAGCAAGCAAGTTCAACGTCTTCTCCAAGAAACTCTGGGACAATGTGAGGCCCTCGACACTGGCCGAGAGGAACATCCACGTCTCCTACTCGGAGAAGGACGTCGATGACACCTGCCGCACCTGGCAGGCAGTCCAGATCTTCCTGTACATACCTATCTGGAACCTGAACGATGGCGGTGTTGGTGCCGTCCAGAGCAACCAGGGCGCGAGCATGATCTCCGACGGCGCACCGAACGACCTGCTGGGTCACTTCAACCCCCTGGTGATCATCGTGTTCTCGCCCTTCATGGCACACTTCGTGTATCCATTCCTCGAGCGCAGGAAGATCAGGTTCGGACGAATCAGCCGGATGACATTTGGTTTCGTCTTGGCCACCATCTCAGGCGTCATCGGCGCCATCGTCCAGTACCGCGTGTACGCGACCAGCCCATGGTAAGTGGCCTCCAACTGTCTCAGTGACCTGCTGTTCCTCTGGCTCGTTGACCATATCCACTAACGCGACTGCCCAAAAACAGCGGCTACTTCGCCAGCAGCTGTGACGACGTGGCGCCCATCTCCATCTGGCTGCAGATCCCCAACGTCGCGCTCGGCGCCATGTCCGAGATCTTCGTCAACGTCACGTCGTACGAGCTGGCCTACGCCCGCGCCCCGGAGAACATGCGTGCCACCGTCGTGGCACTGTTCCTCTTCATGACGGCCCTGAGCAGCGCCCTGGGCCAGATCCTGGTCCCGGCCATCGCCGACCCCACGCTCATCTGGGCCTGGGCCGCCCCGGCTATCGCGCTTGCCATGCAGACTGCCATCTTCTGGTGGAGGCACCGCAACGTGAACGATGATGTCTTCATGACCTATGAGGAAGATTACCAGCCGAAGACGCCAGAGAGCAAACAGACTGGGGAGGATGCTAATGAGATAAAAGCGTGAGCGATGTAGGAGGGAGTCATGATTTGAATCAGAGGAAGGGATAGCCAGGGTTTGCACGTGGCATTCTGTTGTGACGGGAAGGTTCCACAGTCCCAACGTAAAACAAACCGCATCTGGCGTTGAGCCAGTTTGGGATGATAGTCCGCATGGACTCGAGAACTGAAGAGAGTGGTATTGATGAAACCCGAGACAATCACACGTGTCGAACATCACTTGATAGCTGTCATGGAATTTTCTCTACAGTATGCCGAGTGTTTCTTCGTGTGTCTCGGGGCCAACCATCCAGAGGTATGCCCCTGGGTAGCTCGAGCGGCTGCCGGCACTGATGGGTAGACACAGATTGGGGCCGATTAGATAATTTGAACAGCACCGCCAGTCTCACCTGTCCACTTGTATGCGTGGCACCCCGCAGAGAACATGTCGTTGCCTGAACTGCCCAACGCACCTACACAAGACGGCGAGAGAGGGTTGCCTAAGAGCCCAGATGAGGTACGTCTGACACACAGAGGGCTGGAGGTTGTGCTTAGGCGGAGCACATACGCAGTGGAACGTTCAACCTCACCCACCGGACGACGATCAATACTACCTCAGCTAGCAGTTACCAAGGATGAAAGCGTGCACCAAGAGGGGGTTGATTCCTCAAGATCACCACCGGAACAGAACCCAGTGGCATCCTTCACCCAAGATACTCTGGTAGCCTCACCCGTAATGGCAGCCGCCTCACGGAGCTCTAGTGGGTACACCAGAGAATATGGGCCAAAAGTCGCTTGCCTCGCCTACCGCTTCTCGATCAGGACAGACTGGCGCCCTCCTGAGTTCGTTGGAGGTACGAGAGGCCACCAACCGGCCGGTGCCGTTCTGGGTGCGCAGCGAGGCGGGGCCCACAAGCTGTTGGGAGCCGAGCGGACCAGATTCGTCAGCGCGTCTGACGGGCGCAGTGGTGGTGGTGTGTGTGGTGTGTGAGAAAGCCACAGCCGGTCCAGTTTCCGTCTTCGACCGAGACGTGGTAGAACTTGATATATGCTCACCATTGGCGTCATAGGTGGGTGTAGTGGCTGCGCCGCGCGAGATGACTAGGAACCGCTTTCTGCCGGGCGACATTCAGGGCAGCCGAGCGATTGGGACGTGAGATTATTCGGACGACCGTCCCATAGTGGAGGGCTCAACGGTCTCGAGATTCTCGGCAGGGCGATCTACTATGCTACGACGGGCACTTGCTCGCTCTCATCGGATGAGTCGCACAGCAGTGCAAAAGCAGCCACAGATCGTCACTAGACGGCAAGCTCAGGTATGACGACGCGAAATGTTGGGGAGAATGGCAGACGGGACATACTAAAAATTGAGAAAAAGGAGTGCCATCTCCCCACCCCTTCCTTCTTCCTCATAGCAGCTCCCATCACTGGCCACCCGGCCTGTCAGCTCTCGCAGCTCCCGTGCAGATGGCTGACTGTGTTCATGCAGGTCAGCCGGGCACCGGGCTGCTTTATTAGTCGCCTGTTCGCTACGCGAAGATTCCGAACCATCGGCACGGTACTTGGGGGCCCCGCGGCGACCAATAGGCTGCAGACCGGGCGTGTCTGACTGATGCGCCCAGCTCAGCAGCCACTGGCTGGACTTGTGATATCGCACATGACGCAGTGCTACCCTACCGGCCAACGGCCCTGCGGCCTCGGCGGGGGGGAATGAGGGCGTGCAGGCCGTGGAATTTGTCCGGCCAGACACCACCATTCTGCCCTCCCTCTCAGCCCCTCTGCCTGTTCTGGTGGGTGAATGATGCCGGAATGAGACACACTGTCGCACATGCTTTGGAGCTTGGACAGTGCGAGGCAAACCTTCTCGCTCGACGGACTGTAGGCTAGCGAACCCGGCCTGCAGAGAGAGGGGGCGCCACAATCTTCCTGATTGCTAGCTGAATCAATTGAACACGAGGAGTGCTTTGTCCTTGTCTCCCGCCACGAGTCTTGATTTAGCAATCGCTCAGCAGTTGAGGACGGACGGTTCGCTGCCGTTGCAGATCCAAGGGTCACCAGCACCGTCTCGCATCCAGAGCCGTGGCCCTGGGACATTACCGGATTGCCGGTCAGGTGTCTCGGAGCGGGGCAGGATTGGTGAGAGCATGCTTTCGGGACTTGTTGGTTGTCGCCCGAGCTTTGACGATGGCGCCTGTGCAAGACGGACCGACGCGCGGACGGACCGCGGAGAGCTGTGCAGTCCGAGCACCTTTCCAGTGACAGACGGCAGACCGTGGGCCTGGGCTTCGGCTGAGGGCTTGGAAAAAAAAGAGCTGGCCGCCCGGCACGGCAAGTGATGGGTTGGTGCTCAGACATTGACATCGCGAAAGACCTGTGCTACCGCTGGTACTGTGTAGTGTTCCCGTGCCGCTCAAGACAGCGCGGCAGGAGTCAACAGACAGCTTGGAATAAGCTTCCATGATTCAGGCTGGCCCGGCTTTGGCAACTCGTTCGGCCGACAGAATGGCCTGAATGATGAGCGGCTGGCGGAGGAAATGGGATATAGGTGCAGACAAGTATTATTAGGGGGGGGAAGCATGGATGCCTTCCGCGGGCGGAGATGGTGTCCTGATCTGGGGCCCAGCGGTACCCAATCCCACCGTGCCGGATCACCGCGCAAATATGAACGGTTGTGTCCCGACATTCCAAACATCGAGGATCTTTTTCGAAACGAGTGACGAGATAGCAGCCTGGCTGTGCTGGGAAATGCAGTCAGCACTCGAACCGGTGCGAGGAGAGTCGGGTACCGAGGCAGATTGTCAGAATCTGGGCTTGGTCAGTCAGTGAGGGAGAGAGTGAATGTGAATGTGACGAGTGCCCAGTTGGCTGCTCCACTCACCACCCTGACCCATCACACAGGACCGTGGTACCGCACAGGGGAGCACGAGCCACTAACAAGTCATAGTGTGGCATGGATCAGCTGTCAGCTTGTCCGTCAGTCAAGACTCTTCGCAAATTATTACACAGTATGCCACAGTAGTGCCCTCCCCTGCCCATGCACCTGCACCTGCGGCCTAGCAGCCCATACCAGCCAGCCAGGAGCTGCCAGGCCAGGCCTCGAGACGGTGGTGTGTGCTATGTATACGCAGCACCTGGGCTTGGAACTGTTTGGACGGTGCTTCCATGATTCCCCGAAATGACCAAGCCTCGTGCGACAGTTTGCCCAGTCACACAGTGTGCGGAAGTGGCATAGAGACTCGTGTGAGTCGCCATGGACAGCCCAGGGATTACGGGAATGAGGGCGATCAACGGCCCAAGGCGGGCTGGGCCGGCGTCTACAGATCTAGAGGCCCCATGCTCCCGCAAGGCATCTCTCCACATCCTCGTCTCACCTGTAATAAGTCTGACAGACATCTAAAGGTGGTCCAACAAGGACGACAAATAGCCATCAGAGCTGTTGCGTATGCTGTGCTGGCAGGCGAGCAGAGGAGGCTGATAGGGCAAGGCCTGACGTGCTGTGATCGACGGTGCCGTGCTCAGAGCACGTCAGGGTGCGTCGCCCATCATGTCGGGAATCGGTCTCATGTATGTACTGGTACAGTACACGTGCCCGCAGCGCCGCGGCGCTGCCACACAGAGCGCACTGTGGCAAGCTGCGATGCGATGAGAAGCGAAGCGAAGCGCCCAGCCTTTGGGCCTTGGCCAGCCAGCCCTCCAGGTTGCTCGGTCGCAAATAAACTTCGGCGGCTCGAGGCTTCATCAGGTCCTGCTCCCTCCTTCTCCGTTCCCGGACGGGCCAGGCCACGTCCCCCCAGGCAGGTGCAGACATGGTACTGTGTAGCTACAGCACAGCACATGGCTGAGGACGCGAGGCAGCTGGACACGACCCCTCAAGTCGGCCTGTGTCCATTTGCTTAACCCAAACCAACAGACGTGTCAGCACTCGGTGACGGCAACGGACGTGGGTGTGCATCTGACAGCTGAACCGAGGGCAAGGAAGCTTTGATTCGATGCCTTGGGGGCGGTGCGGAGGATTCAAGGTTTGCGGATTGTTCCAAGGACGAAGAAGGGTCATGTTTGGTGTTGGTTACCGAGCCGCTGGTTGTAGGACCCCATTCCTCATGCCCGTGCCGTCCCAAATGCACTGAGCAAGTGAGCAGCGCGGGTCGGTCGGGGGATGTGGTGGCTCGCCTGAAACTGGGGCCACTGCTGCGGCAGAGGTGAACCGTGGCCGTGCGACGCTCTGGCATGGACACGGTCTCTGGTGTTCTGCAGAAGGGCCATCCTTACCGCACAGCAGGTTCGGCTTTTGCAAAGATGCGCTTTTGACTTTGAGCCAGACCAGAGGCTGCCTCGCACCTGTCGCACCTGCGAAATTAGATGCCACCGTTCTTTTCATGATGTTTTAAAAGCATCGCGTCGACTGTGGCAGGCACGAACTGAAGCAGCGACGACGGCTCGATGATGGCCGCTGTCGGGCAGAAAAAGAGGGTGGCCACACACGAAGAAGAAGGCAGGGCAGACAGGCTGACTGACAGTACAGTGTGAATGTACATAGATACCTGGTTGCTTGGCGTGTGGGTCGATATCCCAAGCTTGGAAGGTTCAAATCCCGTCTGGCCTGCAGAAGCTTACCCAAGCTGGCAGGCCACAGGCTAGTCCCCTGCCCTTTCATCCCCAGCTTCCCTGACATGTACCTACCAGCAGTGCGGTCCGTAGGAAGGAACCTCGGAGCAGGGAGGCAGGGACGCCCACCCGGCGCTATGACCACGCTCCACCGGGGAATGGAAGCACGCTTCCAGGGTTCTTGCTGCTGGGCCCTCGAGACGCCCATTGGTTCCGCAACCTTGGGACTGGCCCAGCTGAGAGGTCCCCAATGTCCCAGGTGTGCCGGTCCCAGGTGTCTGTACCACACCCAGATGCCCAGATGTCCAGATGTCCCAGTCTCTCATTGACTACTCCCCGCCGTCCCAGTCCAGCGTTTCCTCCCGCCTCTCTCCATGGGCTGGTCCCCACTTGTCCCCTGCCAGCAGCCAACAGCCCTCCAGCTACTGCGCAGCGCCAGCCTGGGTACCTGCCCAGGTACATGGCAACCTGGGCTGATCCCAGCCAGTTTCCTGCGCCGCCGCTCTTGATGAACCCACTACCACCCTCGTCCTCCGCCAATCTTGCATCCTCCTCCCACTCGCCCTCTCACTCTCTCCGACCTTCATCTTTCTCCCTCTCCCTCATTCTCAACCTCCCTCTCCGTCGCCGTCGACCCCGTCCACGCCCTCTCGTTGCATCCTCCGGCTGGCTCCTCGATCATAACCCAGCAGGTCGGTCAGTTTATCGCCGTGCTGCACCGAGAGCGGTCGCTTTGGTCTTGAAACGCTGCTTTGGCTCCGTCGGCAGCCAGCGTCGGCCTTGTCACTTTCATCGCTTTGACCGAACTCAATTCCACGTCCCAATCCCAGCACCACCGCTTCTTTTCCTTTTTCTTCTCGCCTGGTTTTGCCTCGACTTGGCTTGCTTTGCAGTCCCCCGCCCGTCAGTCGCCAGAACAGGAACACAGGACCAAGAACACCAGAGCGTAGCCAGAGTAAGCTAATTACTCCCGCCGGCCGTCCCCGGCCTCCCAAATTCTACTGATCCTTGTCGTCTCCTTCATCTGTTCCCACATCTTTCCAAGCCCACACGGCCCCGTCGCAATTGTGACCGCCTCTGCGGACGAGAGCTATGCCATCGGCGACGCGCGGCAGCCAACAACACATTTGCTAACCGTCTTGCTGGCAGCAGGGTTTATTGACGGTGTTCTTCCTGAAGTGCAGGGTTTTCTATTGTGCTCTTTTTGGCTGTAGTGTATTGTTCTGTATCACCACTACTTCCCTTCGCGTACTCGGCACACATCACCACAGCAAACATGGTGTCCGTTCTCGGTCCACCTGCGCCGCCGACTCGGGAGGGCGAGGTCATGACCATCTCGAGAGTCACCCGCGACGGACGACGCCTTCACTATGACCTCCAGGTTCTGCAGCAGCCGGAGCGGGCCCGTGCCTGCGGTTCTGGCCCAAAGTGTGAGACAAGCCAATAAACCTCGACCTTTTGACGCGTGCAGCACCAACTGACTGGGAAACCACAGCCTCTGCCGATCGTCGACCGGTTGATCCACCACCCGTGGTGCAGATGAAGATATTCGAGGGCTCGCACAGGGAGAACGCCAAGGACATCACCTTTGCCTACAACGCCGACTTCTTCCTCTACGCTAACCTGCACCATGCCCATGATGTCGCCAGCGGTCGAGTCGCTCCACCCAGCACGCCCCCAGTGCTCACCGGCATGCCTGTGTCGAGCATGATCCTGCTGGACCGGCCAACCGAGGCGGGCTATTTTATCTTTTCTGACCTTTCCGTGCGCCACGAGGGCAAGTACTACCTCACCTTCTCCCTCATGGAAGAGGTCAAGGAGGACAGGGACAAGGATGCCGATGAGCCCATGTCTGGCACTGATGAGATTGTCGGTCCCGATATTGGTCCGGGCCAGGAGGTGCGCTGCTGGAACTTCCGCACGACCGTCCAGACGGACGACTTCGATGTGTACAGCGCCAAGAAGTTCCCAGGCCTACAGGAAAGCACGCAGCTGAGCCGCACCGTCGCCGAGCAAGGCTGTCGGGTGCGCATCCGTCGCGATGTTAGAATGAGACGCCGTGAGAAGGGCAAGGGCAAGGACGCCAGTGCTCGGGACGACGAGTACTCTCGTGCAGCTGCCGCTGCCTCTGCCGCCCCACCCCCAGAAAGGACACCGACTATTCGCGGCCGGTCTCCCAGCAACGCCAGCCTGGAGCGCGCCCCGTATCCTCAGGATCTGCACCGCCGTCCATCGGGAATGGAGTTCGCCCCTCCGAGACCATCCTTTGCGGCGTCGGAGCCTTCCGCAAACAGGCATCTGACCTTCGGCGGTCAACCCATGGCATATCCTCACCCGCACTCGGTTCCTACCTCGCCATCATACCCGCCGCCCGGGACGCACTACGGTCACCGGCCGTCGTACCCTTACAAGCCGGAGCCGTCGCCGACGCAGGCTTATACGCCTCAGACTGGCCCCTCCCCAAGAGACGTGTACCAACGACCACAACCGGCCGCAAACCCACCGCCACCGGCACTGGCACCGAGGCTCGAGCCGGACGTGGAGCCACAGAGGCCCCGGAACACTGTCCTCCCGCCCATCTCGGAGTTCGCAAACGGCATTGCGCCACAGCGCAAGTCCTCGTACACCCCACTGCCAATCGCTCCGATGCCACCTCGTCCTCAGCAGTACCAGCCTCACAAGCCGGACATGGCTTCGCCCTCGAAGATGGAACACCAGATGGCGCCATACAAGATGGAGCAGCGTCACCCTTCATACCATAAGATTGAATACGTGTCGCCGCCCCCGGCGCCTTCAGCATCGTACAGTGGACAGCCGCTCCTGGCGGAACCGTCGACGTCGCGTAACAAGCGACGGCACGGGGAGGCTTTCTCGACGGCGGACTACGGGCGCCCCCAGCACGGCCGGTGGGAGAACGGAGTGCGCGAGTATAACTTCAGTGCCCCCGAGTACGACCGTGCGTCCGGAAACCGCATCCCGGTCCTCTTCGCTCCAGTGCGGAATTAATCTGGGCATGTCCTGAACCCACGCAGTCTCACGGATGGTGGCTGTGGGGGAGAGGGTGCTTATGAGGGTACGTGCCCGTAATATGTTTTCGTGTGGTGTGTACTGTTGAGGGGAAGGGAAACGCATGACTTCCCGCGCGGGTGGTCCCTGTGTCTTTCTTTTGTCTGATGGATGTCATTAACTGTAGGCGTCGTGGAATCCGGGAATGATATCCGAATCATGCTGGGACTAGGCGTTTTACTTTGTATCTTTGGCTAGTTTTGGGAACGGCTGAGAGTGAGTGGGCAGGGCATTGGCAGCACAAACTGCCTCGGACGGGGACTTGATGTATTGCTCACCAAGACATTCTACTCGTATGGGAATTTCAGTGGATCAGCACTGGTCCTTGGTTTTGCTCCTGTAGACACGGGCTAAAAGTCTGGATCTAGATTACCAGTATCAGTCCTCATTTGTTGTGTATTGTATGGTGCCAGGGTGGTTTTATGTATGAGATGTTATTGTGTGGTGTGTCACCAACTATCATTGAACAGATAGACCGCTGTCTCTGGCAACATAGATGAGCAACATGTCTTTGGACACACAGGGTCATGGGATGTTGTTACTCGTCAATGTTTGTTCCACCCTGCTGTGCCATGCCTGGTGCGTGTTTTACGGGACCCTGTCGCGGGCGTAGTGGCTCGTGTGCCATTGGCTGGCTGCCCCGCTGCCCCGCCAACAAGCCTCCACACCGCGCATGGAGCTGGACGGCAGCCTAGTAGCGGTGCTGTATTGATTGGCCTTTGGAATTCCAGCCATGCATCCAGATCCTTCGCGACTCTCTGCCTCCAGATGTCAGCCGGTGGTTGAGGTCTACTCTCTTCTGCAGCCTGCACGCGTGCTCAGACACCTGGCAAGACTGTCCTCCCAGCTCGCAGGTGCTCGTGCTCGCCCATCGCGCTGGCCATCGGCGCGGCGCATCAAAGCACACCGGAAGCTCATTTCAATGCCAACACTCCCCCAGACCCAAGTAAACAAACACCCGGGCACGGCCCAGCCTCCGTCCATTGGGCCATTGAACCAGAGGCATCCTGCCCGACCCGTCTTCAGAGGCGTCTGTCTGTCCATGCCGCCCGTCACGCCGGTCCCGTCCGCCTCAATTCCACCACAGCCGTTATTATGGCGCCCACACCGCAGAGCCGCTTCCTCGAGGGCTCCATGAACGACCGTGCCAGCAATGCCCCGCCACCCGATTTCCTCGGCCTCGATGCCGATGCCACCGCCGAGTATGAGCGCCAGTTTGCACTGGACTGGCAGCCGCCGGATCTTGGCCTTCGCCACCACGGAACCCGCCATAGCTTCATGAGCGTCAACTCGGCCGTGTCCTCGGCCACGACGACCCGCAGGCAGAATGGTCCCTCCTTTCTCGCGCCGCTGTGGGGTGGAGTCAAGGAGAGGCTGAGTCTGAACCGCTCCAAGTCTTCCAACAACGTTCATGACCGCGACGAGGACAGCAGTTGTCACGGCCACTTCATATCGCCCACCTTCAAGCATCAGAGGTCGGAAAGCATCAATGTCGGCAGGCGCTCGCGACATGCTGACGCGGACTCGCTCGCTGCCAGTGGCGACGGCGCCAAGCTGAAGAAGTTCCCCAGCGCAGCCGCCATCCCCAGCGCTGCCATCCCCGACGCCAGCATGCCCGGCCCGGCCGTTTTCGACCCGACCAAGCGACCGACACGCGACGAGATCGCTGCGAACTACCAGAGCCTGTTAGCTAGTGGCTTCTTTGGGAACCGTGCCATCCAGTCCACGAGGTTCTCGCCGCCCGGCCAAATGCAGAACCGGTCGAGCCTGCCCTCTGCCGACTCCTTCGCACAGCGCGTCGCTGAGCATGATCAACAAGAACAGCACCACCAGGACGCACCCGTGCTTCCTCCCCCGGAGCGAAATCCTCCACCGCCACCCCCAAATCGGGAAGCACCGCCGCCGCCTCCTGTCGCGTCGGTGGACGCGACATCACCGTCCTCGTCTGCAAGTGTGTCATCAGGCTCGGTCGCCTTTTTCCCACCAGGCTCCAAGGAACAGCAACAAGCATCAAGGGATATGCCACCACCTCCGTCACCGCCGAAGCAGAGAAAGCCCGGTCACAAGCCACCTCTGTCTTTCTCCTCAGTGCCGTACACCTCGACACGCCCTGCCAACGAGCCTTCTGTCTCGCGTCCATTCCGGCCTCCGCCAGTGTCACTTGCTAGGTTCTCGTTGGACTCTGGACGGAGGAGCTTTGATTTCCAGCTGCGCAACGACTCGAACCGGGGCATCAAGCGCCCTTTTACGGCCACAAACGACTCCGAGATGTCCCTCGACAGGCCATCGTACGACATCATCAACGGTGACGGCAGTGGGGCGATGGTCACTGCTTCGGATGATGGCAGTCACGAGAGCGGCGCGCGCAAGCTGGTCAAGAAGCTGCGCAAGTCTGCCAGTCGCATCTCAATTGACCTGGGCAAGAGCATCTCGCGGCCAGCTTCGTCAAACTTCGATGCAAATGATGGCGATGCAGAAATCACCGACTCATCCACACTTCCTCGAAAGTCAATGTCATCCTCCATCCGGCGATCTTTCAGCTGGCGTATAGGACGATCAGCCCCGGACAGCAAGGATGACAGCAGGCACGGAGATGCCACCGGCAGTGGCGACAGCACTGACAGAGTCGTCGCAGCGCCCGCTGCGCCCCAGTTCAAGAGCGAGCGCTTCGTACCACCGTCCCTGTCGGTGATCATGGACGCCCCCGAGAGCCCGGAGCGGAACAAACTCAAGAAGAGAGACATCCGCGGCCGCCGCCTGCGGCGCCAGGACGCGAACAACAGGTCATTTCCCGCACCGCCTCTTCACCGGGGCCCATCCCCGTTCCTCTCGCCGCCGGGCGATGGCGACGTCGCCATGACGATGGACTGGCAGAGCACACGGCACTCGGACAGGAGCAAGAGCCGGAGCCGGAGCAGGCCGAGGCGGTCGGAGCTATCGATGATGATGATGCAGTCGCAGTCGCAGTCCCAGCCACAGTCACAGTCACAGTCCCGCCCGGGCACCGCGCACAGCACCGACAGTTCCTTCAGTTTCACCACCAGCAGCGCGGCCGCCTCGTTCGAACCCCGCCGCAGCGCCGAGGTGGCAGCTGCCGCAGACGACAGGATGGACGGCGTCGAGACCGTCGAGTTCGTCATCCCGTCATTCCACTTCCCCAACCGAATCCGTCCGGGGAATCCGCTCACAGTGATCCCTGATGCCAATCGCGGTATCCCTAGTGTTCCCAACATTCCGGGCGAGTTCAGAGACGTTAAGATCGTCGCGAGGGAACGGGGAGAGAATGGGGAGGACGACGTCGACGGCGACGGTGGTGGTGGTGGTAGTGGAGGCACAGGCGGGCGCGTGGCACAGCCCGCAGGCCGTGTCGTGAGAGGTTGGGCGGTGACACGGGGTCGGCAGCTGGATCACACACACAAACTGAAGACACGGTTTCGCGCGTGCGTGCCTCCAGTGAAGCCCGGGGCCTGGAGTTTGCGGTGTTTGGATAGATGCATTTGCTTTGGTGTTGCGCCTTTTCTGCAATGTTCCTGCGGGCCCGATGGCGAGGGGAGGGACTTGTACATCCTCCTCTTCTCCGCCTCGTGGAAAATACCCCACCGCCTGCCTAGCTTTGTGCTGTTCAGTTTGGATCCGAGGTGTTGGTTGCATGGCGGGATAATGAAGAACGAGGGTAGATGACTGAACGACCGACTGGATGCTCAAGGACCGGTCGTCATCGGAAAGTGGTCCAGGATGGTCCCGGGCTTCATTTCTTCTTCATTTTTTTTTAAACGAATGTAGACGATTATGATGATGTAGAGATATATGACCTCGCGAATAAAATTATATCAAAATCCACAAGTGTCTACTTTACTCCCTGGGGGTGAGCCATTGTTGGTCAGGTTGGGGCTGATGTCTTGTGATTCTGATTCAACGTGGCCGGTAGCGAAGGACAACACAGACGGATAAGGGAGGACGAGGGTTCTTGTTACTCATGCGCGTTTACATACAGTACATATCACCAACCGTGAGCATGGGTTATAGGAGAGATTGGTAATGATAAGTTGACGACCGTATCTTTTTCTCTCCCCATGATTCTGTGAAGATGAGTGAGTTGAGATGGGGAGACATGAGGGGCGATGGGACGGAAACATTAATTGAACTCAAACGGCAGCAAACAAGCCCGCTCCGAAAGGACAGCCGAGGCTGGGGAGCATTGCTTGCTGGCCTGTAATTTGATTTGGATGATTATATACAGGCTATCTCGGAGCAGACTAATATACATCCAACGCAGCGATGCGATTAGATTCTTGGGTGCGAAACACTCGCAACGAGGTACTTCGGTCCATTAGATCGTCTATAAACCACGCACACGCTTGTGTGCTAAGCATGTGGGCTGGGAGGTGGGTGCCAGGTAGTTCAGATTGTGCAGATGTTCTGGAAACCACAGCCCTTATTTCAGACACCAACCGTCCCGAACCAAGATTGACTGTATGATTTCCCGTTCCCAATTCCAAGACCCCCAATGTCAGTTCCCACTACTACACGACCAAAGGAATGCACCAATCCACTCAATATCAAAAGAAGGCACCGCTCGCTAGGCACTGCTCAGCCAGTATGTCCACTCTGTTCGGCCCGGAACAACAGCTAGACCTCGCCAAGAACGAAACCACCAGCCCTCGGTGCGGTATGTGGCTTCTGTGCCGGAGACACAAAACTCCAGGCAGCGGTGAAAATACCGGGGAAGTGACTGTACAACATCGCACAGGAGATAATTAGCAGCAGCGGTATCCAAACGAAGAATAGGTTCCGGTCTCTGCTCAGCTTCTTCATGTTTTGCGCATGTGCCTGGCGGAGGTTGTCCTGTTGTTCCTTCGTGATGTTGTTCTTGCGGCCAATCTGTAAAAGTTTCGGTAACTGTTTTGCCGTCTGCATCTCCTCCACGTGTGGCTCGTCCACCTGCTGGTGTGCTGTCGATGCCTCCGGCTGATCGTACAGCGCTGCGCACTTCCTGTCTGCATCATAGTCGGCGGCGGCCCGCGCAGCAGATTCTTGTTTGCTGTCCAATTCGTCTGGGGAGATCTTCCTGTCTTGTTGTCCACCAGGGAAGATCTCATCGTACGCAGGTGGTAGGACCGAAGACGGCATCAGGGAAGACAAGTCCCACCATCGGTTCTCCTCCCCTGGCGCAACAGGGCGTGGGCCTACAATATTCGGCAGAAGTGCTGTCATGCGCTGCCTGTAAGCTTGGTAGTCCGGCATCGCCATCATGTTAGGCATCTGCGGCAGGTGTGGGAGGTTGTGGAAATGTGTCGTCATGGACTGTTGAAGCTGTTGGAGCTGGTCTCTGAAAGCCGCCATGGCAACCGCCGGGGACGCCAAGCCCCCCTGCTCGGGAGTATTTGGTATATCAATGACGGACGGTCTCGCACTCGGACCCATGTTGCCCCGCGAGGACCTCCGCTTCATTTGCAGCCATGTGTCTTCCTCGTAGTCTTCATCCGAGCTGTAGGCCGCAGTGTCTTCTGACTCGGACATTTCACTGCTTGAGAACTCATCGGATGGAGGATACGCGCGAGGAGGCTCCCAGAAGGAGCGCAGTGATGTGGCGCTGTTGGCACGGCTGTGGATCGTGCTGCCTCTTCTTCCTGCACGCTTGATGGCGCGGATAACGTCCCGTGTCGTGGCAACATCAGAAGCGAGCAGATTCTGCCGTGTCTTGAGCGCAGGGTCCGCCTTGTGCTGGATGAGCCGCCTGACCAGCTCGGGGTGGTTGTGCATTGCGGCGTAGTGCAATGGGGTGTAGCCTCCAGCGTCCTGTATGTTGGGGTTGGCGCCTCTCACCAGCAGACCTGCGGTGAACCGATGGAGTCCAAGGACGCATGACAAGTGTAGCATCGTGTGCCCAGTCTTCCGGCGGAGGTTAAGGCGAGCCCTGTTAGTGCTGTCATCCATGTCCAGGAGATCGAGTACGTGCAGCAATTTCGTCTCCAGGTTCATGTTGTAGCCCGAGGGACCACCGTTGAAGCTGTTGCCGTTCAGACCAGGAGAGTTTGAGTTGTCAATGATCCGACTGACGAAGCCCCGTAGCTCATTGGTATTCCCCGTCAGTTTGTTTGAAAGCACATTCAGGGCAAGGCGAAGCAGGTGGTTTTCGCTATCGTCCTTGTACGTGAAGGTGGCCTGCGGCCTGTTTTGCAGGGACGGTAGGAGCTGAGGTTGGCCATTGGGGCCCCTGAGGCTAACAGGTACTGTTCCGGCCACATGGTAGGGTGGCAAGAGACAGTGAAGAGCCTGCTCGCCCCAGAACGTAGTTGTAGTGGCCTTCGTGTCTCCAAACATGACGTCCAACCCTTGGTAGAAACCGGAGCCGAGTATAGTAACCTCGATTCCGCCGGTCGTCGGGCCCTCGTTGGGAATGACTTTGTGGATCACAGACATGGGCATCGGCTGTCTCAGCTGATTGGTGTTTGGAAATGGAGCAGGTACGGGAATGCCATGGGCCAACATTTGGCCGACTTGGCTGAGCTGCGGCTGTTGCAGCCCACCGTTCCTCAGCCCGCTTGGACTCGGCGGTCTGCTGGTATGTGCCGAAGGAGGGGCAGAGAACATCGGCGTGGCTGTCAAGCTATCAGAAGCCGAGGAGCCATTGGCATCCGGAAAGACGACCTGTTCACTGCTGTTCGGAGTGGGTGGTCCCACCGGGAATGGTGCGTTCGGAGCCGTAGCGTTCGGGATGAAGCTGCCATCGCCGCCACCGTCGGAATAGGAAATCGTACTTGGTGGCGTAAAAGGAGACGTCGAGGACGAGGGTCCTGGCTGCCCGTTCTGCAGACCGTTCGGTGGTTGTGGAGCAAAGTTCGCCGTCTCGAGACGGGTCATGTGGAGGGTCGTGGGCAGCTTAGCGCCGCTTGACTTCCTCTTCTTTGCGGACGGGCCTAATTGACTAGGTGAAGGCGGTCTCGAAAGGACTCGCGGGGTCGGCACGGCAGAGGTGCGTTGAGATGAGGTGCCGGAATGGATCGGCGGAGGTTGCAGAGCATTAGCACTGCGCTTCAGAGCCTGTATATCGGATGTCGACTGCGACTGGCGGAATGGGTGCCCAGGTTGGATGGCGTTCATGTCATTAATGCCGCTCGACGCTGTGGGAGCCACTGCGGCGGCTGACGGATCGGTGGCATCACTCGCGACGATCGAGTTGATAGGGTTTGGGGGCGGCTGTGTTTTGTGATCGTCTGTAATCATGATCGAGGGGGACAGGCCCTGAGTGACAACCTGACCGAGGTGATCCTTGAGCGTGAAGATAACCTGGAACCCGAGTTTCTCGTGGTGGTGACGACAGTAGCAAGCAATCCGCATCGGCGCCTCAATCTGCAGGGTTCCGGAGGGCCTGATCTCTTCCGGAGGGGGCTGCTGCCATTCCTTGACCTCCTGAGTGTTGAAAACAATGACTCTCTTCGTCTCGTCCTTCTTCCAGTTCTCCTCCTCCTCTGGCTTCTTGACCTTCTTGCGATTGGCACGCTTGTGCTCTCGCGTGACACAGCCAGGGCAAATGTGCACCTCACCGCCATTTTCAGGCTTGTCATCACCCTCTGGCTCAGCCCTCACTTCCACGGGATGTCCGGAAACCGCAGCACGAGCTAATGCCTTGTCCTTCAGCCCAGGTTTGGCCATGGCGCTGGTACAGACGAGCTGGGTGAAGAGCTCGAGCGTGTCTGGTGCGGGTGCGGGCCTGGGTTTTGCCAGCAGCTTGGGCTTCGATATAGTGTGCGGCGGGAGATGTATCTTCTTGACGCCCGCTGGCACAGGATACAGCGTCATCTTGATGGGAATCTGGGTTTCCACGCGAGATTTGGGAGGGATCGAGTGGATGGTCAACTGGGGCCTTTGCGGTGCAAAAGAAGGCTGCTGCATCATCGAAAAGCCCATATTACCAGCGTTTGGTGCGGCCGCTGCGAAGTCCATCGACCCGGTCGCCGTGTTGTTTGGTGATAGTGAGGTCGCACCGAACCATGTGCTGCCTGACGGGAGGCCACTGAAGTCGGTCATCTCATTTTCAACAGGAGCGAAGTTCGGTACCGCAGACGGCGAGGACCCTTGGCTGAATACCATGTGTGAGGCTGGCGACACTTCTCTGGAGCCGGCGGTGCGTAGGCCGTTCATGGACTTGCTCAGGGAATAGTTCTGCTTTGAATAATGAGAATGTGAGCCGAGTAAAATCATGGGACGGGCTGATGGACCTACAGAGTGACGCTTGTTACGGTAGGAGTAGGGAGACTGTACGGATTGTGGAGAACCCTTGAAAGAGAAGACGTTATGATTCTCGGTATCCTCTGGGGGAGACTCGTCCGAGGCGTTGGCAGCCACGGGGCTCTGGCTACTGTCTGATGGGCTGGAGGAGTCGTGCCTGCGAGCAAACTGCGCGTCGCCGATGTCTATGTGCTCGCCGTATGGAGACTGGTCAAGAGCGGCGGGGTTGATGGTGCCGTTGGCGTTGTCGAAGATGGAAGGCATGTGGTCGATATCGACGAAGTCGCCGTGGTCCTCCCAGTCCAGCCTTGGCTGTGAGTCGAGCTGGTCCCACATGCCGGCCATGTCGACATCGCCGCCGTTCATAGCTGCCGCTGACAGGGTGGAGCTGTCGGTCCTGTGTGTGGTGGATGAGTCGGAGGCGGAATCTTGGTCGGAGGCGGTGGGTGAGGGGGCGGAGGGGATATGGCCGGGTGTAGACTGCAGGACGGGCTGGGCCTTGGGCTGGGAGAGATCGGGGTTCGACTGGATCAGGTCGAGGAAATCAGCAGACCCGTCGAGGCTGAGGTCGGGGTCGAGTTCAGAGTAGGCGTCGTAGTTGATGAAGCTGAGCTCGGACATGGAGACACCGTCGTTGGGACTGGTGGGCGGCATGACCAGCGACAAGTGCGGTGCAGGGCGTCGTCAGTCGGACTGTGTCCGGCCTGGATCCCGACTCAGCGCGCTGCGAGGTGTGGGATTACGGATTCGGGAGCTGGGCTGGGCTGGTCTTGGGCGGGTGCTGTCCAGCGGTTGCGCGACCTTGGTGATTTCTCAATCAATTGGGCGTCGGGTTGAGTGCGGTGGCTGGCCGTCGCTGCCGTTGGCGTCGGCGTGGTCTGTGGGAAGCAGCCGTGGGTAGAATGATGGGGCACGGGTGTGTGTAGTAGCAGTGTGGGAAGAGTCAAGTGGCGTTTTTGGGAACAAGAATGGATGACAGGGCAGAAGGAAGCGGAGGAGATTTCCTGGGATGGAGGGCAGCCCGCACCGGCGAGCCCCAGCATCAGACAGCACGAACAGCAACAGCACGCACAGCGCGGACAGCACGCAAGCAGGGCAGGCTGGTGGAGACTCGGGGGCACGCAGCACCAGCGCTGAGTGGAGGACTGGCTGTCTGGCAGGTTGGGAATGTTCGGGGAGGCGGTAAATAACTGGGGACAGGGGACCTTGGATCTGGACCAGGTGGGCTCTGGGCCGTGGGCCGTGGGACCCTACATAGAGCGTGGCTGTAATGCTACCAATCCAGGTTCCGTCTAGCGCGGGTCGCGAGCAGGCACGGCAGGTCAGATACCTTGCAGTACCATGCGGTGCCATATGCTCAACATGGAGGGAGCACCTCACCAGATGTACTGCCCTTGTATGTAGATGAACCTGCTGTGTGTGTGTGCCGTATCTACGGATGCACTGGAGATGACTGGCTCGTCCGAGTTGAGGGCGGGCGTTTGTTCGCTTCGATAGGGCTTCATTTGGAACAAGCAAGTTGGGTGTTCCATTTTCACCCCCCTGGATAGTATAATAGACGGCGGAGACAAGGGAGCGAGTGACTGCCAGTCCGACCATCCATCCACGCACCTATCTATCCGTCCATCTCTATCTGGCTCTGGCTGTCGAGGGTGACAGACCCAACTCACCCGAAATTGCCCGCCGCGATGGGATATGACGGGCTGGCGGGATGGGATGAGGATCCAAGCAAGACAAGATGTGCACACACAGGTCTTGGAACACAGGACATGGACAAGTCAAGAGTGGAGTTGGCAGAGCTGCTAGCGCGGCGACAAGAAGAAGAAAAGGCTATCCGTGCTGCGATCCCGTCTCCGCGATTATTAGTCTACAGATCACTGGACAGGCCCCCACACCGTCCTCCCCCAAACCTGAGTCTGCCCTGCCCGTCCTACCCGTCTGTCTGGTCTGAGGGATCGAATCGGTACCTACCTAGGATACCCGACCGATTGCAGCTCCTGGACCCTGGCACGCCGGGGGCTCTGACTTCTGAGACCCTTTTGTCGATGGATATCTTTGATTCTTATGCCAACATTCCCCATGGGGACGGCCAGAATGGCATCTTCCGTCCGTGTCGTGTCTATCGTCTCCCTTTTTTGCAACCGTCGGCTCTGAGACCGCACTTGCTTTTTCTGCCCTCTTGCTGCTGCCGCTGCCGCTGCCGCTGGCGGTGGCGGTGGCGGTGGCGGGGGCTCGTCTTGTTGTCCTTGCCTGGCCCACGCCTAGAAAACGTTGTTGTGCTCATACGTCCTAGCATCAATGATTCCATGCAGGTACTGTGTTATATTGCAACGTAAGCCAACAAACCTTCCTGCCCCCTTATGTAGGGTACACTGCTTGCCCATCATGTGTGTGCGTGTGCTCCGCCAGCCTGGCTGCTTGTTGATGTACCTGTGTGCCCAGGTGGCCAGCCTGGGCTTGTCCGCGGGCCAAGCCCTCGCAGCCTTTACAGCCCTCACAGCCGTCCCATCACGCAAGCTGGAGGCCATGCACCCGGCATATGCGGTGCAACTATTCGCAATCCCTTGCAACGGCCTGCCTGCCTGCCTGTCCTGTCCTGTCCTGTCCTGTCCTGTCCTGTCCTGCCCTGTCCTGTTGGCTGCCACTGCAGCTGTATCTAGGTATCATCTGCCTGCCTGGACAATGAGCTTGTGCGGCCACACGGGGCAGGGCCTGGCGCACAGCACTGCAGGGCCGACGAGATTTGATGTCACCGTCACTTCCGGACATGGGAATTGATGCTCGTAGCCTGTCACACAGCAGCCTTGTGTGCATTATCAGACCGACCGACACCGCTGCTGCTGCTGCTGCTGCTGCAACTGTAGCTACTGCAGCTGTGGCTGTGGCTGTGGGCTCTCTCCGCCCACGCAGTCCAGGGCAGGAGGGGAGGAGCATGAGGAGGCTCGTATCCCCCTCACCCAATTTGCAGCTTTCCTGCTCCCCTTGTCAATCGGCCCCCCAATACCCTGCGATTACTCGCCGGCCGAACTCTCGCACAAAGCCTCCGCTGTGTTCAGACGTGATGCTCCCCCGCCTGGCATGCAGGGCCTGCATGAGAGGTGACCTTCTTGCAGGCGGCCGTGCGTTCCGGTCTGGCACTAACTAAACCATCCGGGATTTAATTCTACGACCAAACTCCCGCTCCCTTCACCAAAACCCTGATCGCAGTCGGTCGGTTGAACTGGGCATTGTTTTGCGAACTGTCAATAGGCCACGACAGCACGTCCCAAAGTGGTTGCGACCTAGGCCTCTTTTGACCCTGCGACTGCCCAGCTACCTAGCAGCAGAGGTGGGTGTGTAAGGGTGAGTGTATTTGTGTGTTGCCTAGCCATGGACGACGACGGCGTATCCGGTGACTAACTGCTCTACACAGTAGCTGCCATCATTATTACCACAATTGAGTGGTCGCCACTTCGAAGTGACGAGTTGAGCACACCTCCGACATGTCCACATCCAAGGGCATCCCGGCAGAGAGAACTGGCAGGTGTTGTGACCTGCATGAGCGTTGACGCGAATGGCTAAACATTAACTCTGGTGCTCTACCTAGCCGACCCCAATCGGGTCCAGGCCCCATGGGGCCGTTTCCCAACTGACGACGAAAATAATTAGGAGCTTCGGTTGCGGGAGCTGGGCTGGAGCTCGCGCGTGCACAATCGACGATGATCGCATCGCGTCTGCAGCTTGGGAATCATTGTGGCTTCTGGTGGTACATGATACTGCATTGGCAGCCCCTGCCTCCCTGGAGCTGAATGATGTTGCAGTGGGCATTGGTTTTCAATGTACTGATCTCCAAAGCATCAAATGTCCGCCGGTAGCTTCTCACTCTGTGGCCTGAGACTGCGGCCGCGAAACATCTCCACGCAATGTCCAGAGCAGGCCAAGATGGCTCCTGCCTTCCACGTCATCTCGCCCACCGGTTGTCAGGTGCCAGTCAGCGGCAAACATGATCCGCAACGCCATCTCCCTGGACCTGGCCTGACCTGGCGGCTCGACAATCTGGCACTAGGACAAGAATATCGACCCGGTTGGATGGAGAGACGTCTCCGGTCCTTCAATGATCACCATCACGCGGGCTCATCATGAAACCGTATTGTGCGGCTTGTTAGGCCCGGAGCGGGCGGAGGTGTAGCCGGCGGAGGCGTAGGAGCCCTGTCAACCTCCTGCCCAGGCATATGCGGCCTGATCGTCCCTCTCTCGCCCCTTGGCTGGTCGCATGAGGCGACCGGTGGCTCGGGGCGCTCTGGAGGAGAATGTATCTGCTGATCCTGCTGCGCCGGAAGGGCTTCCGCTGGAATGACTGTCCCACCGATACGCCAAACAGCCCTGGCGGGGTTAACACGAGACGACCCTCGGCTATCCGGTTCAGATGAGTTCCTTCGATCACGATTCTGAGACTGTTGGCGTGATGTAGAGAAGGTCGGTAAGCGTAGAGCAAATCTGTCCAGGCGGCTCCTGGGGCTCGTAGCCACACCGGTGTCTGTATCTTCAGTGAGGCTCCGAGAAATGGTCCTTGGTAGATAGTATCCAAGCTTGCCTAGAGGTATGCTGAGGCCATGAACGACCTGTTTGTGCTTGTTATTAGAACCAAGCTGTGTAACAAGCTGCATGGATAGGGTCTAGACTTGCCACACTGCAGATGCATAGGAACCAGACAACTACAAGCACGGCCTCCGGCAATTTGTTGACTGCAAGATCTAAAATTAACTATTTCCATTCTCGGAGTGGAGGACAGAGCAAGAGCGTTGTGATACAAACTCTGAATTTCGAGCCCTTTAGTTTCTCTTGTAACGAGGCACGACAGCTGCGCTGATACACCACAAAAGAGCAATGGGTGCTTGCCCGCTTGGGTGGGGGTTTAGGAGGGGGTGTTGTTACTTACCATCAGGCCTAAGCTTCCCATTACCGTCTCTCAGTGTCTCCAAAAACTCCTGAGTGATGTATAGGTAGAAGACAGCAGACACTCCAATCGGGCCAAAGAAACCAACATATGGCCTGGCGAGCGCGCTCAATCTGGGGAATCTTCTTGTGAATGGCGTATACCCAGGGCAATCTCCGGAAGATTAGGACGAGGATGGCCAAAGGCACGAGCCGGTAGAGTGGGATAACGTCGTTGTGGAGGAACTTGCCCCAAGGAGCAACCGCACCATACCACATGAAGATACCGATGTTCAAGAGCATGTCGATGGTGGGCTGAAGGGAGTCGTCCATGGTCTCCAGACGGAACCAGTCGTCCCAGGTGAAAGCGTTCCCTGCGATGAAGCATGCCAGGACACTGTTGACCGTGATGAGCTTTCGCATTCGAGATGGGGCAGGATTCGCAGGACACATACTCATCGGTTCCAATCATACCACATGTGCCGGTAATGAAAAGGGCGAGCGAGAAGACGAAGACGAGGAAGCTCTCGCGGTCAACAAAGTCGTGCTTCTCGGCCCCTGGGTGCCGGTTAGTAATGATGCGCAACCACAGACATGTGCGACTCCCTGGTGGCCACTACTCACAATGCAGGAGCTCCTTCGCAACCCATCCCACAGCAGCGCCGTAAACTACAGACAAGATGATCGTGTAGCCCAAATTCTCACCAAACCACATGCCCATTGCCATGCGGACGCCTCCCGGTGCCGAACCAGCCCCGTTGCCAGTGTACTTGATTATGTACAGGGCCAGGAACAAGAAGGGGTACCCCAAGCCATCGTTCGCCCCGGACTCGGCAGTGATGATGTGCTGGAGATCCTTGGGGACGTTGAGATCGGCGAATCTCCCCTTAACGATCACGTTGGACAAGACTGGGTCGGTAGGAGTTATACACGACGCTACGACAAGCGCGTGCAGGAAGGGGAGGTTTGGGACCAGCGCCCAGACGAGGATGCTTGTGGAGAGCCACATGGCCGTCATGATTGGGCCCAGCAGGATAGCGAGAGGTCTCCATTCCGTTCTGAGATACCGGCTGGGAAGCTGCACTCCCGCCAGGACGAGCTGGACACCAAGCACGAGGCGTGAAAAGTAGAGGATGATCGAGTCTAGACTCTCCTGGGATCCGCTGTGACACAGCTCGATCAACTTGGTCCTTGGTGCGTGTGGTTGGAGTCCTACTCACGCGTATTCCAGGGGTCTGATCAGGTTACTCGCATGGGGCGAGAATGCCGCGCCCGCCAAGAGCGATATCACTGATTTGCGGTTGGGTCAGCCTGGGGGGTGGTTCTCTTATTTCTCCGAGGCACAACGACAAAAGCGAGATGCAGTGCCTCCTCGCATACGAAACGGTGCCGGGCACAACTCACATGCTTCGGACAGGTAGAAGTGTTCCTTGCATAGGTACGAAACCAAGCCGAACAAGGAGATCCATCCCCCCAGGACGGATAACACGATGTTGAAGTTGTTCACCTCTAGGGTCGGCATCTTGAACTCTGCGCTCGTCTGAACCCACGAGCCGTTGCCTCGTAGCGGAGGATGGAATGCTTGGGGTCGGTTTCGTCTATGTCACTCCGGAACACTCCTTGGCGGTCAACGACTTCGGCGGGTACTGGTATGCTTGACTGATCGAGATAGATTGAGACTTCATTGGCTTGTAGAGTTGACCTGTCATGTGGCTCTGAGAGGTGGGGCCGTGACAAGAGTTGCCGTGCGGATTCGCCTCGACCTCTGCTTTGCACTGTCGCATTGAACGCGGTGTCCGTCCGGTGGCACTTGCTGTCGCCTCGGGCCTTGTTCCTCGCTGTCCGAAGAGCAGAAAGGGGAGTGACTATCTTGTTGCTTAGGTACAGGGCAGCCACAGCAACGATACAAAATTATTTCTCGGCCCAAGCGTCCCGCTCACCGACGACCGGCCGGAGGAAGCGCCGAGGCGGCCGACACTTGTGCCGATCTGGATCGCTAATCCGCCATTTGATTGATATGCTTCGGTACACAGCTCATGCAAAACACATCATAATACAGACACCCTTCAGAAACACCGACTCACTTGCAGATGCATGTTGATGATCTACGAACAACACTCAATTCAAATCATCCGTTCAAGGACTCGTTCTTATGTGCCTGAGCGCAAGTAATTGTGTACAGCTGAACCGTGTCTAAAATGTAGCTCGAGGCCAGAATATCGGCAAACGTAACCTACAACGCCGCGCCCACCCAAAAAAAAAAAAAAAAAAAAAAAAAAAAAAAAAAAAAAAAAAAAAGGGGGGGGGGGTTGTGAAGACCTGACCATCCCACATCACCAGGACTGTCCAGCCACAAAGGTCCTCCTTTCTCTGCAAGCCCTAGAGCCAGTGCAGGCCGTGCCTGTGCTTCCAAAGAGTTCACACCGCACCAGCTCTACGATATAATACTCGACACCTGCGTCGCTATGACACTGCGAGGTTTCAACCCCTAAGGATGCGAGTTCCCAGAATGAACACATTGCGGGCTCCGTGTATCGTAGAAGCTTTCTGCCCGTACTTCCCGTCCCAAAGTTCGAGCGGACGCCTTTGGCCGTGATGAGGGCCGAAGAGATAACCCTGATCAGAAAAGGCAGCCCTCAACGGCGTCCCCTGCCCGACTTGGCCATGTTCGCGCCGCCGACGGCGAGCTTGTCCGCCGAGATGTTCCCGGCGCTCGACTCATGGCCCTTGATCCACTTGATCAGCGTCGTCGTGCCGTGGCTCTCGCGCTCCCGTATCTTGACGAGGACCGCCTCGACGAGATCGCGATTCTGCACCTGCCCCTTGTGCGTCTTCCAGCCGTTCTTCTCCCACTTCACAAACCACTCCGTCACGCAGTTGATAGCGTACATGGAGTCAGACCAGATCATGACTCCCTGGTCCACGGGGACCGTCTCAAGCGCTCGCAGGATTGCGGTCAGCTCGGCACGCTGGTTAGTTTGGGGCGTTCCTGACAGCCGCTCAGAGATGTTCCTGCGTGACGTCAGCTAGGGTTCATGCGATGGAGGAAGAGGCGGCCGGTGTCAGATGCTGTTACGTACCTTGGGTCACCGTCGCCGAAGAACACACCCACCCCTGCCACAGCCCCAGTCTGCCCGTTGGAGAGGGTGCTGCCGTCGGTGTAGATCTCGAGCAGGTCCTCGACGGTCTCGCCCGTGATAGCCAGAGCGATCTCGTCACTCGACAGCTTGGTCCTCTTTGCTGCGGGGCTCACTCCAGCATCGTCTTCCTCGTCCTCATCCTCATCCTCAAAGTCGAACGTCTCCTCGGGCGCTGGGCCAGCACTCAGCTGGATGCTCTGGATCCACTCTTCGGCCGCCTCCCGCGTTTCGAACTTCTTGTACTTGGGCGCCTTTACTCCCACATAAGCCGCCTGCGCTTCACTCCATTCCGTGTATACTCCTGGCTTGTTGCCGATCGCGACGGCGTAGAAACGAGTGGGTGCGATGCCGGGGTTGGGGTTCTTGCCAGCCGCGTAGAGCTGAGCCTCCTCACGCGTGCTGAAGGACTTGTCTGTTCAAAGCTGCCTTGTCAGTGGCGGAACGTTGACGGCAGTTGGGTTATTGCTGAAAGGGTGGTGGCTTGAGAAATGTCCTTGGGGGGTGGGGGGTGGAAGGGTCGGTAAGTAGCTCACAGTTGGCACCAGCAAAGCCGTTGGTCATGGCCTGGCACTCAGCCCAGGACATGTAGACACCAGGAATCTTGCCCGCGCGCACTGCGTAGTATCTCTGCTCGCCGGGCCTGCGCTTTCGCTTGACGGGGGCTGAGTTCATCTTGCTGGCATCGTTCGCCATTGCCGAGGCGGTAGGCGCGTCGCCCTTCTTAGTTCTTGCTGCGGGCATGGTGGTCGCGCGTGTCGCAAGACGGTTCGCTCGGCGGAGTGCACGTAATTGCGTCCGGGTCAGTTCGACGGTCTCGTAGGTTTCAATCCAGAACGTGGTCGTTGGCGAACGGCTGCTGCGGCGGGCAGTCCAGGGCAAAGAGTCGGGCGGGGGACAATGAAGGGGGAATATCCGTGCTGTGCCTTTATTAACACTGGTGAGAAAGGCCGCGGATACACGCGTCGGAGGTCGCGTCCGTCGCGAGGAGTGTTCACATATGCTCCAGACAAGTTGTTGCCCCTTCGGCATCGGTGTCTGTGCTGGTTGTTGGGTTGATGTCAAGCAGTTTGGAGGGGGGCCCCCGCAAATGAATTTATCGACCAAACAGGAAGCGCCCAGCTCCTCTGCTGGGATACTTGTTATCCATTCCACTCAACCACCGTTACATGCACTCGATCAAGTTGTGACCGTGGTTTTCATTAGCAAAACAGTCTTGATATGCAAAGAGAAGATGGGCTACAGGGCCAGGCAAAAGGCCTGCTGTGGATGCTGATCAGCAAGCTCAGGCGGTGGTGCTGAGGACAAGAAAATAAATGCCAACAGGCAGGAATCAAAACAGAAACGCGGTGGACACAAGGCCTTTCTCTGTCCAAATATCAATTCAGTGCCTGCCGAACATCTAAGGAAAGGAAAGTGTTGGGTATAACTGGGCTACCGGAATATCCCTCCAACTCTGCTTCTCCTCCCGTCACTCAACCTACCCGCCCAGTTGCCTGTCAACGGGCATATGAGTGTAGATGTGAGACATCGCTCTGTCACATGCACTGGTACTGACCGGAGTTATTGGAACTTTTCAGGCTAATCTATGTAAGATTCTTTACGAGGATTGATCTCGAGGCTTGTCACTCAGCAACTCCTGGAAGGTGCCATAGACTGTAAGACTGGCACGCACTTGATGCTGCCCTCGGTTCTACTCCTAACGGCTCACCCTCCACAGGCCAACTATCTAGATATGGGCATTCCTGCCGCAGCCCTGAATTGAATGGTTCTGATCTCCTGCCAGGCTCCACGTCCTACCCGGAAGAGGGCAGGCTCCTCTAACAGCTGTAAAGTGCCCTGACAATAAAGTGGTCACTTATCTAGCCGCGGCCTGTTTGCAATGCTCAGCATCCAGCCGTATTTGCTTCCTAATGATGAAGAGCTTTGAGGCGGCGCTCGTACAAACAACTCTTTCTGCAGTAGAGCAGCAATCGCAGGACTATTCCACTTTATCGGCAGTGGGAAACTGTCTCTGTAGCCCCATGCTGAACGAAGCCTTCCGTCGAGCATGACTGAACCTTGTGGCTAGACAATCATGTCACAGAAGCCTAATATCGCTCATAAGCCATCTCACAGCCGGAAGATCTTGCCTCGAGGGCTTGCAGGTCGATTTAAGGCGATGACGAGCCCCATCCACGAGGTTCCTTTCGCTCATCATCTCCCTCCATGGTTGCTAGTGCTCCGGTTGCAACTTTGCGTAGGTCAAGCATGGACTGTGGGGTGAACGTCGTGATGTTGGACGCACTTTTGGCCCTCCCACTCCCATGCAACCAAGCTCCAATTCAGCTCTCTGCGCCAGAAGAGTCCGAGGCCATGTCCGCCGCCAAACTCTGCCAGATGTGGCTGATTGTGCCCACGGACCTCCGATGTCATGCCGCCCGTCAAAGTCATTCGCTCGCTGAACACGACCTTGCCCATGCGCGAGTGCAGAATCGCCATGGAGCACATCACACAGGGCTCATGGGTAACGTAAAGCTCAAGGTCGTGGCAGAGGTATCCATCCGGCGTTGGGTGATCCTCCTTAAAGACCTTCTGCTCCTCATCGAGCAGAGGCTTGTCCTGGAATGCCTCGAACTCCAATATCGGCTCGGGCCCTCCGCCCTCCCTCTGTTCTGCCCGGACGAGCTTCTGAGCGACCATGCTGATTGCCCGCATAACTGAATGGGCCATCGGGTTGCCGGTGCTGCATGTCTTCGCTTGCTTGTGCCACCGAGCGTCGGCTGCTAGAGCCACGATGCGGCAGCCATCTGGACCACGATGAACGATGCAAGCGCCCATGGGCTCACCATAACCAGCCTCCTTGCCCTTCTCGGCGACTTGGTGTGCCAAGCCCACCCAGATGGACGCATCTGGTCTGATCTCGTCCGTGTACCGGGTCACCATGCTAGGGTGGGGACCAAGCGGGTTGTTCTTTCGGTACACACAAGGCCAATATTGCTCAGACCACATCGCAGCCTGGATCTGGGATGTTGGGGCCAGAGAGGGGACTGGAATAGTAGAGAGCCACGGGCCACGGGCTGACCCATTGGCATCAACAAGTCCCTCGACCGAGCACAAACCGTTGAGCAGCTCTTGTTTGGATAAATTGGCTGCGGGTCCGACGATGATGTAGATCCATTGCGATTTTCCTGTGTGTATTTGTCGGCTGCTGGCATCGTCGTGCATGAATTGAAGCTTCAGGTGGGCAGGTAGGTCAACGGGCTTCGCACATCGACGCAAATGAGGCATGCCTTTAGCAATAGCCTCAGGCAGGAGATTGCGAAGCAAGCTGCAGGAAGATTAGATTAGTCCACAGGATCCTGGGCCCGGAAAGACAGCTGGGCAGCAGGGAGCTCACGTAATGACGGCATTGGCGCTCTTGACAGGAACTCGCGTGATGACCACGTTGACACAGCGGTGGTCGTCACGAAGCTCCAGTGTGGTCTTCAAAGGGATCAAGACGCCGTGGCTGACACCGACTGGCAAGATGTCTTTAACCACCTGCTGCTGGGCCGCTATGATGTCGTCCATGTTCTTGGAGGAAGCATGAGTATCCACGGCGGCCATTGTGCCAGCGTTCGAGCAAAGGGTGCCCACTTTGCCTATGATTTCTTATTGGGTGGTCGTCGCCAGAGGTCTGGTATCGTGTGAAGCTCCAAAAATGACCGAGTACCACACCAGGTCGGTACTCTCACGGCGGTCGTAGGCAAGCAATCAGAGGATGCTGGGTCGAGCTCAGGACCAGCTCGTCGAAGACTGCTTTTGTCGAGATCTCCTAGTCTTGGCAGGTGCGCATGGTGCTTCGCGATGTAGTGTGATTGGATTCGAGTGGGCGGCGGTGGGAGGAGGGGGGAAAGAGCATGCGTAGATGACTACAGTGTGAGGAACTATCCTGGTGTGAATGAACCGCAACGGAGAGGTAGTAGAAGAGATTCGTCACACAGCTCTTTGGCGAAGTGCAAGAGAAGGGAAAGTTCGACCCATGTAGTCGCACAAAGTCAAGGCGTCGCGATTCTCGACGTGATTCTTGGAGGGCAATCGCGAAAATGCGGCAGATCTTATCAGCAGGTTGCATTATGTGGGGCGGACAGCTCTCTTCAAGTACCCAGGTACCCTTAGCGACCCAATTGCAGCGGTTGCGGGTCCAAGGGTCCCCCAAACTGACAGGCACCTTGATGGCCAACGCGGGAGGGCCTACCGAAAAGCAGGCAAGTGCCTTTAAGGACAAAATTACGCGCCTCGAAGAGATCTCTGGATCTCAAGATCAAGATGGCCATAACCACAATTGCATTATCAATGTACTCGAACTTTTGGACCATCGAACAGCTTCATCAAGTTTATCTGACGAACATACATACTAGGTCTGTGGGCGAGTGCGAAGATGACCACGTCGTCCCCGTCAAGAATCCGTCTTCGTGGTAGAATTTACACGTGAAATGCCCTCTGGCTGTTGATACCAGTTCAGACCAAGCATCCCCTCTTGTATCAGTAGCTGAACCGACGTATGGACGTGTCAGACTCGAAATACATAGGCCCAGGGCCGGCAACCAAGCAATTGGGGCCGGTATTGTACACTGTTGGCGTGAATCTTTGTTGTCCTTGTGGTGACCACAGACTAACCCTTGCGGCAGCCTCGAATATTCTGAACCTGTGGACAAGGACGGTATCAAATACAGGGTGAGTCTCAGCCGTCTACTGTGCCATGGCAACCAAGAGATTCAGATCTCGCAAATCCTCACGGCGTGGGGGTAGTTTGTTGCAGGGGTTTGCTGCTTTCATTACCCCCCTGCCCTTTCTCTCCAGGGTTGTGCATTACGAGGCAATTGTTTTGAGGCTGCTCGGGGTTCGTTTCGCTGTTTGATATCGCAGCCGGCTCGGCCACAGGGCTTGGACTTGACAGCTCGGCGTCTCCCGTGTGCCACAACACCTTAACTCAGATACACTTCAATGCTAGAGATCCCCCACTCGGGTTTCTCGCTCGGCCACCGGGGACGATTCGCCTCGCGGGGAGTCGTAAGCTGGCACCGGCACCCCTCCGCGCGAACTGGGCGTTTCTCCATGTCTCCATCCGGAATGAAACAATGGGGGCCGTGGCTGGGAGTACGTTGAGGTTGAGACCCCAAGGGCTTCCCTTGAGGCGGGTGTCGGGCATGCGATACCGACAGGCACGGTTGTCGATCCTAAACTGCCAACGGCTTGGCTCCCAGGTTCTGTCGGTGTATCACTCTTCACCGAATAAAGAAGAGGGAAGCGAGGTGTGTGTCTCATGCCCTCGCGTCTTGAGAAGCAGTCTGTTTCAAGACAAAATGGTTTCCACTGCTCATCAGAGAAGGTTTCATGAAGACTTCATGAATAAGCTTGGTAGGAAAAGGGGCCCACTTCAACCCATCAACCTCAGACTCAACCAGCCCAGTCCAGCGACTATGCGGATATGCCCCGAACTGAATTAATTCCCTCAGGAACTGGTGACTGCTCGGGTTGGCAGAACATGACATTAAGGAGACGAGGGCATATGCGGTAATCGTGACACGTTGAGTGTTGCCCCCGGATGTTAGGCAGGAGTTGATGGTTTGCGTCAGTTGAGAGGAGATCGAATGCAGGTCAGTAGAGTTGCGGCCAAAAGGTCTGGGTCGTCAGACGCGCTCTGACGACAGCGGAGCCATAAACTGGGGTCTGCTCGGAAAGTGGAACCTGGGTGATGCAATAAGACAGGAGGAACTCGAGGTAGCCTACCATTGTCCTTGCAGTCTACCGTGCTGCGTGTCAGATGTGTGCACGACACACGCAGGCCAGTGTCTGTAGGGCTGGGCTCTCGGGGAATAGGTCTCCCCCCTAGAAACAACGGCAAGACGGGCTGGAGGGAAGGATTGAGGCACCCGGAACAGGCGTTGGCGTTTGCCTTCGGGGAGTACAGAGTGGCGGACCATAGCGCAGGTCCAGTGTGCAGGTCCAGTGCCATGGCGGACATACTCCAGCATACTCTGACAGTCCGAGTCTGTGATGGACAGCGCGCCAAGGAGATCAGAGTCATGATCGACCCCAGGCCATCTGCTGTGGACATGCCCCATTCCTGGGCCCCCTCCCTGGCGATCCCAGCCGCTGGCTACCTTGGTACCTCTGTACCTTGTCAGCTTGTCAGGCACGCGCATTCCGACGACAAGGTGAGACGGATTCCGGAGACACGTCCTGTGGCTGTCCGTCTTGTTCTGTTTCCCGGGCTCCAATCGGTGTTTGCAGCAGGTGCGTCTGGGCAGAGGCTTGGAAGCCCAGTCGGACTTTATCCAGAGCACCTGCACCCAGGGCCTGGATACATTATTAGACCCTCTGAGATTAAGATCTCTTGGGGCCGCCTTGGGAGCGCAGCTGTCCACTTGGCTCCCAAAACAGTCCCAGGTCTGCCAATACGTCCCAATTTAGACGTCCATCACCATCCGTAACGGCTCCCCCCAAACTCCAAACATAAAGGCCTCAGACGTGAAGGGAGTCACCCCACGTCCGATTTAGAAGTCGTCCTATCTATTCAAAGTCAATGCTGGCTGCTCCCGACGCTCTGATCCGGCTTGGCAGATCTCAGCACTTGCGATATTAAGCCCAGAGCTTCACCTGGCCAACTGCGTGCGACCAACCTAGCCCCCATTCATAGAGTTTGTTGAGAGATTCCTCGAGTTCCAACCAAGCCTTCTTAGCCAGCCGTAGCGTGCTGTGCCTCACACCTTGGCAGAAAATAAGAACTGGAAAAGCCTACACACGACAGCTGGACCCTCCGGCTGCCACAGCCCTCAACCATAGCCCACCCACGTCCTCCCCAAGCCTTCAAGACTTGCCAGATTTGCAAGCCTTGCAAAAACTTGCAGAGCCTGCCCGCTGAGCAGCTGGCAGTGTGGACTGACTGGTGCTGGACCCTGATAAATTCCGAACCTGATCCCCGCCCCCCGTCACGCCCGGGCTCGCCTCACCCCCCACCACGACAGCACCTGTCTGTTTGCCTCCCCGCTAGTGACGTGGGCCCTGGACTCCACTGCCGGGGGACTCACCTGCACCTGCACCTGCACCTGCACCTTGCGCCTGGTGCAGCTGCCGCAGCACGCCCCTGCCCAGGCCCTGCCAGCGAAGGCCAAGCAAGTCACCGATTGGCCGGCACATACGTAAACTCGATCTCACAGCACCCCAAGGCAAGCAGACCAGCAGCCGCACCGGCACCCGCTCACCACCTGTGCGCCCCAATTTCAAATCCTGGCAGCTGCGACGCCCACCCCCAGAAAAATCATGGCTTCCGCTGCGATCTTCGGAGTATCCCATCCAAATAATCACACCAGAGGTTCGTCTCTTTTCCTGCACCGACTGTTCTCCCTTCCAAATTCTTCCCTACAACATCTGCCGTATTCTTCACCACACACCCAATCCCCCGGCTGACCAGATCCGGAATCAAGACAAATCCTACTGGGACCACCCGAAAGAGCCATCGTCGTCATCCCTCTTCAAACAGGTCATGCGCTCCCAAGCCGCCGCAGCCCACCACAAGTCCTCATCGCAAAGCCCACCCCGCCAGCCCAAAGAAAATGCACGCCAACACGATGCGCCCAACGGGCTCAGCGTCGGCGACCCGGGGCTCATTCCGCCGCCATCAGCTCCCCCATTGCTGGTGAACGCCCTCAAGGGCATCAATGGTGTACCAGACCCTCTGGTGACGCTCCGCGAGAAGCCCCGCGAACATTCCTTTGACTCACCATACGCGCGCTCCGCCAACTCGACCGCGCCGGGGTCGCCACGAATGTGAGTACCTCTCCCTCCCATTGCTTCCTAGGGAAACAATGTTGTCTTTTTGGTTTTACATCTTGCCGCCATGGGTCTGTTGTATTGATCGTTGTTTGTCCAGTCCACCTGTGCGCCAAAATTCCGGGAGCCAGACACCACGGGTGCGGCCCCACGCCACCACCCTGAGCATTCCGGGAATGACAAGGTCGAGAGTGTCGCCCGATGGCAAAATCGCAGAGAGGGACGTTGCTGCCAAACTCGTGATAATTATGGTCGGGCTGCCCGCGCGGGGGAAATCATACATCACCAAGAAGATCCAGCGTTACTTGTCATGGCAGCAGCACAATACGAAGATCTTCAACGTCGGAAACAGAAGGCGGATCGCTGCCGGTCAGAAGCCTCCAAAGGCCCCGACCGCTTCTGACGACACCAAGAGCGTCGATGGCCGACTGCAGGCTGCCACTATCTTGCTGAACGGCGTCACTCAATCCTCCTCGGACGAGCCAACAGCCCTAGACCTGAACGATTCAAATGACGAGAAAACGGTACACCTAAACAATGACCCCACCAACGGCAACCTCAGCGAAGGCCATGATGTTAACAACTTTGACCAGTCTGCCAAGTTCTTTGACCCTACAAATGCAACAGCTGCCCAGCTCCGTGAGAAAGTGGCCATGGATACCCTGGACGAACTACTCGACTATCTCGTCAACAGCTCTGGTGCCGTTGGAATCCTGGATGCGACAAACAGCACAATAGCAAGGAGGGAGGTTCTCGTCAAGAAGATACGACAGCGGGAGCCAAAACTGGGCATCCTCTTCATTGAGAGCATTTGCCAGGACAAGAACGTACGTATTCAACCTCAAGGTTCTGGCCGAAACAAGGACTGACACTGTCGATAGCTCCTGGAAGCCAACATGCGCCTCAAGCTTTCCGGGCCTGACTACAAAGACAAGGACCCAGCCAAGTCACTGGAGGACTTCAAGGCTAGGGTACAGGCGTACGAGAGCGCATACGTACCGCTTGGCCAGTACGAGGAGGAGCGGGACCTCCAGTACATCCAGATGATAGACGTGGGCCGCAAGGTGATCCATCACAGGCTGAAGGGCTTCCTGAGCGGGACCATCGCCTCGTACCTGACGACGTTCAACCTGGCACCCAGGCAGATCTGGATTACCCGACACGGCCAGAGCGAGGACAACAAACTACAAAAGATAGGCGGCAACTCTCACCTGACCGACCGTGGCCAGTGTTACGGAGCAGCACTTTACAACTTCATGACCAAGAAACGCCAGGAATGGCTCATAGACCAGAAGGACAGACTTGCTCAGTCTTCATTCCCCCCAAAGGCTGGAGACGACACTCCTCCGTACCCCGAAATGTACCACGAGCTTCAGCAGAAGAACTTCTGCGTCTGGACATCCATGCTGCACCGGACTATCGAGACAGCAGCGTACTTCGACAATGATGACGACTACGATGTTAAGAATTGGGAGATGCTGAATGAACTCAATGCGGGGACATTCGAAGGCATGACCTACGATGAGATTGCTGTCAAGTATCCAAACGAATACCAGAAGCGTACCGCTGACAAGCTCAACTACATCTATCCCGGCGTCGGCGGGGAGGGGTACCTCGCGGTCATCTCGCGGCTGCGCGACATGGTCCGGGAGATTGAGCGGGTTACGGACCACGTCCTGGTTATCAGCCACCGGTCGGTCTGCCGTGTGCTGATGGCATACTTCATGGATCTCTCGCGGGACGGCATCGCCGACCTCGACGTGCCACTCGGTATGCTCTTCTGCATCGAACCGAAGCCATACGGGTATGAATTCCACGCGTACAAGTACAACGAGCCAGCAGGATGGTTCGACGAGCTGCCAGATTATAAACCACAAAAGGCGACTGATAGAAACAACTGAGACGGCGTGATGGTTTCTGATCAGACTTGATACACTAGCATGTACATTTACAGGGCGGCGGTGGTCAGGCGTTTTCAGGACGGCAGCAGTGGTCTGCCTCATTTCACCGGGCTTTCGGATTGGCAACGATTGATAGATAGACCATAGACGACAGCTACAGTGCTCAATGCTACAGGTCATCTTGAGATGCTTCGCTGCCAACCACAAGATGGTGGACGACCGTAAAACGGCGGATACAAACTGGTTACATTGGACGGACTACTCTAGCCAGGAACAGTCTTAGCATACCAGTGTGGTTTCCTTGTTTTCTACCTACTACTTCCCCCCTCCGCCCCTGCCCTTTTGTTTCTCTCTTGCCCGGGAGACGAGGGAGCACGTCCAAGGTCTCAGTGCTGGATGTCTCGCGCGCCACCCGAGACTAGACGGACGGTTGTATGTAACGTGCCGAACAAACGAGTGGCGACCTACAAAAGGTCGCAAAGAGAGGAGTGGCAACAAGCGAGTTTGAGGCAGAAGAAAAACCTCACTATGCAGATGCATGAACGGCCGGGGAGATAGATGATTTGCAGAGCGCAGAGTGTGTTGCATCATCTCATCTAGACTTGGAGCCCCCCTCCCCCTTCCCCCTCTCCCAAAAAAAAAAAAACACAATGCAGGGGGGTTGCATTCGGCCTCAGCCCTACAGGACCACCCCGCTGGGGCCGATAAGCTTAACTCATAAGGGAAGGACCCTGTGCTGATCAATTGTGGGCTAGAGCCAATTGGGTGTAACAAGGCGTTTGAGCCTCGACCGTTTCCGGGCGTGCTCTGGATTTATGTACAGTACCCAACCAAAAGAGTATGCGATCCCAAACCTGGTGCATGGCCTCGAGACTTGGAGCACAATTCATGATCCATGTATGTAGCCATTCTGCAGTGTTGCTATACTGGGTGGTAGATACAGTGAAAACCAGCTTCTTGCAGCTATCGCGAGTCTCCTCATCGGAATAGAGGTATGTCCGTTATACCACTACTACAAAAGACACAGTCGTTACATTTGCGTTGGGAATGAAGCCTACGCAAGAATTCGGATATGACATCGTCGAACCATAAGTAATCATACGTGGTTTTCACTTGGAGATTTACACATCCGAGGGGGGAGTATGCACTCTTCCCAAGACTTGACGTGAAAATCGCCTTTACAGTTGCGACCAAAGATTGAGTGGTATTTATTAACTTCCCAAACATGTCTAGAGTTCGATATAAACATGAGAAATCAGACACCCCGACGATGGCTGTTTTCGTCCCACGCGAAAGCGGGGCCAGGGGTCGCACAAGCTTATATCCAGAGCGTGTAGCAAACAAGACTCGGAGATCGGGACAACAAATGTATCAGGGCACCGAAGATATTGGACAAGGCTCCAGACCTTGAGACACACACAACCGAGAGGCTGCGCAGCTCAATAAATCACGTAATGAGCTTCGCATACCCCACGCACGAGCGTTCTATGGGCTTCCCGGCCCTGGACGCCTTCCCAAAGAAGCACGGGTCGTTCTCGAGCTGCGCCTGCACCCACATTGGCCACTGGTTGTAGCGGACAAAGTCTGGCTCGACCTGCCGGTTGAGATGTCTCAGCCACCGGCCCATACCCTCGTCGACGTTGCCCTTGTCGCTCTGCTTCTGGGACCACTCCTTTTCCACCTCGGTGATCACGGCCATGATCTGTTTGATGGCGATCCCTGAGGAGTAAAGTCAGTGGGTGTGTCTTGATATACAGCTTTTTAGGTAGGGAGGGAAGACTATGATGCATTGTTGGAAAGGATCCTTGGGGTTGAGTGCAGACATACAGTTGGCAGCCAGCAGCGTGAAGACCTGGTCGCTAGGGTCCACTATCCTGGAGAACTCCTCGTGCGGGAGCATAATCCACCAAGAGTAGTGATCGCCCATAGCCTTGTATGCTTTTGCGTGGGATGGGAGTCAGCACAGCGAAGAACAGAGGCTGAAAAGCTGGCGCGGCTACAAACCTTTATAAGGCGACTCCTCGTGGAGCCCGTTGGCCATATCTTCAGTCATCTGAAGGTACTTCATCTTCAGGTCGTCCCCGGCACATAGGTTCTTTATCCCCGCAAGGGACGCCAAGGCCCCGGCCTTCCATTCCCACATCCTATCCGGAAGAGTCACCTTGTCTATGTGAGGCTTGAGGAGATCCTTCTGGTCTTGTTCAAGAAGGTGCTTGAACATGAAGTTAACACCTGCCTTCCACATCTGTATCACTACTATGATGACGCCCCGGATGAAGGCCATGTACTCGGTCACTGTAAAGTGGGAGTCAGTGGTCAGGAAAAGGAATGGAATGGCGTCCTCCCTGGGTGTGAACGAGTACCAACAAGCCGGCGGGCACGGTGCACAATAGACCCGGGGCGGGGTGTGTCTTGCGGGAGCTGCTTACTGCCGTCCTCCAGGATAACGCTCTGGAAGGTGAGAGCAAAACAGGTTGCGATCAAGGCATTTCCCTCAGCATAGGTGATTCCCTGGTTGCTGTCCGCCAGCTTGCGCTTGATGGCCTGTATAGACTTGAGGCGATGAGCCATGGCTGCCTCGGCGAGCGAGGGGTCGGATGCGATCAGCTCCGAGGCGGCGAGACCAAGGATGCTGTGCATGAGAAATTCATACTGCGTGGACAAGATCGTCAGCGTCGGAGGTTAGCATTTTCTGGTGGAGAAGGAAGGCTGCTGCTGCTGCTGTCGTACGGACAAGACACGCAGATTTTTACGCACGTTATAAGACAAGCATGGGACTTCGTGGGTCCAGATCGCGTCGTTGCCAAGGGGGTGGTGGGGGAACGAATATTGGAGGAAGTGCTGAAAGAAGCGCATGTCCTGCATGGTGAAAAGGGGTATCTGGTGTTTCGGCTGGATCCCGTCAAGTCCAAGGTTAGTTGTCCCCAATCAACTCGCATTATGTGCGGGTTGGCTCGGCTGACCTGGTGTACTATCTGGGGTACGGCTGGGTATTCGCACTTCAGTTTTCCCTTGATGCAATGACCACAGGCAGGGTGAGTCTCTTGACACTTGGAGGTTGAGTCGGGTTAGCCCAAGTTGCGGTCAGATGGGTGGCAAAGGCTCAGGAAGCGTCGTGACTACCTTGATCCGCCTCTTCTTGCAGTTGAAGCAGCCGTTGCGGGACTTGAAATGCCCTCTCCTCTCAAGCTTCTTCTTCTTCACAGGATCCCTAGTGACTGCACCCAAGGGGGCTATCGGTATGGGCGCGCGCGGTACGATGGCTTGTTGTGGAGAGTTCGAGAGGGTCGCCGACGACGACGACGACGACGACGACTCTCCGGCTGAGTGGTCGGCGCTGAGGTGGTGGAGAGAGTCATCGAATACATGTTCGCTGGACTCTGGAGCCGCCGAGAGTCCAGCGAAGTCCAGTTGGTCCCAGAGCCCGAGATCCATCTTGGTCGACCACGTTGGCGTGTGATTTGAGCAGATGCGAACTTGAGGCAGCCTCCTCATTCCCCTGCGGACCTAGGCGACAGCGTTGAGATCGTCTTGCGTTGAAGAGTAGGAACCAGGTTTGTCCAATAGAACGGCAAGAGTCATCACGTACACAGAAGACAGACCCGCGGTGTGAGGTCAGTCGATCAGCAGTGAGGCTGAAATGCCAAGGCGAGCCGGCTGTGTCGACAAGTGGCAGCAAATCCTTCGGACAAGCAGGCAGGGCACCCTGTTAGGCTGTCTCCGATCCGTCAACCCAGAGTTTATCAACGATTTCTCGTGAAGCAACACAAATTCCCGCGTTGGTCTGTAATCTTGTTTACTTTTCAACAAAACATGAACAGGACGTTTTGTTGCAGAATCTGATGGCTGAACAGGACCGTCCAGCGAGAAGTCGACGGAAATCAACCCCATCTTGTACCGCCAGGGTGCTAGGCGATGGGGAAAAGAGTTGGCCTTCGTGACGAGTATTGATCATACAGTTGAGCCAAATGTAGGTCTAGGTGTAGTTGTCTTGGAATCCCAGGCGGAGCAGCCAGATCCCTTGAGTCGATGTGCGCGGTCTTGGTCACGGCGATGCGGCCGGGTTTTGTGGGGGCCGGCCCGGCCGATCGAACTTCAACGGGGGCGATTGACCCGGCAGGTGTGGAATGGCTCTTCTCGGGCAGCCGAGAAAAAGGCACGTCGGCGATTTTGTCACGCAACGCCAAGCCCCCATCGAAGAGGTTGCAGGATGCATTGAGCTGTCATTTGCAGATGCGGTGCATTGCATAAGGGCGACAGCTAGAATGTGGTGTGAACGCCGAAAAAATGGTACTGTATGTTCGGTATCGCGGAGACCGTACACGACCCAGCAGAACCCACGCAACTCACTGCTGCACAAAGTGCCCGGGCCTGCAAAGCCCGCTATCACAGGTCGCCCGACTTAGGAGCCGATATCTATTGGCCACCTGCATTGGCACTCTGCCGTCTGGTCATGCTTGACGGACATCATCGAATGAAAGCAGATGGGCGCTCAACGTTTTAATGTACTTCGGCCAGCAAGTCTTGACTGCCAACCTAGGTGTAACAAAACCAGTCCTGTTTCTCCACCGCGTGTAGACATCTGAGGCGCGGACGATTCCGGTTCCTTGATTTGAAACTAAAACCAAAATTACATTCGGGCTCTTCTCTGCACCGTCAACGTGTTATAAAATATCTCATTGTCCGCAGCAAATATTGTGCTACACTACTCATGACTCCGGCGAATCTGTTGGGAGCCGTAATCTATTCGACGCAGGCTTGTAGGCATTTGGCAGCACGTGCAAATTATTGCCCGGTCCTCTTCTCAGGCGACATTTTGAAATGGAGATGAAACGTTTCTTCGTATCTGTCAACGCCTCATCATTGATATTACGCAGACACGAAGTGACAGAGCAGAAAAAGCAGTTTCGCTGAATGCAGACAATTTGCTGCCCGATCGAGACAAATCGTATGGTCGAGGCGAGCGGTCGCTCGCGCATCTCGCCAAGCAGTGTACATGTCAATCACTGGTCGTATCGGGAGAGATCCGCCGCCTCGAGACTGCGTTCCTGGGTACCTCCCGAACGCTGTGAGAGCACATACATCAAGAAGGAGGGAAGCACGAGATGCAGTGAGGTCGACAGAGCACAGCCATGTCGGGTCCGGCCGAGAGGGCTGTACGAGGGCTATTTATTTCTGAGCAATACAGAGGCGCCGATCGAGTCCACTGACGTGGGTGTGCGACGCGGTACGACCTGGGTCACAGCAAATGATGGGTGGAAATGCAGCAGATCCGGCGGGCCGGAAAGTCGCTTCCCGATGGCATTGCCACCAGGAGCGTGGTGGATCTGCGCAGTGGCTTGATTGCTCCGAGTATACTTTGCACGGCAGGTGTTGCATCTATTCCCGCCGCCACTGGCGGTGGCGCGAATGATGTGCTGCCACGGGGTCTGTTTCCGTTAGTGGGCGTTCTTTACACGTCTGCAATGCGGCTGCAAATGCGACTGCAGTCAGTAATTGGGAAGAAAGCAGAAAATGTACGGGGGAGCGTCACGAACTGGGGCGTGTGGACTGCTTGACAGGCCGTGCGAGGTTTGGCGAAACTGACTGCCGAAACTGCCCAAAGCGCCTTTGCAGATCACTAAAGCAACACACTGCTAACAATTGTGTGCGCAGCGGAGGATTTTGAGATGCGAAGCTTGGCATCCAGATTAACTTCTGGGGAAACAGTTCGTCCCATCAGCGATCGAGCTGGGCCCGGTCCCTCCAAATAACCTTTTGTCAAGCTGTGTGCGTCTCACCTGCTTCCGAACGACTGGCGGCCAAAGCCTGTCAAGAGGGCGGGCGCGGGCACACGGGCACCGTAGCAGGCAACGGAGACCAAAACATGGTGGAACGGCCAGCAGCGAGTATCCCGTCAGTGTGGTGGCGCGCAGCCAGGGACAAATCAGCACGACGGGCCAGGTGAGTCGGGCAGACGCACGACTTGTTGCGTGGACAGTGGGTGGACGCAATCTCGGTTAGGTTTCGCGTGCACGCACACCCCCTGCAGAGATCCGGGCTGCCGCTGCGAGTCGCGTGGGCGCATCCATCCGTCGCACCCATCCAATCGCAGATCTGCCAGGCCCCGGCCATGGCAAAAAGTACCTTTTTTTTGGATGAAGGAGTGGATGCGGGTGGCCAGTGCGCGTGTTCATTACTGGTGAGGAGTAGTGGTGTATGATTGCGCCTCGTGGCTCAAGCCGGGGGGGGGGGGATATCCAACGACGGCGTCGGCAGGTGAGGACTGGCTGAGGCAGACAGGGGGCCGGCACGGGCAGAGGCGCCTGATTTGGGAACGTCGACCTGGGCCTCGTCACCATCATCACCGCCAGCGTCACCGTCGAGAGTGGGACGGCGCAGGCTGTGGGACGGTGGGCTGTTGGCGGTGGCGGCCGTCGTGATGTTTTACTACCGTGTACTGGGCAAGATGGGTTGGAGTGGTTCTCTCCAAGCGCGCGTGTTCGCATCTCCTAACAGCACTTCTGTGAAAAAACGTCAGATATTAGGCTCACCCAGCCGAGGCGGGGGACCGATCAGAACAGGGTAAAAGGTCAGTCGAAGCTTCCATTCCACGCAGAGTTGCTCACTGGCTGGCTCGCAACCGGACTGCCGCGGCTTGGCAGGGCAGCCCTTGGAGCTTGTCAGGCCCAGGGCGGCGTCGATTGGTCTGGGGCCGGAATCTGTGCCTGGTTCCTGCATCTCGGGCCCACAAGCGCGGCCCAGCACACCCGGTGTGTACCCTGCAGGCCAACAGGAGGCTGGGTGTGCTGGGTGTGTTGTGCAGAGTAGCGCGGTTTACCTCCCGGTACAGTGAAATGATCGTACTGTATCAAGGGGCCAGGAAAGCATTGCCACACCACCAATGACAGCACACAGATAGACACCCAGGCCGGGATCCCACACCAACAGGGGAACACGCACACACACAGTGATTTCTGTTATTACTGTGATAAATTGGGCACTGCTGGGTGAGCAGCACAAGCTGCCTGCTCTCCAAGTGCCGAGACGTGGGTCGCCACAGTTTCTGTGTGCTGGGTGCTCAAATACTCTACACAGTGAAGTGACCTAGTCTATCTCAGATCCAATGGCTTGATCGGTTGGCCCACCTGGCCAGGTGTACAACCGTACTGTTCTGTCACACAACGGGCACGGGGAGGATGAGATTACTGTGGTAGCTAGATAGTCCGCGCTCGTGGAATGCACCAAGTCTCTAACACATGGACTCCTGCCACTCAAGGAAACACGAGGCCTGGGTACATAGCAGCGCACCTACCCATCAAGGTACCACGTAGTGGCGCCAGCGGGCCCACCCTAGCCCCCCGGTCCCAGTCGTGGCCAAGCTTCCATGTCCCTGTCTCTCGGGTCCGTCCAAGCAGTCAGCTCGTCGTCGTCGTCCTCGGTGCCCCTGGCGCCACCATGTACATCGTTCAGGTACCGGGCAAAAACCCACTTTCGTGACCACATCCCTCATCACATCCAGCGCCCCAGCCTGGCCCAGACCTGCCAGACAGGGCGCATCGCCGACAAACAAGTCCACTTTCCAGGCCGGGCCCCAGTATTTCCATCCAACGCCTGCCCCTCGTGCCCACGTAACTTACGCCATATCAGCCCGTATCTTGTGTCGTTTCCTCTTCTCTCTCTCGCCTGAGCCCACTTTCCTCTTCACTGTCCTTCACTTCCGGTCCCGCGCCCGCAACCTGGTCGGTCGTTGTGCCCTGTCACTCAGTTCCAACAGCCGCTCTCACGTTCTTTTGCCCCCCCAGTCCCCCGTCCCGAGGGTCCACACTGCAAAATACTCCAACAAAAAGGTCGCCAGCCTCGACCCTGACGCGTGCGTCCCGTTGAAGCTCACCCTTCTCCGCCTCCGTCCACGACGTCCCTGAGGACGCGCAAGCACTCTTTTTGCGTCTTTGACAGACAGCACCCATTTGCATTGCATTGGATTTACACCTGCTCCGCGAGCTGTAAATTTCGCCTCACCTTCACGTCTGCTCTTAAGCATTCACTCGCCCTCCTTTGACCATCTGTCGGCACGAGGCATTCCTTTCTCTGTCCCAGATCGGCCTTCCCAAAATTGGATCTACTGGACAAAGCAGTCTCTTGTCCTTGAACTCGATCTCAGATTCATTCGTGGTTCCCTCTTTCGACCCGAATAGGCAACTCACTGATCACCACGATCAGCACACCAAACGATTACTCAAGTATTCACTCATTCGGTATCGCAACTGCCAACCGACACGATGCTCACCAAGACTTGCTTCGCGCTTGCTTCGGCCGCTCTTGTCAGCAACGGTGCCCTTGCCGTGAACCACCGCCACCGTCATGGTCATGAGCAGAAGCGTGCTCTCATCTACGAGACCACCGAGACCGTCACTGACATTGACTGGGTCACCGTGACTGTCGACCCCAACGAGCCAGCCACCGTGCCTCCTGTCGTTGAGGCTACGTCTGCCTCCAGCTCGACTTCTGTCGAGGCCACTCCCTCTGTGCCCAGCGTCGCCCAGCCCGCGGCTCCCTCTTCTTCGTCGTCGGCCACACCCGTCGTCGTCGAGACTCCCACCCCGACACCAAGCCCGGCTCCCACCACGCTGGCTACCAGTGTTGCTTCTCCGTCGCCTGCCACCCCCTCCCAGGTTCTCGAGACCCCTGAGGTTGCAGCTGTTGCCGCGGCGCCTTCTTCGTCCTCGTCTTCGTCTTCGGCTGCGGCCGTAGCTACGACTGCTGCGGCTACGACTTCCGGCAACAAGCGAGGTGCCGCTTACAACATTGCCAGCCTGGTCTCCCCCCTGATTGGCACCGGCAGCAAGATCAGCTGGGCTTACAACTGGGGCCAGGTGAGCGATGGGCTTGACGATGTTGACAGCTCCCTGGAGTACGTCCCCATGCTGTGGAGCAACAGGGAGGACTTCATCTCGACCTGGGACTCCAACGCCAAGACCGCCATCAGCAACGGCGCTAAGAACTTCCTCGGCTTCAACGAGCCCGACAACCCGGGCCAGGCCAACATGGACGCCGCCAGCGCCGCTGCCGCCTATATCCAGTACCTGACACCCCACGCCGGCTCCGTCCGCCTCGGCTCCCCCGCCATCACCAACAGCGGTACTGACGGCGAGGGCGTGAGCTGGCTGAAGCAGTGGGTCAGCGCCTGCAACGGCCAGTGCCAGTTCAGCTTCTGCGCCGCGCACTGGTACTCCCCCGCGAGCAGCAGCGACTTCCTCAACTACGTCACCCAGGTCCACGAGGCCTGCGGCACCGACAAGACCGTCTGGATCACCGAGTTCGCCCCCACCGGCGCCGATGACGCCACCATCTCCTCGTTCCTGGAGGAGGTCCAGGACGCCCTCGACAACAACTCGACCTACAGCTTCGTCGAGAGGTACTCGTACTTCTACGTCGCCGACGGCTCCCTGGTCACTGGCACCTCCGCCAGCAGCTTTGGCAACACCTTTGCCTACGGCTCCTGAAAAAACCCAGCCGCTGATTTATCAGCGTCTTCTGATTTTGACTTTCCCCATTTTTGAAAGGGTCATTGGCGTTCAAATGAGCTCCTAGACTCGGTTTTAGTTTTGCGGTGATCATGGTGGGATGGATGGGATGAGATACCTAGACCCCGAAGTCAGGGTCCAAAAGCTGCTTCACTTCTTGTACATAAAAAAAAAATTTTCCTTTTTTTTTTTTTTCTTCCCGATTCATTTGGGGTCGTGACGGACCAAGAGAGGACATTCTTAACGGAGTGAGGGCAAGGCCCTCACAAAGGCCATATCTGGGTGGCGAGGTCCGTACATCACAGCAAGATACAAGAACCCCCTAAGAAGAGGGTGATTTGTCTTGCTCGATGTCGGATATTCGAGGACGAAGTCCTCGAGTCTCAGACACCAACAATCCACGATGACTTTATGCCAGGAATGAAAATTGCATGCAGCTAAACACATGGATCTGATACCAGAAGTCTTGCGTGACCTTGCTTGTTTATTTGTGATGGTAATTAAGTCACTCGCTGCTGTGAATTACATACGCGCCAAGGGTCTCCTGGTGATAACGCATAAAATGCAAAAAGAAAGACAGGAGGGGGGAAACCAATCGAGACCATCTTCGCCACTGACAGCAGCCTATCCTCTCGCGCATCCACCAAGTGACTAACACACGCCACGCGGTCGTGATGCCCACTTCAGCGCTCGAGCCAAGCTAACCAGGGGCAAGCAGCACCGCCCAGAAACCCACCCGCGCGGACCGTAGATGGAGTGTAGAGAAAAAGCCAAGGCCGCAAGCCAACTGAGTCGGGCGAGGATATACTCCGCCGCCAGCGGGGGCAGCGGCGGTGTAGGACCGGTGCTGAGAGAATACGGTGATGGCCGCCGCGCTCCTCCCCTGACACAGACGCAGGGAGTTTTGTTTGTCCCCCCCCCCCCTCTCTTTTCATCTTCACACGAGAATGCCTTTACAAGAAAGAAATCTCAAGAAAAAAAAAAAAGGGGGGGGGGTGGCATAGGGAGTCTGGAGAAATCCAATGGGAAGTAGTTTCGCGATGCTAATTAGTTGCTTCGGGGACTGTAAGATGCGACGTGCAAAGACCGATGTCTGCCAACTCTGGAATATGCGCCTACCAACGTGGCTTGAGAATCCCGCGCAGGTGGATGATTCCCGCGTGTCGGATCCCCGAGGCGTAAGCCGATTACGCGTCCGCCCAAGCTTTGCTATCACCTCCATCGCAAGCGCGAGGTATTCTGGTGGCCCTCGAGCCCGAATCAGAGCCTCCACTATCGATGAAAGCGGCGCTGAATCCACCGGATCTTATCGCGGGGCTGTAGGTGTCCAACGGAGTCGCGAGATTCCCCCTGTGGAGTTCGTACAGAAGTTGAGAGGTATACTCGCCAGCAGGAATTGCCCTCACACTGTGTCGGTCGCTTAGTAGTGGTATCTTAGATGAGGTCAAGTTCACGAGAACAGAATGGGACTAGAGCGATGTACGACACGGAGAAACAAGACGACAAGTGAATTCATTGGCTCCCAGAGCCAGCAAACTGTGAACTGTCTACCTCCAGTAATCCGACGAGTGTACCCGCCCTTGCGGCAGTACGAGCTCCAGCCGGCCCCGCCAGTACTCGTGCCCGCCGACGTCTCGGCGGCCCGCGTCGAGCGCGGCATACTGCCGACGCGACTCCAGCCGGAAGGCCTTGACCCGGACCACCACGTCCTCCATCCCTCGCAGCTCTGCTTTGGTGGGCAGCCTGAACTCCGCGGTGGCCGCCGGCAGCATGATCGAGTCCCACGCGCGCCCGAAAATGAAAGACCCCGCCGGCACGCCAGCAGCGACGTGGCAGGGCGTCGCGGGACAGATACCCACGCGGTTGGCTGCGTCGCAGACGTTCCTCATGTACTCGTTGACGGCGGGAGGGTTCTCCGGGCTGATTATGCCCGATCCGACCCAGACCGGAACGAGCTTTGGTGGCTGGCCGTAGTTACCACCTGGGTTAATGGTGAAGCTGAAGTGCTCATCTCTTGCTTTGTTGAAGGGGTAGTCGTCGATTTTCTCCTCGGAGATAGAGCGCTCCGTGTCCTTGGCATCGGCAACTTCTGCCCCCGCTGCCCCGGCCGCCTGATCTTTCACTCTGGATTTGACGGGCGAGGACGATGGGCCCCACGCGCTTTCGCTGAAGAATGAGAATGCTTCAGCTCCCTGTTCTAGTAGCGCCTCCGAGTCCATCTCGTCGGTCTCGTTGTCGAGAGAACCGAGCTCGTCCCTGGCGTCTGGTTCGAACTCTAATCGGACGTGGCGGAGACCCTGCAATACCGGCGGTCCTCGGAATGGCAGCAAGGCTCTTGTGGCCTCGATCGCTTGCTCCTGAAGAGCGACAAGGCGTAAGAAATTCGTAAGTCGTTGGGCGACGATACCGGTCGAGTACCGCGGTATCATTGAGACGGTGAGTGAATAAAGGCGCGGGTTCATGTCCGGTACGTATGTCTGCGGATATGCGAGGTCGAGCCTCTCGCGCATGTATGTCTCCGCCAGCCACAAGTTCGTCAATTCGCCAGTGCTGCGAGATTCGAGAGTTGGAGTGTTGGTGATCAGGGAGTGATGGACCTTGAGGACGCGTAAATTTGACGATATGACGGGCCGAAAGAGGTACGCAGCTCCTGGCAGGGCATACAAGGCAGCGGCTTTAGAGAGGTAGGGCGCTTTGCTCTTCCAGTCTGAAGTGTGATGAGGTGGTAGCGATGTTCTGTCACATTCGAGGTGTTCAATGTAACCAGGAGACTCGCGAAGAAGACACTCGATGGCAGATGAACTTAGGCTGAGCTCATTCAAGTGTAAATGCGTGGTGCCTGCCTGTGGAGGCGGCCAGTGAAGCCGTTGGTGTTGAGGATGTAATGCATCGGGTGAGTCTTCCCCTTGAGCGCCCGCCAACACCCTTACAGCGTCCTCTGCCGAGTCGACTCTGATGCGTTCTCGTCCCCTAGATCGGCCACGCACCGTGGCCTGACCTCGCTCGCCGGTGGAACCGCCATTCATGGCGCCGTAGACGGGGGGATCCGCAAGATATCGGTCAGCAGACGAGAATGTCGCGCTGCACTCAGACTCGTCGATGAAATAAGGTCCACGATTGGGGCGGGGGTCACCGTTTTCATAGACCGGTCTTATTTGTCCTTCGACCTTGAAATGATCATTCGACTGTAGCCTAGCGTTTGAGTAAGTAGGGAGGCTGTATTCTAACAGCATGCTGAGAAAATCGTCCGTCAGACCGTTCCTGGACATGTCAAGGCTCCATAGCTGTGTGCCGAATGCGTGCACGATCGCACCGGCCGTCGAGTCATTCAAGTGCTTTCCACTGAGCTTCAGGATGCGGAGGTTCGGCAGGTCGTGAGGTATGAGCGCTCCTTGGTTCCCAAGAGTTCCAGGGGTATTGGACATGTCGAGGTAGACCAGGCCAATGAGCCATTGGCCACCAAAAAATCTTGCGGGAAGCGATGTTCCACAATTAGCAATGCTGACAAGGTGAATCTTGTCCAGAGAAACAGTAGTGCTCGACCGAAGCGCTTGTCTTGACAGCATGGAGAGGTTCAGTTGTGGATGTCCATCGAGCAATAAGCAGCGCAGGTTGGGAAGCCGAGTTGCCAGTTCGCCAAAGCTGTTGTTGTACGCCTCTTGGTGGTCGTCCGGTCCAGGAACGGGAGCGAAGCCACGGAAATCCATAACGGCCACCATCGCAGCAGTCGACGCGTCTATGTCCTGTATACGGGAAAGAAATTTCGAGTACCACTGGTAGTCTTGTCGAGATGTGTCAACCGCTCTGCTTCGGGAGCACACCCAGCAAGGAGTGATAATCAGGCGGGGTACTCACCGTAGGCCGTGTCACGACTCAACGTGCGCACGACGGCAAGAGGATCCTTCCATGCTCGTGGGGCGAAAAGACTGTGGAATTGCCTAGAGACACAGCACAGGCTTTGGTAGTCTGAGGGATCGATGTAGGGCGCCACAAGCTCGAGCCACTGCTTCTTGCCAGTAGCATCTTGATATGAGGGTAGTTGCTCCATCATGAAGACCCCCGATGTGGGGTCCAGCTTAACAAGAAATAGCTGTGTAGACAGTAGATGGTCAGGTGATGACCAGGAGTCGTGTGTTGAAGAAAATGCCAGCTGACTGGAGTCCAACAGAAGCTACCGAGACGGTATGTATGAAGGGGTTGAGAATGGAGACTGCTCATGAAGTTTGTCTCACATCAGAGTGTCAAGGCCAACGTTATCCCGAATCGCTCGGAAGAAACGGTGACAAAAGGTGCCCGATATGTAAGTGGTCATGAATGAGAGATATCAGGCCGGATGAGACAGTAGATGTGGTGAAAGGCCTTGCAAGGATGCAAGATGTGCAGTGAGAGTGTCCACATTTGGTTGTGGTGTTTGCTTGTTCAACTCAGTAGCAGAGAAGTGAAAGTTGACTCGGTGGTGATGGCTGTCAGGAATCCCGCGGTAGTGGGCGTGAGGCTCAAGGAATGGTCCCCAACTTGATCGTCATCTCTGCCTTGGCCATGGGGCTTAGTGATCACTTGATCTTGGAAGGCCGAATTGCACTGATTGGCTGCAGCCGCTAGAGTGCCTCGCCGACCACATCCGAAGTCAGAACGACGTGTATTCGAAGGAGAGGATGAAGAGAGAAAAAGAGAGGTATGATACCACACTTTCTCGTGTTCCTGAGCATCTGCTTCTAATTCCACCAACAGGATGTGGGCCTTCGCATACATGCTGTCTTGCTCGTGAGAGGTGACTGGGTATCAAAATACTTGCGGCAAGTAGGCCAGAGGGGCATTGGATCAGAAAGTGCAATAAGGTGTCAGAACACCGGCCGATTTTTAAAGCCCGGACTCCTCCCTGCTGAAGCAAATACATACAGGTTTAACGGCGTAATTCGGTTGCCGCATTGAGACGTATGTAACGCATCTCGTAAATCGTCCAAGCCACTCAAGATCGAGTAGCAGCAATTGCTTGTTCTAGGATGTCAAGGCCCTCCTGGATCTCTGCCTCGGAGATAGTCAATGGAGGCACAAATCGGAGTGTGTTGGTCCCCGCCGTGATCACGAGGAGTCCCCTCTTGCGGGCGGCCTTTACGATGGGCGTTGGGTCCTGGGTGAGCTGTAGACCGAGTATCAAGCCACGGCCGCGTATCTCGGTGATCAAGTCGGGGAACTTGGCCTGCAGCTGTTTGAAACCGCTGGCAAAGACAGCTCCTTTGGCCACTACGTCTTGTTGCAGGGCAGGATCTGCGAGTCTGTTGACGATGTAATGTGCCAGACGACACGCAAGAGGGTTGCCGCCGAAAGTGGTCCCGTGATCGCCCACCTTGATCTTGTCGGCCACGTCCTTGCTCACAAGGACAGCGCCAATGGGAAAGCCATTCCCGAGTGCTTTGGCCGTGGTCAGAATGTCCGGGTGAGCCTCCTTTGGCAGCCTGGTATGGGCCCAGAATGTGCCAGTCCTCGAGAGACCGCACTGGATCTCGTCATAATGCAACACAGCGCCAACCGCCCTGCACCGCCTGGCCAGGGCAACCAGGAACTCATCGCTCGCCACCTGGACACCACCCTCACCCTGGATGGGCTCGATTATGACACCGCACGTCTTTTCCGTCACGAGATCGTTGATGGCAGAGATGTCGTTGTAGTTTCCGTACTTGAAGCCGGGCACCATGGGGGAGAAGGGTTGCTGGTACTTGGGGTTGGGTGTGGCCGAGAGACTGCCCATGGTCCGGCCGTGGAAGGAGTTGTTGAAGGAAACAAACTCGTGCTTGGCGCCAGAAGGGTCGAGGATCTTGCCGACCTTGCGGGCGAACTTGATGCCCGCCTCGTTGGCCTCGGAGCCTGAGTTGCAGACGAAGACGGAGGCAGCGTCGCGCATGGAACCAGACTCGAGCGTCTTCTCGACCAGGAGCTTGGAGAGGGCACCGGTCCAGGGGTTGTAGTAGAGGTTGGAGGCGTGAACGAGGGTCTTGGCCTGATCTGCAATTATCCTGGAGAACTCGGGGTCGCAGTGCCCCAGGGCATTGACAGCAATGCCGGATGTGAAGTCGAGGTAGCGCCTGTTCTCAACGTCCCACAGGTAAGAGCCCTCGCCCTGGACGAATACTGGCGGGGGGCGGGCGTAGGTGGCGACCATGTAGGGGGCATGACCGTCGACCATGGCGGCACTGGGCGAGTCGGCGGCGGGGTCTGGGTTCGGAAGGCTGGCATCTCTCTGTGGGGGAAACGGTGTCAGCGATGGGCGAGTCGAAGCTCCGTGATGTGGCACAGGCTCACAGCTATGTTTTGCTGGACATGTGAGCCCAGGTTGCTGGCCGGGGCAGTCGTAGCCTGGGAGTAGGAGCGCAACCTGGCTGGGATGGAGCAGGAGGAAGAGGATGGGCGACAAGGGCGAGCAGCCAGCCCGGCCGCGGCCCTGTGGATTCGAGTCCGGAAAGCCATGTCGAGAATGCTCCGGGGAGGGTGTGGGCGCGGAGGGGGGAGGTGGTTGTTGAGATGCACAGTGGCTTCGACTTTGACAACTGGAGAGAGGAACAGGTCAATGCCGAGCTGATGCGCAGGAAACCTCGCAAGCGATGGGGAGTGAAGCCTGTCGGCGCATCAACTCATAGATAGTCGAGCGGATGAGAGGTCATCTGCAGCTGGGCAGCCCCGATAGCGGTCCCTGGTGAAATTTTCATGGAGGAGTCAGAGCCACCCCAGGCTGGGGGCTGTCTCTCCAAGACCCAGTCGACAGGGCCACACGCCCGGGAGCCCCCGGGACCCCGTACTTGGAGTAGCTAGCATGTCGCTCCCGAGGTCGGGAGGGGTGGGGACGGGCTGGAGTACCTAGGTACCTAGACTGCAGTACTTGCATGAAGTAGCCCTGCATCAACTTGGCCGAACTCTTGAGCTTTTGTTGTGTTGCGACCAGTTCCATGGGTGGATGGGTGTTTACATGTAAACATCCATCAGGGGCTGAATAGTCGACATGAACTAATTACAAGACTAGCATGATTCCAGAGGTTCGGCTGCTTCGGCTGGGACCAGACTGTCGGCTTGCATCATCGCAACGGCTACAGGGCACAACGCGCAGCTGACTCGGGGGCGGCGCCCGGACCTGACACGCCGCAGCTTGGAAGCTTCCAGGGTTGTCATCGTCACATGCCACTCCGGAAGAGACCACGACAATCCGGCGATCCGCAGGCCCTCACAACCTCGATCATTTCCACTTCCAGAAGGGAGGTAGACTGTGGGGTGGCCAGGTAGCCTGCCGGGTGCCAGCAAATAATCGATGGCCTACCTAGGTATTTCTGTCACTTCTCACCACCTGGCACTTTACTCCGTGGCTGCTGGCACTACGGCACTGTGCGTGCACACTGAGGTCCGAGTCCAATGGCCGTGGGAAACACAGGCCTCTATGAGTCCCAACCAGGGGCCGTCGTCCCAGTCCCAGCTGAGCACGCGCTGTCACTGCAGGCCGTGCCCAGCTAGGGACGGTGTGGCCAGTCGGTCTACTACCAATGCGGTGCTCCGTAGGCTTGGGTCGAAGATGGGGCTCGCTCCCTTCCTGCGACAGTCACATGCCAAAACTCCAGTCCCCAATCCCAGTCACCCAGCCCCCAGCTTCGGTGTCCGTCTGACGTCCAGGGCCTCCGGGCCGAAGCATCAGCATCCTCACCTGACCTTCTCGTCGTCTTTATGATTGTGGTAGTTTCATTTGTTTGTGTTTTCTTCCCTTCCCTTGGATACCACCGTATCCTTTGTCCCTGTAGACGAACCTCCCCAATATACCGAATACCACCTTCTGCCGTCTCTCTACCCGGTCACTTTGTCTCCGTCCCTGACTACAGTCACGAGCGCACCCGTGCTTTCACTTCTCACCCGGCGCCAGGAATGGCTGTGTGTGCCGGCTTGCGGTCTTCCTGAATTCCATTCAACAACACCTACCATTGAGCAGCCGGCCTTCGACATAACCGAGACTGTATCCTCCCTTACGATATCATCTTTGCGACACCCGAAGAGGGGAGCCGGGTCCGCGGCTCACACGTCCTAGAAAGTGTTCAAAGTCGCATGGATCTAGACCCGGCATCTAGCCCTCACACATCATGATAGACCATGTCCTGGGACGGCCGTCTGCCAAGTCGCGAAGACTACAGGTCCTCGCCGTGCTTGCCTTCTGGTCCGCGTACCTCTTCAAGTCCGTCGTCCTCTCAGTCCCTTCACCGAGCCTGCTGGCCCTTGGCTGACACTAAAGCAGAGGCCACAAACACGGCCCTCCACTTGTGCGTCTCTACTCGAAGCTTTGCTCCAAAAAGTTGACAGCATGGCAAATCGTCGTCGTAACCATGACATTCCTCTATGCTGGCCGCAATTTTAGCACTCTGGTCGGCCTGGCGAGCCCAGAGCCGCTATCCAACATGTACGATGCGCACTACTTTCGAGCCACTTGGATCTTGACTGCGCTTGACGCAGGGTTTTGGACCGCCATGAAGATCAAGTCCAAGTGGCTGAGGGACTTGTCGAGCGTCGTCTTCTCAATCTTCTACCTATTTGCTGCGGAAAAGGCCGACGAGAAGGTGCGCAAGGTTCGGTCAAACCTGACTGTCGAACACCTGAGGATCAGTTGGAACAAGGGCATCAGCCCATACATCGACTTCTTCCAGAAACTTATGCGCCCGCGATATTCCCGTTGGCCTCCGCGCGCTATCCGCATCCCGAGGCCGTCCACAAGCGACTACAAGGAGCCTGTCTCAGCCTGGCTATACTTTGACGGGCCACTGTCGGAGCTGGAGCACCAGAACAGGGTCGTGCTGGACCTGCCGGGAGGTGGTTTCGTTGCCATGGATCCGCGCTGCAACGACGACAAATTGCTCTCGTGGGCGTCCAAGACGGGGCTCCCTGTCCTCAGCATAGATTATCGGAAAGCGCCCGAGTACCCGTTCCCGTACGCCTTGAACGAGTGCTATGATGTCTACGCAACTCTCATGAAGACTCGCGGGCGCTGCATCGGCATGTCTGGTAAGGAGACGCCCAAGGTTGTCGTCACTGGCGACAGTGCTGGGGGCAATTTAGCGACGGCGATGACTTTGATGATCATCGAGGGTGGACTCTTTCCCTCGAGTCACTTCCAGGGGCAGGCCGGTCTGCCGATACCTGACGGTTTGGTCTTGTTCTACCCGGGGCTCGACATGAACATTGGGAACTGGATGTCCGATGAGCAAATGGCCCTGATCCAAGACCGGAGGATGCGATCGACCAACAAGGCCGTTGCTCGCCGCAAGAGCATGCAATACAACAATCTCGTCGGAACGCCGCACCACTCCGACGACGAAGATGATTCACCAAAGTATGTTGTCTACCCGCCAGACGATGGGGACAGAGAAACCAAGCAGCTGGCGAACTCGGAAGGTACTCGCACCCCCCAGCCCGAATACGCCCACGCGACCCCGACCAAATGGAGTAAAACACGTCGATCATCGCAACCAGACTCGCCTGCCGTCAGCAAGCGGGCCGGCAGTACCTCTTACCATTCCGAGCCGCTTCAGACAAGGCTCGCAATGTCTTCCATGTTATCCTACTTCAATGATCGTGTTCTCGCACCTGAGATGATGCGCGCTATGATCATCTTGTACATTGGCCCGCACAACCGGCCGGACTTCAGCCAAGACTACTTGTTATCACCCATTCTCGCCCCCGACATGCTCCTCGCCCGCTTCCCAAAGACGTACTTTCTGACCGGCGAACGCGACCCCTTGGTAGATGATACTGTCATTCTAGCCGGCCGTCTCCGCCGCGTAAAGGCCGCCATGTACGCATCAGGAGGGCAGAGATTGGATTACAAGGAGTCGGACGCCCTGGCCGAGGGCTTCAACGACAAAGACGTTGCTGAGGTAAACCTGATTCCGGGCACATCACATGGGTTCCTACAATTCCCAACGATCTACCCGCCGGCGTGGAAGCTCATCGACCGTTCCGCCGGGTGGATCGAGGAGGCGTTCGCGTCGAGCGAAGCGCGAGCGTGAGAGCAGGCGGCGCATGGTCAAGAAGGCGGCCGAGAGCTCAGGGAGGCACCACATGCGGGCCGAGTCAAGCGGCGATGAGGGACTGCTGGAGATTGGGATGACCAGGGCGAGGGGCAAGTCAGCGTCCAACGGCGTCAAGACAAACGGCAAGGACGCCGCGGCCGTCGACGTCCAGAAGGCCAACGACGGCGAGGCAGATCGCGAGAGTCCGGAAAGGAAGGGGAAGAGAAAGGCCAACGGCCGCGCCAAGAAGGACTCGCTGAACAGGCTCGCCAGCTCGGATGATCTCCTCGGTCGGAGGATGCACGGCCTCGCTGGTGGCTTGACTGGCCTGGCGGAGGAGGACTGAGCGAGATGGCCTCCTGTGTAAGATTGTATGAAATATACGTCGTCAAGCACGCCCGCGGAGTGAACATGAGAGAGCCTCGTGCTTATACCGAGCCAAACATTATTCTTTACACCGGCACACATGATAACCTTTTACATTCTAGACACGTTCACGTTGAGTCAGGAATTAGAAACTACACAGTCCACAGACCAAGACTCAGTGACGAATACTACTCACACACTCCCTAGTTTTTCCTCACGGGGAGCCAGGAGTAAGACTTACCGCCGAATCTGATGGACGTCCGGTCAAGCACTGCATGAGGATACGACAGCTTTACAAGAGAGGCTTGGTGACCTCTCACGGATGCTCTGCCTCCATGGAGCAGGCGCAAACCAGATCTTGATATACTCCTCTCACACAGTACCCCGTGGATACGATCTACTGGCCGCACGCAACAACACAGGGTGTTCAGGTTTTGCAGCTTTACTACACTTTTGGGCGGCAAAACACCCGCAGACACGCCGCTGGGACTACTGAGGAACCTCGGGAACCTCGAAAAGCAGCACTTGTCCCTGTCTCCTTCTCTCCCACCCTCTACTAGCATGCCGGTCGCAGCATAACACTGCAACAAGGCCCCGGCCGACCAAAAAAGCCGGACTCGAAGCAAGATCCAACCTCCCCAAGGCCCTCCCCTTGACGAGACCTACCCGTGCCGTCTTTCTGTCCACTTCAAGTCCCACGAGGTTTTTCTTCCGTTGCCATCACGCTGTACCTTTGTTCCCAGGAGCGCCGAAGGTACCTTGGGGTCAGCAAGGTGTGGCAGGTTGCTAGGGGCGAGCTACTGGTAAACTGCAGCAGTCGCCCCCCGGGAAAGCTCGCTGTCTTTGTGGGCCTTGCCACATACGACGACTCACAAAGTGAGACGGAGTCCGTTGGTTGGGGAGCAAGATACAAGCATGCTGGGGCGACTGTGTATACCCAAGGATGGGCTTCTGGACACTCCGAAATTGCCGTGCTTTTTGGCCAAGCGGTGTCCTTAGCATCAGCTGGGCAGTTAATTTTGGCCAGAAAGTTGCTTCGTTGGTCGTACTTGTTAAGAAGAGGCTTTGGCATCAGCTGTACTTGTGTGGGAAGGAATCTGGCGCCACAAACAAACAAACCCTGCGCCAATACTCATTTTTATTATTATTATCATCGTCTTTTCAATCAATGCCATGGACGGATCCGCCAGCCCAACACAGCACACTTGTTCTGTCCGCTTGGTTCTCATACTGTGGGAGTTGCGATCTTTGTATGGCCAATGCGGACTTGTTTGAACCTCCTGGTTGGCCCGGCGAAGCAGTACATGGGATGCTGTCACGAGTCTGCCCCCGGGCCGCAGTTGGAACGGCCCTCCAAAAGCCGGGCCCGTGATCAAATCACTGGGTGGCTGATTAAACATGGGAAGGGGTGGCAAGACCTAGGAAATGACGAGACGGGCCAACACGCAACAGGTCGAGAGCCTGGCCTCTCCCCCCCCCCCCAAAAAAAAAAAAGGAATCGTCCCTCTGATACGTAAAATCAGGGGTGACATAGACAGTTCACCACTTCTCATCAACAGAGGTCTGGGCCAGGAACATCTCGCGCTGGATCTCCACACCTTGGTGGTTGCTTTTCCCCATCTTTTTTCGGCCTCGCCCAACCGATCGGCCTGGCCCCAAAATGTCTGAGGGTAGCTCTCATGCGAGTAATGAGACATCTGGCTCGGATCATATGCAGGCGTGGGCCCATCGATGCGCGCCGGTTCGCACCAGCATCTGCAGGTGGTTGCAGAATCGTACAAGTGCCTGCAGAAGCGTCATGTACGTCGAAATGACCTTACCCAGGTGTCATCCGGCCGTGATCCCCGGCCCTCATCGGCATTAAGATTAGAGATGGCAATCAAGACAACTGTGAGATTTAGTGGAAATTCGAAATTCCCGCCGGGGGCTTTCGCCGGGGTGGCCAGGGGACGTGGCTGGAGTGCCAGCCAGGAGGGCAAGCCGGTATAGCTGCACGTCAACGACACTCTCCTGCAAGGCACCAGCCATGCTACTTGCATAGACCGGCATGTAGAGGCTGCAGGCTGCAGGCTGCAGGCTGCATACTTCAGCTCCCAGCGCCCAGGCGTCCCGCACCTTTCACACGCAAAAAGTCCTAGACCACCTGGCCGAGATAACTGCTCGGCTCACCTTGACGTAGCCACCGGCACGATATACTCCCAGCCGGGCAACAGCCCACACACCCCGCGCGATCGACGGAACAAATCGAAGCGGCAAAGACATTCATTCCAAGGAGAGGACGCGCACCGCGTCTTCCGACGGGAGCCGCCATGCTGGACGCGTGGGGACTTGGGACTATCGCCCGGTCCAGTCAGTGCGGAAGGACGGCAGACCTTGGGCCAGTGGGGCGGGGGTAAGGGGAGAGAGATAGGGCCTGAGAGAGATATCATGGGCCTTTCACCGATCTGGCCTAATGGCTCTTGTCAATGCCGGCAGGGCCGGGTGGTTCAACTTTCTTCGTGCTTAAGTGGAATGGAGCGGTCGCACAAGGTTGTGGCCCGGGGGTCTCACTCAGCACACTGTCTGTCTCGCCCGATGGGGGGACGCGTTCTCAGAGTCTCAGCTCGCGTCAGATGAGGAGAGCACGCGTCACGGCAACTTGTGGCGGAAGATGAACAGAATATGTCTCGGGTGGGGCGAGGAGGCCTGCGACAACGCATCGGCTGATGAGGTGGTGCTTTGATGCGGCGCGAGGAAAAGAGGCAGATTTGCCCGCCCAGTATGAACAGTATGAACAGTGTGGACGGGGATTTCCAGGCGCCTGATCTTTTCGCACTAGACCCTTGTGCTCCCATCCAAGCTGCCAGCTGCCAGTCTCGGGTAGGCTCTTGTCAGTTCAGATCTCCGGTGCATACCCGTGCAACACACCAGTCGCACAGTGCCCACCATGTCTCACTCGGGAGCGATCCGAAGAGGTGTCAACCCGGCGTGAAAAGGCAAGAGAGTGTGGCTGGATGCACTGTTTCGGAGAGGGAAACGGAAGTGAGAAACAAGAGACGGGGTTTCCCAGCAGAAAGATTGTCCTGGAGTCGACAAGCTCTTCCTCCCAGTCCCCGGCCCAGGTGAGCTGAGGAATGCTGGCCGGGGAGGATGGCGGATTGAACAAAGGACTGAGACGCAATCCACAGCCTGGTTTGATTGTTGCGACTGCGCTTCGTCACCAAAGACAAAGTCCCAAGTGAATGGGGCTGTTGGGGCGCAACAAAAGGGTGTAAGCAGCAGAAGTGGTCCTCTAGAATTCGGTCTGTAGCAAAAGCTGCCCAAGGAAAGTGGTATCTGACAGAACCTGGACATGTACAACCTCCGCCACCTTTCCAGCGCCCCCCCACCGCCCTCTTAAGGATTTCTCTTGCACATGGATTTTTTCAACGCCGGCCAACATGATTTGCCCATTCCCATTTGAGCTCCTTCAATGTTCCCCGCCCCACCATTTTCCGGCTTCAGAGTCACCTTTCCCGTTTTTAGAAACAGTTACAGACAGCGAGGTCCTAAAGTGTATAGAATATATTTGGTACAGAATTTCTGTGAACAAAATGCGCGACAGCCCCGTTGTAACACCTGGACAAGTTAGATATGCGCCGGATGGATGCCGATGTCGCGAACGGTGCGTCGTCGGAACATTAACATGTTTTGCGTCACTCAGTAACATCGTGAAGTATTATGAACGTGTGCGCGCGGTGGCATGAGGGTGGAGATTCGGTGCGGACATATCCAACGTATGAGCGTAACGTGCGTGAGAGCCAGTCGTCTTGCTGTGTAGGCATGATGCGAAGCCAATGCTACCTCTTTCGTTGCAGGATGAGCTTGTCGACCTCTCGCTAGGAAGGTTCGGCCTTCACCAGACTCCGCGCAGACTTTGAGAGAAGGCTGCCATCGCATTTCATACCATCATCTGTGCTTGGCGTCGTTGATCTTGTGGTAGCCTTCTTCTTGTTCTTCATCTTACTCTGCATTTCCGCAAGCAAGATAGCAGCGCCGATCTCATGTCTCGTCCTGCTTCCAGCAGACTTTTCGATGTGCCGCTTGAGGTGGTCTCGGAAATTGTCGCACCTGCCGAAGGTTTTGGGAGTCTCGCAGAATTCACAGCGCCATGTTTCTGGATTATCCGAATGTGCTCTGACTGTCCGTCAGTAATTTGGGTCAGATCATGCCGGCGCATAGAATTGCCACTCACTCATTGTAATGCCTCTTCAAGTGCTCCTGCCTCGAGTAGCTTTTACCATTGCACTCGGGATATTCACATCTGTGCCTATTCGCCGGGGCCTTGGAGACCTTGAAGCCTTCTTGGAGTGGAGGAAGCTTTCCTGCCATGTGCTTGGACTTTGACGTGCGACCCTTGTTGGAATTTGTCTTCGGAAGGCTCTGCTGCAATAATGCCGACTTTTGCTGAGGCCCGTCCATGACAATCCTTCGCCTGACATTGCCGTGGGAACTTCCCAGAGGGCCGGGCGTTGGGGTTGTCATGGCCACGACCGGTGACGAAGTCCGCTCAAAAGTTATGGGACTCCCATCCGCATGGTGCTGCCAGATTGCTGTCATGTCGCAGTTTGGAATATGGCTACTAAACAGTGGAGATGGAGTCGGAATCATGAGAGAGTCCATGAAATTGTACGCGTCCATGCCCTGTGTTGGAGTAAAGTCCACATTGTTCTGGAATGCCGCCGCCGAGCTGCTGCTCCGAGACGGCGTCATTGGCAGGCCATGGCACAGCATATTGGGAGCCACGGTTGATTTCATGTCTAAAGGGAAGCAGGCAGAAGTTGATGGCGGCGAGGGCGTGAAGTCGTCGAACATCATGGTGTCATTGCCAAAGGCGATATCAAAGTCCATGGGGTGCTGTGGGGTCGAGTTTCTGGGCGGCGGGGTCAAGGCATCGTAGAGCGAAGAGGCTGATGAGAAACTGCCGGACGAAGAGGGACAGGATGACGAATATGGCAAAGACTGGCCGTTGAAGCCGAAGGTGAAGCTGTCGTCCGCGTCCATGTTCAGATCGAGCAGATGGGTATTCTGGCTGTTGCTGGAAGTATAGCTGTCTAGGCCCAGAACTTCCTTATTGGACTGTACCCTGCTTGTCATTCCAAGAGTCGCAAGGGTGGAGGCGAGTAAGCTGAATCACGGCCCGAGGGTGTCGAGAAGGGATGTGATGAAGGAGTGCCAGAATGATATAGTCCAGATATGTCGAAGGGCACACAAGATTCAAGGGATTGTCGAGCTTCACTGGGGCGTGGGCTTGTTGGACAGGGAGGTCGTCGGGTTGAATATAAGAATGCGCGGACAGGTGAGCGGCTCATTGGAATGGAGACCCTGAGCCGCCGGTGGTTGCTCAATACGTAGGGGTGGCACACCCAAAAAAGACGCGGCAGACCTGGGCCAGCCCAATACAGAATCGAGGTTGGGCTGTCAAGACGTTTGAGCGAAACATCCCTACACCAGCCTATTGCTTGCATGAAGCATCTGTTTTAGTCGGGACTTGTAGTGCCCCTGGCGAGCAAGACGGGCAGACCGTGGGCAAGAGCTATCGACAGATCGGTGGATCTTTGCAGCAAGATCAGTACCTCTGAGCGGCCTGGCCACCTCACAGTACGCTGTATCTTAACCAAAGTACGGGCTCGCAGCCAGGGACAGAGATACCCCCAGCCGACACGGAGAAGTAGATTCGCGCCTGGAGAAGAAACAAGGTGCATGAACCGGTAGATCTGCCCCACAGTGAGTATCGTGATGGTGGGAACTGGAATGAATTTCGCCTATACGGTAATGGCGCCTTCCAGAGCAGGCCTCGCGACCACCGGATTTGAGACACTGCGGTGGGCAGCCAAGCTTGACAGGCTGGACCCCATCACCAAGTGCCTTCCGCAGTCTTCAGGGACAATCTCGGCATCTGGCCACGGCTGGGGCAGGCAGACAGTGCGAGAGCAGGCTGCTCGCCATTGGAAGATTGCTGAAGCCTCCAGGCCGCCCATGACGCCAGTGAGGCTGCGCGAAGTACCATGCAGGTCGAAAGAGATCGAGCTGGGGGCACCACGGAAAAGCAAGCTGCTCAGACGTAATTGGAGCTCCCGTGCCGCAATCCGCACTTGGACGAACTCGTTGAGGCCCAGATGATCAGCTCATCATGCTCGATGCCGATTGCTGGCCCCGAGGCCTCAGAGGAGCGCTGTCCACCGAGTCTCCACCTCCCGTTTGCAATGCAGTGAATGTGCAGTGGCATGGTGGCCGGCTTTTTGTTCGAGAGCCGCCCACTGAGAACTGGACGGAACAGCCCCGTGACAAGGGACAAAGAGTGAGCTTGACCATTGACACATCGACCTTGGACCTTGGACCATCGACCGTTTGAGGCGTCCGGACAATGGTGATGGTAATGGTGTGTATGCTAGTCGCCGTTATGTGATGCTCGACAGACATGCCGCGAGGGCTGGAGGTCGGGCTCATTTGAGTCTGCCGTTCCTGGGGAACCTTGTCTCCCTGCAGCTGGGACCTTGCAGGATGATCTTCCTGACCTGCTGCTTGGCTATGTGCGGGCCATGTCTAGTGCAAAGGCGGCGCTCCTCCTGCAGGCGGGCGATGTGTCGATTGTCGATGTGTCGATGTGTCGATTGTCGATTGTCGAACCCACGCACCCACACGTCCAAACAAGCCTCTCTGCCAAGCGAGTCTGAGCAACCCTATTGATCCTGGTCCGTCAAGAAGCAGGACGGATGCAGCCAGGTGTGGCCGCCCACCATGATGGGGCTGCTCGGGCGCGTGCCAGAAGGGGTCGCCCAGTGAGAGCCGTCGGATCGTTCCCTTGGTCGTCAGACTCCGGAACATACACCGTGTGACAAGGCCACGAGCGGGATCAAAGCCATGGGAGCGTCCTCGTCTCGGCCGGCACTGTGCCGTGATGTGTCCCAGACTGGTGGTGACCGGGGCGCGTCCTGTCTGTCTCCTGGCCTGGTGGACGCATAGTAGAATGATGGTGGCGCCCGGCCGAGTCTAGTCAAGAGATTAGATGTAGATGGATAGATAGATGGTCCGGAGAGGGTGAAATTGGGTTGTGTTGGATCGAGAGAGCACAGACACAACCGTTCAGCGTGTTCGAGGCCCCTTGTGAAGATCACAAATCTCCGTGCCGAGCGCGCGAGACGAGACGTCCCCAAAGGATCAGCATGGCGGTCCCCGGACATGTAGTGTGTGGTCTGGCAGTCTGCCGCGCAGTGCCGAGTACTACACCCAACTGCACCTTCCCTGCTCGTTGGCTCGAGCAACCCCTGCCCGTCGCAGCGCCTGTCACCTGTCAATCGCAACTGCCATCCGTCATCCGCCATCCGTCTTTTGTCATCCGTCATACCCACCATCCAATCCCAGGCACTCTTTCGGCTGCTGTGCTTCGAGACGATGGCTTCTCTTTGCTCTCCCATCCTCACACACAAAGGTGGAGCACCCCGCGGCCATAGCCATGCACTCGAGCAAGACTCAGTGTGCGTGTACCTTGGGCCCGAATTCGAACAAGACGGCCACGCTCGTACTCACAGGGGCGTGCAGAACCAGAACGTCCAGGCATACAACTTGGCTGGGAAATCCTCCCTGCAGGGTAATCCCCTACCGTTTGGCCTGTGTGATATCTTGTGAGACACTCGAGCACAATCTCTGGCACCTGGGTAGGTCTTGGTCAATCCCTTTCTATATACTCCCGAGCATCTGCACAAAGCTCCGGTCCTTGCGACAGTAACCACTGTCTCGCCGACTCGCCCAGACAACACGGAATGAAAGCGGCTTTGTTGGCCCGTGGTCATTTGTGCTGCCTTTCAGTGCTCGGCAAGGCTGGTGGGAGGGACTGTGGAGCCTCTTCGTCAAGTTGCTGTTGTAGGGGCAGCCACTGCCGCAGTGAGCTCATGTGGGTGCGAGTTGTTTGTCCAATACCTACAATCCCGCGGCGACTTGGAGGCTCTACTCTTCATGCACCATGCATTGTCGCCTGTAACCCCGGCTTTGCCCGTCACGGCCCGTCGAAACCAAGTTTCTCATGAACCTTGATGAGTTCGGTCCTTGCCAGCCTGGGGCACGCCAAAGGTATCTTGAAGGGGCCGCCCTCCATGCGATCAAATAAAGCCACGATGTCCCACCGCCTTGAACATGGTTTTGCTTCCCTTCAAGGGCACCCCCTCAGCATGCCATTATCAACCCAGGGCTCCCACATGTTGTCTCAGAGACGGCGGATCGAGCTCGTGAGGCTTTCCTGGTGTCAGGCAACACCCGTGAACGTATGTTGTCAGAAGCCCCTGGCTCAGTCCAGCATTCATTGGGGGCCTCTTTCTCTTTTTGATGCGTCTTGCAGATGATCATCGCGCCACGATTTAGCCTGTTGTGCCTCTGCGATCAGGATGCACCGGCTGTATTCCGCCTGCGCGGTGGAGTGCGTACATTCAACCTGCGTGTTGGTGGCCGGTTCTCCTGCAACTCTATGGGTCAAATGTCACCTCTCTGTATGCTTTCTTAGCATACAATTTCCGGAAGTGTACCCGGGCGTCAATTGACCAGTACGCTCATGATTTCCTGATTCGGCCGCGCGCACAAAATATTCAGTTCCTAGGGCGCAGTCAACTCGACTCCGGCTCACCGAGGACCCACTCGGCCTTTAGCCACTGACCACAACAGTGGTTGGCCGGTGCTTTAATCAAGTTATCATTCATCTCCTCAGCTGGCCGGGGTGACATGAGGACAAATCAGCTTCTTCGGTCCCTTCCACCACATGAGCCTGATTTCATATTCTCTGTTTCTGAGGAGCACCAAGCCACGCGCCATGTGTCGCCGAATCAGGAGTCGAATGCAGGACCGGACCAAAATGGCCTAGCGACAAAGTCTACTCCATCCTCCTCATCGACGACAGCTCACAATCGGATATCACGAGCGATATGACACTTGATATCCAACGGGCAGGGCCTGGACCGTCCTGGCTCCGCGTCGTAGTGAGGGGACGAGCCAACTCGGCCTCGAACAGGATTTTCATCAGACGGTACTTCCCGCTGCGTGGACCATGTCACCTTGATCGGCTGTCATCTCACCGCGTCTCGCCGAGGATCCAGTCCAGCGACTCCGTTTGGCTGCGCGCAAGGCGTCTTGATCAGGCTCTCGCTGGAGGTGGGTGGATGCCCTCAGCAGGGACACAGCCTCGGGACATTAGTGACCGTCGATTTCTCTCGTGTGGATTGCTGCCCGATCCTACCAATGCAAGCCATTTTTGAAGCTGCGTTGATGTTCCGAATCGTGAACTATGCCGTTCCGACCATGTCGGGACCACAACGACTACTACCTCTTGCGTACCTAGCCTCACAGCCCATCTTCACAAGCGTAATTCCTGCTGGATGAATGTTCGAGGAATCGTTAGGGAGTGGAGTGAAGTGACCCTTTGGCTGAACTTTAGTAAGGAATTCCGACTTCGACTCCGATCTTTACGCGCGTCATTCGTACGGCGTCACCGTCCTCTGACTTGGCCCTTCATGTGGAATTTGTGCCTCGAAGTCATCAAGCCTACCAATAGCCGCTATTACAACCGCTTGATTGTGAATGGAATAGTGTGGCTGACGAACTGCATACTCGATGGTACATCGCGCCTCGCTTCCGGTCGATGGCCACTCGAACAGCATATCACTCGTCAATTTGCGACCGGCCAGCCCTGTGGGGCTGGGAGGACCTATCACACCAATTACCAAGATTGGTTCTTCGTGACATAAAAGAGTGCAGCACGTCGGCCCACCCTTTCCCGAAGTGGACTGAATATGCCACTGTCTGGAGTCGAGGGAGGCCCCTGGCGACGAACAAAGCCCCTCCCATATGGCAACAACCATCACCGGCTAAGCACACTACATACCGAGGCCTCCATCGCGAAAGGGGCAATTTTGGCCCCTGCGCATATCTTGCTCTGGTATGAAGGGCCCAGACCAGCTAGTCGAAGCAAGGCGACCCCGACATGTCTCCACTGAGAAGAACAATGGCCGTAATCGTTGTCCTGCATGACGTGGATGTTGTCATTGAGTAGTCGTAAAGCGGTAAACACGCAGAAAGGTAGGTCAGTATCGCTGTGCTTGTCTATTCCGAGGACTCCCCGATTGTTTTCTCCGAGGGTGTTGTTAGCGTTGCCCCCCGAGGCAATGGAATATAAAGGGTCGAGTGATGAGGAGGAGCTGGAAACTATGTTCTCTGGCCTTCCCTCCCCAGTGTTTATTTTCGGTTTTGAACCAGCTTTACTCAATCGCAGAACCAGACATTATAGAACCTCAGCAACACCAAAATCTGGGACCGCAACCAGCATCACCACCATGTGTACCCTGAAAAAGCAATGCTACGCATGCAAAGGGGGATGTGTAGAGCAAGTTGTAGTTCACTGTCCTTCCTATCTGGCTGGGTATGACTGCGGCCAGTCTGATGTGACCCGAGCCGGACAAGCGGGCGGCATGCTCCTTCAAGAGATATTACACCTGTCACCATGTCCTAAACATGGGGTTGACAACCCCCATGATCAGTGTAAAGTCACATACGAATCTCCGATGTGTACCAAATTAGTATCAATACTGAATATCTTCTAGGAAACCTCGCATCACTTTCCTGCCTTGGGCCTCGGGTCAAGATCCGGGATCCGGGCGGAGTCCACTTCGAATGGGCATGGAAGGATAAAGTGGAGCAGGCCCTGGTTGTGTTCGGATAATCACGATCATATGGACATGGGATAGGACGGTGCACTGGGGCGCGTGCATGTGTGGAGGGTCTCACATCGACGCCAATAATCAATGTGGAGGAAGGAGGACCACAAAGTAGCATGATACTGAGTGGCATGATGCCAAAGACATAAGGCAAAATACTTGCACATATGACAGTCTTTCAAATTGAAAAGGGGGATAAAAGGAGAACCCAACACCAGCTGTGCCACGCATCCGTCGACGTGCCAAGGAAACTGGCGAATATCAAGCCCACCTGCCCCGGGTGGCGAACGCCATGTACCGCCCAAGCCACACTCTCTCCGGCACCAGTATATACTGGTGCTGGGAGCTTACCGGTCGGCACGAGGCAGATGGCCTGATGTGACACCACATGAGTGCTCGGAAAGCCTCACTGATCGACATGGACAAATGGAAAAAGGCGATCCGATCGTGCGCGATAAGTGGCAGGCTCCGCCATGGGAAAAGGAGGCGGCGAGACGGAAAAGGCCTCCTGCCTCGAAGCCTCGAAGCTCCCGATGCGAGGTCGTTCAAGCCACGCCCCGCCTCCCGCACGGCCGGACGGCTGGCCACATACAACAGGTCTCACAAGCTCATGTATACCGCCTGACAGCTGCCCGTCTGGGAAGGCTTTGCCACAGAAGAAGGTAGGCCTGGTTGACCGGGGCGTTTCTTTCGGGAAGCTGCAGGAGAAAGAGATTCCCTCCCCCGGACTGCGTGGTCGGGACTCTCCGCCACCCGATGGCAGCCCCGTTGAATGTGGCGTTGGGAGGCCCAAACGAGCAAACACATGTTATGCTTCTTCAGCAGCTGACCAGGAGATAACGTCGAGTCAGATCGCTTGCGGGCGGGCTGTTGGACTGGATTTCCTCCGATGCAAGACGTTACACGACAAGTGTCTGGCTCGCCGAGCATACACTGGCTGCATCTCACGGGGGACTGAAGAGCTGCAGTCTATTGCGATGTCAATTTCTCATAAGCTCTCTGGTTCGATCTACCTCGATGGAGGCCTATCAGGCTTTCTTTCAAGACCTGTCTCCGACTTCAATGACCTGTCATATCTGACAGGGGCAGTCTTCCAGCGCGGGGATCCAGCGTAGTCCTGTCTCGGCCGATAACAACATTTTGTCGGCTCTAGCGATGGAAGATCCCCAAATGACAACCTGAGCCGCTTACCAAGTTTTGCCTTGCATGCGTGCGACAGTGGAGCCAGCCAGCCAGCCAGCATAACGCTTTGAGAATCGAGATGCGGTTCCGGGGTAGCACGTTGAGGTAGATCAGCGGCTCCCGATAACTGGTCATTGGACCGTTACGCCTGCGAGCCGTCGCCAACGTGACCAGGGACTTTTTCCATCCTTTTCATAGGCTGCTGCTGTCTGCTTAAACCACCGCTACGTCACCTCCCGGAGCCGCATCGCCGGTCTCGAACTCTTGATACACCTCCTGAATCTCCTCTTCCGTAGCCTCCAGGCCGGAGCTGCTCATCAGCTTGGCGTTCTTATCCTCCGTCCTGGGCTCGATGAGTAGGTTCTCCTGCACCTCACAGTCCGTCAATGTGCAATTATCTCCGATTTCGCTCCGCTTTCCCAGGATGCACCGGGTAAGCTTACATCCCTTGCCGATCACGACCCCATCCATGAGCAAGCACTGGGAGAGCTTGGCCCCCTCCTTGATCTGACAGTTGGCGCCGACAACTGACTCCTTGATGGCCACTTTTTCGTCTACCATCACGTTCTCCCCAACGAGGCTGTCTGGGCGCGTGATTGTCGTTCGGCCCCTGACGCCCTCCGGGTACATGACTTTCTTGGGGTGTGCAAAAGGGGACGGCGTCTCGCCGCCAGCCTCGGCCTCTTCAACAGAGGGAAGCTTTGCAAGCTGGAGCGAGACGTTCAGTAGCAGCTGAGCGGTATCCACCCTCCGAACGATGGGCGCGGTTGGCTTGGACGGGTGAATGTAGGCAAGGATGGGAGGCACGACATCGTCGGTGGAAGTGGGGGAGTCTTTTGCGGCGGACGATTTTGTGGCACCGTCTACCATTCCACCAGATACGCCATCAGAACCCGTGAGCTCGGAAGACATGCTGTCGTCGTGCAAAGAGTCTGTGTCTGTCTTTTTTGAGTCTTTTGGGGCGAATATCTTGTCGAATCCTAGTTTCTGTGCGAGTCCCGTTTGCCAACCTGCCTTGGCCCACCAGCCAATCACATCTTCTCCGATGCTGTCGAGGCGATCGTTGTCGCGAACAAAGTCTAATACCCACTTGGGGAAGATGTAAATGTGCGCGTCTCGATACGTCGTCCGCACTTGGATCCGGGGATGTCTTCGAATGAGCCCGTGCCGCAGAGGGTAGCCGTTTCTCTCCTCCATCAAGTCGTTCAGCGAGTCAGTAGGCATCGAGTAGACCAGATTCGACATGTGCGAGGTCAGAGTTTCTTTGGAGGAGGGTGCTGCAGCTGCCAAAGGCGTCGTGGCGATGAAATCGGTTTCTTCTCCTTTGACGGGAGTCTCCGTCTTGGTCTGATACCAGACTCCCATGCCGCCACTATGCGGGCCCTGGTCTTCGGGAATCAGACCAGATCCGTTCCCTACCAGATCCCTCAAAGTCTCGCAGTTCACCATCCATGCCTGAAGAAGTTGATCGCCACCCAGCTCGCAGACGAGGTCGCACGGAAGAACCACAAAGTTTCCGGTGACGGCCGACCTGACCTCAGGAAGTCGCAGGATCTCTGCTGTGCCGGTGTTGTGATCCAGGTCCTTTGGTGCCAGCAAATCAGGCCGTGGTAAAGGGAGGCTCGTCAAGGCAGGGTTCAGACTTAGAGTTGAAGCTATCGCCTTCTCGGCCGAGGGAGGGCAGATGAGTGTGATGTCTGACGAAAGTCGTGAGTCTTAGCCGGCCCGCAACGTGCTTCTGCTTCACAGGTGCTTACCTGTAATGCCTGCCCTGTAGCAGAACTCGAGGGGATACCAGACCATGGGCCTATTGGCGATGGGTAGAAGAGCCTTGGGGTGCTCATCAGGGTTTGCCGTGTATGTGGGCAACGACGACCCCGGCCCACAGAGAATAAGGGCCTGCAGCCCAGGAGAGACTGAGGAAACGGCGTGCGGCATTCTGGGGGTCAAGGAGCTGCGTGATGTTGGAAGACCTCGAGAGAAAATAGAGGTGCGTATGTTCTGCTATGTATTTCTGAGTTGCTTGTTTGCAGGCCCGTGTGTCTTGATAGGATAGACGGAAAGATTAGTATGGTGTGCAGGGGAGGTGACTGCTCTCACTCTCACAAACGCTGGCTGGCTGACTCACTCATGAAGTTCAATCTTTGGCAGCAGCGCGGCTTTCAATCGCACCCCACAAGGAGACAGGCCGGGCTCGCTTACGTAAGTAGCCCCAGCAACGCCGCAGGACCAGGGGTTGGGAGCTGGGAGCTGGTGGCTGTCCATGGCCCCGGGTTGTCATGCAGGGTTGGCCCGAGGTCGCCAGCCACCTCCAACGCCAAGTGAGGTGCGCGCATCCAGGACTCAAATGACAATCATCCCGCCACATCTTTTCGCGTCTATTGTGCATGCAACTAACCCACTTGCACATGCGACACGAATTCCGGCCTCCTTCCAGCTCCACAGTCCAACTCACCGTGAATATTGCGCCCAAAACCGCACAACGCATGCGCCCAACCGACAGACTGATGCGATGAGCGCCTCTCAATGATGTCTTCACCTTATGATAACCGCGGCCCGTCGCGCCGCCGAAATGGTGTCTGGAGCCACTGGGTCCCACTGGCAGTGACTGTAACCGTTGCCACTGTTGGGGTTGCGGCCTGGATCTGGAGCCAGCGCAGCAGCGATGAGGAGGACGAAGAGGAGGCCGTCAACCAGCATCTGGACTACGAGCATGCTGATTACGGCGACAACCCCCCATACGGTGCTACCGGCGACAATGTGAGCGTCAGAGCTCCGCCATCATTCAGGAGCGACTTGAGGCCCGAGGAGGTCGGGTACGGGGTCACGCAGGCCGATGCGAGTGCACCAGGCTGGGGAGCGCGCATGTCCGGTGCGTTGCGACGCACGCCCAGCCCGCAAAACATCCTTGATCGCGCCGGGAAGACAGTCGCCGCAGGGGTAGCAGCGGCGGGCACGGCTATGGGGAGCGCCCTGGCTGCCATCCGGGAGGAGGACAAGGCTGCGTTCGCCGACCACGAGACGTGGTCTGAGGAAGCAGATGCAAAGAACGAGAAGGGTCCGGCCGCGCAAGCACGCGATTACGGCGGCAAGAAGAGAAAGACAGTAGCCATTGTCGTCTCTGCTGACACACAACTAGACCTGGACGAAGATGGGTATCATGAGCATGCCGTATGGTCCCCTGCGATTGCGCCTCCACGCATGCCCTTTGAATGCTAACACAGGACTGCAGTCAATACTGTCGCATATTCCAAAGCACAATGACTTCTCGAAAGTCAAGCTGTTCATCTTGATATACGCACCTGGGCTGAAGGATACGGTCACGGAAACCACGAGCACTCGGGCGCCAGCCTCGCTCAGCTCATCATTTTCTGTGGTAGGCCCTGAGCAGGCCATAACACCAGGGGACGAAGCGAAGAGCCCGCTGTGAGTGCCCTGCATTAACGCGATTATTCTGTTATTCAATTGAGCTAACATGGACTGTAAAGCCTGTCCTCGTCTAGTAACCCCGCCTTTAATGCGGTTTACTCGCAGGCCATCGGCCTGGTTGAGAAGGAGACTAGCGTCCTCCCATTTACTACGCCGGCAGGCTATGTGCACATACTCCACCACCTTAAACCGGAAGTTGTCTACCTGCAGGAATCCCTTGCCGGTGACAATGGACTTCACGTGCAGAAGCTCCAAGCTTGGCTTAGATATGACATTATTCTGGTTGTGGGTGCCGAAAGTGGCCATGGAGGCTTAGCAGACAGCGAGTCGGAGGCAGAGAGACCTGAGGAGACCCAGAAGTGGTGGCAGAAGGAGGATCGCGTGGGCCGTGGCCGGGGAGTGATCGTTGTGGACGGGATGAGAGTAAGTGATGACTGGTCGCGTCGCGTCCAGGGCAACGAGCAATGACTTTTATGACCTGGCACAGGAAGGGAGATGATGAGATACGAGACATACCCCGGCCCCAGCTCCAGCCCCAAGAGCTGGACCAGCCAGACAGGCTCGCCAAGGGTGGGAGCACAGTGTTTAGTGGGGTGATATTGCTGATTATGGACTATGGTTGACAAACACAGTAGATACTTCTGTTGGTAGGCTAATGAAAAGGTGGAAATAAATATCGGGAATATGCAAATGACTGAACAAGTATGCCTTCGTTGTGCAAGCTATCTGAGAATGAGGCTCAAGTCGAGCGACCGTGGGGACACGACGGTAGGACACCAGAACTGCTTGAATGACCCCTGCAAGACCAACCCAACATTCCCCTCCTTATTCCCTACACACAGCCTTCACTCTGTTCCAAAGGCCCACCTGACTTGTTGAAGTCTCTTTGGGGAGCCTAATAAGCTCTGTAAACACCTGGTAGAGTCTGAACATTAACACCTGTCAGCCTCACAAATTAATTAAAGATGTCTGGACGGACGCCTTGTAACAACAGACTGTATAAGCTAGACTGGAGCAAGATCCATTGATTTCCTTGGAGATGTCTTAAAATCGAAGTACCGGTGATCTCTCATTATCTCTGACGAAGTTAAGCCAAAAGTTAAGGAGAAAAGGCATGAATGGGATGGATGTTCTGAAAGATGCCTGGCCTGTCTTGTCAGGTGTCGCCATCTTTGGTACTTGGCCTGGGGAGAGAAGACGAGTGGGGCACACCCTGGCATCGACAAGCGCCAATTCGACCCACCCAGCCGACTCCCAGGTTCCGACCACCGACGTCTCTCCTCCCCACGCGCCCATCATCGCATTACACTGCATCACATCACCGTCTATTTCCGCCGGCAGCATCACTACCATCTCGAAACCATCCGAGCCCGCTTCCATCATCCACATTGCCGTCGCCGCCGCCGTCGCACTTGGTCGCTGGCGCGAGAATTGTCGGCCTCGCCCATTGTCTCCGACCGCTGCACGGGAGGAGCAGGGCCACGAGATTCTTTGAGCGCGCGTCAGCCCGACAGCCCACAGCCCAATCGTCAGCGACTCCATCTCACCCCGGAACACCCCCATCTGCGGCACCTGCATACACACCCACAAAAGCCCAGCAGTGTGCAGCCCCATCTGGCCAAATGCGATCGAACCGCGCCCCTCACACCGTGTTGCAATAACCTGGGAAGCAGGCCAAGCCGAGCGCACCAGCACCGGGCACCGGGCACCAAGTACCAGCACCAGCATCTGGCCGCGGGGCCTCACCGGCAGCGCATCGCGCAGTCTGTTGAAGCAGCGCATCGCGCAGTCTGTTGAAGCAGCGCACCGGTCGCCATGGCTCCCAGCACGACTCCCATTCCTCCACCCATCATTCCTCCCCATCCAAAAACGAAGCGCCCGATCCCTGCCGGCATCCAGACAAATGGCGCGCCGTCTTCATCCTCTCCCTCACCTTCCATGTCGGCAAAGAAACCACCCAACAGCGCTAAACAAGTCCCCAACTCTGCCTCGACAAATGGTGGCACCGTCACCGTCGCCCGGCCACCAAATCGCATACGGCAAGAGATCACTGCTCAACCTAATGGGACCGTCCGCGCGGGCACGAATGGCGCCACTCAGCCCGTCTCTACCGGTGCGGCCGATCCAGCCATGATACCGGTGGTCGTGAAGCAGCGTGAGTTCCGCTTACCGCGCGTAATGCGTGTCATAGACTGACAAAGCCTAAGCTCCATCCCGACTATACATCCTGAAGAAGTATTACGGAAACCCGCCGTCGCTCATCGTCCATCTCTATCCGAATCATTTCAAATTCGATGCCCAGGATGACTATTTTCTCTATTCGTCGCCAATGAAAGCCTTTCTCGACCATCTCAAAACGCGAACCATTCCACATGATATGCTCGCCGACTTGACGGAGGCGGGAGTACCCTTCTACGAGGGTTGTCTGATCGTGGAGGTTCACGACCACAGGAGCGTAGCAGCTGAGAAGGAAGATGCCGCAAAGAATGCTCCTGCAAAGAAACCTGACGTACCGACCTCGGTTCACAAGAACAATCCTTATATCACACCATCGCCAAACAAGCCATTTCAGAGGGATCCTTTGACTACCATTAACGGCCAAGCTAAAAGTCCGGAGGTTGACTCTAAAGGCAAATCAGCGGGTTCCGCCGATCAAGGAAACAGGCAACTGTCCAATTCGCCGCAGAGTCAGAAGAGCAAGGCTCCCCCGAAACGGAAAATAACCACTCTCGTCCTGTATCCCACGCACCAGAGCCGGCAAGCAGACCTTGCGATAAGGGCATGTAATCCTCGCGGCTCTAGCGATGGCCGGCAAGACGTACCGGGTGGTGGCATGGCCCCTCCAACCCCCTCAGCGCTCGTTCCGCCCACACCTACAGGCTCAAGCATGCCACCTCCAGCCAAGAAAGCCAAGCGCGAGCGCATGGAGCTCGACAATAGCAATATCTACGCGGCCGAAGGCGCAATGCTGCTTGCCACTGTGGCACCCCTGGATCTGGAGCCGAGCAAGGACGTAGAAACCACAATCCGCAAACTCGAGGAACAGGCCATGCTTCATGCACATCGCTTTCAGCCGCCTCCGCAACCGAAGACTAGGAAGCGTACGGTTGCCGAAATGGCCGCGGATGAGGCCCAGGCGGCTGAGAATGAGAGATTCCTGCTTACACTGGACGAGAAGATCACGCAAGGCAGCAGCTCAGTTCCTGGTGGCGATGGACAGCAACAAGTCGCGCCTTTCAATCTTACCTTTGACCGCTTTAAGAAGATCGAGGACATTAAAAAGGAGCACGCGGAAAGGGCCAAGCAAGAGAAACTCAAGCGGGAGGAAAACGAGCGCAGGCTTGCCGAGCAGAAGGTTCAAGCGCAGGCCCAACAGCAGCAGCAGCAGCAGCAGCAAGCAGCAGAACAAGAGAGGCTTCGGCAGGAGCAGGCCGCCGCCACTCAGAGGGCGCAACAAGAGGAGATGCGAAGGAAAATGCAAGCGCAACAGGCGCAACAGGCGCAACAAGCACGGGAGAGGCACGCCCAGGCTCAAGCACAAGCTCAGGCTCAGGCGGCAGCCCAGGCTCAGGCGCAGGCTCAGGCGCAAGCACAAGCTCAGGCGCAGGCACAGGCACAGCAAAACCAAGGCGGTGGAGCGATGCATCAGAATGCACATGGGCATCCCGCTCAGGGCGGACAGCTGCCCAATGGAGTCTCGGTGTCAGCTCCGAACGGCATGCCGATGGCGCAGGCGCGCTTCCACGGCCAAGTCTCGCAGCCTCAGGTATCTTCTCCAGTTGTCCAGCAGAATACCCCTCAGAATATGTCATCACCCATGGTCGGTGGTGTTGCCATGCAGACGTCTGGGTCCAACATGGGAGGCAGCCCAGCAAGGCCGTCATCCGTCGTTCAAAACCAGCCCCCAATGTCCACGCCCATGGCGGTCAGCATGTCTGCCAGAGGTAGCCAGCAAAGCCATCCTTCTGGCACACCACGTATGCACAGCGCGACTCCGAACATGGCTCAAGCAACCCCGATCAGCCGGGCTCAACAGATGGCCCACACTCCGCGCATGTCTCAGACCAGCCCGCCCCCAGGCATGATGGCTCCTCACCTCAACCAGTCGATGATGATGAACAGCCCAGGGATGGCCAACATGCCGCAGAACGCGAACCCAATGGCACAAGCTCAATTGCTGGCCCAGCAACAACGCCAGTACCAGCAAGCACAAAACATGAACGCAGCCATGATGCAGAACAATATGATGAACGGCGGTGCCCCGCAGAATGCGCAGCAATTGATGCAGGCGCGATTCATCCAACAGCAGCAGCAGATGATGCGTACAAAGATGCAGAACGCACAGCAGCCTGGCATGCAAATGGGCCAGCAGCGGATGATGCAGGCCAACATGGGAATGCCGAACGGAGCACAAATGCGTCCAGGCCAGAACATGGTCAACATGGGGGGCCAGATGTTCCCGCAATCAATGCAGCAAATGCAGCAACTGCAACTACAACAGCAGATGCAGCAGATGCAACAGCAACAGCAACAGCAACAGCAGGGTCACCCGCAGCAGATGCAGCAGAACCACATGATGGGGGCAGCTGGACAGCAGGCTCAACTACAGCAGCGAATAGCTATGCAAACGCAGCAGCAGATTTCGATGCTGAGTACCAAGTTGTACCAGGAGAACCTGCCGAACTGGTTATCGCAGCAACAACTTACGCAAGAGACCTGCCCACCCGACTTACTGCAGAAGTTTAAGATGCAATGTTTGGGCTCGGCCAGGCAGAAAATCCTGCAGTTGAGGCAGCAACAGCAGCATCAGCAACAGCAACAGGCATTGGCCATGCAGCAGCAGCAAGCCATGCAGCAGCAGGGGATGATGCCCCAGGGCATGTAGTGCGTGTTCACGGAGGCGCGATGGCCTACGTTTCTGCCGGCTTACCCTGGAATGCACGGCTTATATCCAAACCACCACTGCGATAATTACTCTTACTGATTTTTAGGTGCACGGGCAGCAAGCGCGAACCTCGGCGTTTTAAGGAAAAGGGGGACATGGAGCTGAATGATACACGAATATCATCCAAGCCAGGCTACTATTTCGACTTTGAGCAAGGTCTTTTATACCCCCGGGCGGCCCCGAGCGATTTGTCGAGTTCTGTTGGCTTCTATCTATTTGCTGCTCCTGCGGCTCGTTACTCACTGGCGTTGACGTCTTGCGAGTTGGGATCAAATCGGCTCTCGACATGTGTGGAAGCCGAGTGTTCTTTACCATGGCAGGCTTATCCTCAGGCCAGGACTCACCCCTGACAACGTAGCAGATGTTGAGGGGCCCTCGCAGATGCAATGTGAAATATTCAAGCCATGGATGTTTGCTGGACACTATTTCTGTGCCATATGTGAAGATCATGCTGTGAAATTGATCAAGAGGTTCTCTTGCCTGTGGAGCGCGATGTGTAACCAATAGACATGCTGGATGATTAGCCATGGTCACTTGAGCATCTCCGTCACACAGTTGGGCGCGTGATTTGAGTGGCGGGGCAGCACACCCTTCCTCCCAATAACCTCGTGGCTTCTGGAAGGAAAATCTCTATGAGGGCATCCCAGTGTGCAAGCAATTTTTGGCCTTCTATGTGCTTGTCTGCGGTGTGCACATGCGCTGGGCTTCGGGACCCGTACGAGCTGTTTCGAGAAGGTTGTCTCCGACTGCATCTTGGGCGGGCACGTGACGTCGGTCGGAGGTTGCATCACTTCCAAGGCTGCTCATGACATAGCCGCTCGGCATGGTACGCATGGCGCTTCAAGCTCCAACCTCTTTCCCGAAGAGCCCTCTGCCCCGTAAAACATATTTCTATGACAAATCCGACCCTCGATCCTCCCCATCCAACACTGTAGATCGTCCACAAGCTTTCTTAGCAACCCTCGTTTGCCGAAACTGACCAGTCCGCGAGATCGGGCCCACGTCTCCATATCCATCTTCGTCCTGTGCATATTTCCACCCGTTCAACCGCCCGCGTCCAGCCCATCTACCTCCGCGAAACCCCTCCGACCGTACGCCACACTGGCCACAAACCTGCCATCGACATGCGTTGCCCGTCGACGACATCGCCAGCGGCACAGTCCGCCGCTGGCTTGCTATACCTGCTCCTGCTGGCGACGCCGGCGGCAGCGATGCTCCAATGCGATAAAATCCTGGTCGACCGCCAAAAGTTCAACTTCAAAGACCTCGGGGGCCCCCACTCGGTGGTCACGACGCAGGAGCTGGATGAAAACCAGCCATTCCAGTTTCGCAACACGACGTACACGCTGGATCTGTGTGCACCGCTGAAGAAGGACGGCCCGCGCAGCGAGAGCTGTCCGAACGGAGCAAGGGGTGAGTTTCCATCACCGGAGGAGTGCTTCTCTTAAACATCATCGTGAGTGGGCTTGTCATGCTAAAGTAGACATGAACAGTCTGTGGTATCGTGCGCGGCATCAAAGACGACCAAGACTCAGTGCAGTCCGTCATCCCGATCGCAGGCAACCTGGCCAACCACGGAGGGAGCGACCTGGAGCCCAAGATAACGCGGCTCAAGACATCCGACTCGGGCGCCGATGCCAAGAAGGAGGGTGTGCGGATTGTTCTGCACGGCGGGAAAGACACGGTCAGCAAGCGCGCACAGCAGGCCATTGTCGAGATGGTATGCGGCAAGGACAAGACTGGCAAGGAGGGCGAGTGGGACCCGAAAGACGACAAGTATGAGCCGGGCCAGGAGGAGACCGAGGAGGAGGGCAGCTCGGCCGCTGGGCAGCGGAAGAGGGCCGACGGCGACGAGAACAAGGACGGGTCGTCGGAGCACCAGCTGCTCAAGCCGGACTCGGCCCTTATCTTCGACAGCTACGGGCCCCTGAGCGAGGACAAGGAAATCGACGTGCTGAGGCTGACATGGTACACAAAATACGCATGTGAGGGCCTGCCCGAGGACGAGTACCCGAGCAACCAGCACTGGGGCTTCTTCACATGGCTTGTCATTCTGTAAGTTCACTGTCTATCCCTCATGGGAATCGCCTGTGCTTAATCACTAACGCATCTGTACAGCGTGTTCCTTGCTACTGCGTCCTACCTGATCTTTGGGTCCTGGCTGAACTACAACCGCTACGGGGCCCGCGGCTGGGACCTGCTGCCGCACAGTGACACCATTCGCGATATTCCCTACCTTCTCAAGGACTGGACGAGAAGGGTCCTTAACACGGTGCAGGGCACCGGTTCCAGAGGGGGCTACTCGGCTGTATGAGAGAATGAAAGTCTATGAGCATGACGGGTTATGAGGATCACTATACAGAGACTGGGGTAGCCTTTTTCTTTTTCTCGTTTTTGCTGGTTCAAAGATTCGGCATGGCGGCGAGGGACTTGATTTCGTGGCGTTGGGCTCATCTTGCGCAAAGACAGACACCTGTAGCAAGACAGCGCGGTGTTTTGAAGGGCGATCTCAGAGTGTGAAGTACGAGGTTCTCGTGATCCAACAGAACGACCTGAAATCTCTTTGCAGACCGAGATGGACCTGTCATATATTTATGGGTCTGGGCTGACTAAGCATGCTCTCTGCACCGTTGGCTGCTTGCGATGAAGCAGTCAGTTATCAGAATCACTCAACCCTTGGCTTTTGATATCATTTCATAGCCAAGATACTGGGTCAGCCCGTACCCACACCGGTAGCGTCGCCGAGGCCTTTGGGTGGTCGGGGTCGGTTGTCAGTTGACAGCCGTGTTCCCCTGACGGCCGAGGGCTGAGCAGGTGCCGAGGCAAAAGTCGGAGCTTACTTGCAAAGGGTCCAACGTCAACACTCTCTCCCTAGTGCCATCCACCCAGACAATTATAAGCACTGCAACTTGACCACACTGTCCAACAGGCCTGTGTCTCTCTCTCACAAACCCGCTGGATTACCTCTCATGGTGGAAGGCAGCCCGTGAAACAAAGACCACCATGGCCGACCCGAGCACATCCAAGCCGCTCTACAGCGTCCCGGTCCCGGCATGTGATCAGCACCCCGGCGGGTCCGTCACAATCACCGAGCCCTCGCCCCGGGTCTACCTCCTGACGCTGGCCTCCCCGCCGGACAACCGGCTCACGACGGCAGTGTGCCAGGCGCTGCTGCAGGCCCTGGACATCGTCGAGTTCTCCCTGGCCCCCGGCTGCGTGGTCACCACCTCCTCGTTGCCCAAGTTCTTCTCCAACGGGCTGGACCTGGGCCACGCCGTCGCCCACGGCAGCGCCTACTGGTCCGACAGCCTGTGGGCGCTCTTCCGCCGCTACCTGACGTACCCGATGCCGACGGTGGCGCTGATGAACGGGCACGCCTTCGCGGGCGGTCTGATGCTCGCCTTGCACCATGACTATCGCGTTATGTCCGCCGACCGCGGGTTTTGCTGCCTCAATGAGCTCGAGTTCGGCGCCCCGCTCAAGCCGCCCATGTCGGCCGTCTTCCGCGTCAAGCTCCCCGACAGGAGGACTTACAGGGAGATGGTGCTCGAGGCGCGGCGCTTCGGCGGCAGGGAGGCTGCCGCCAAGGGGATCGTGGACGCCGCGGGGGGCTGGGACGAGGTGCTCGCGCTGGTGAGCGAGAGGAAGCTGACCGAGAGGGGCAAGACGGGCGTGTACGGTCTGCTCAAGATGGAGATGTACCGGGAGTGTTTGGATTTGCTGGAAAACCACGAGCGGGAGGAGGCCAAGGATGATGCCTGGTTCAAGGGGGAGGACGAGAGGAAGCAGAGGGGCCAGAAGAGGGTGGAGGACTTGGTCAAGGCATATGAGAAGGCGAAGCTGTGATGACGCGAGTACATTGAGCCACGTATCCTGACCGGGCGCTGACTCAAAAATAAATACTGCGAATGCCAGTCAGGACACTGAACGCAGTCAAGGCAGTCCAAGCTATGCATCATCGTAGAGCAAATTATCTTGATGTCCATTCCTCTACAGCGTCTAGAATGCGTTACCGATGCAATAAACCATTCGCCGTCCAGACCCACCAACTCCCTCTCCGTCCAGTCTAAGAAAGTTGGCTCTTGGCCTTGGCCCAGCATATCCATCAGTCCGCAGTCAAGCTCAGCCCAGTTGCAGTCGGTCTCATACACAATAGTAAGTACATCCAGGGCCCACGCCAGGCCTGTTTCCTCGAGTTTTCCATCCTTTGTTTCCGAGTAATCCGGCCCTTGTTTCCTTGTAGCATAGTTGGTGTTGGTTGACTTTTTGGTATCATTGGTATCATTTTTGACGTATTTTTGGGCCCATTCAACTCCACAGGAAGCCGAGTTTCAATGTACTCGGAACGAACAACGGTGATCCCTTGAAATCAAAACACTCTCTGAAGACGCCAAACGCACTATTGACCTTATCAGGTACAAAAAGGGAGGAAAAAAAGACAAGCAGTTTCCCCAAGCACAACGCGAAACAGAGTCGCTATTATGCACTGTCATAGAAAAGAGCGGGGGAAGGAGTAGTTGAGAAGATGCATCAAGCACAACGGGTGCCCGAAAACAGGCTGTAGCAGCAGCAGCAGCAGCGGCGTTATTTACTCGCTCACGGATTCGTCCTCCGAGACGTCCATTTGCGGATCGTAGAGCAGGTTGCGCTGCGCTGAAGGCAGCCCCAACTCGGTGCGAGTGTCTTGTTGGATTTTGAGGAAATACCTGCGCAGACTCCGCAGACCCTTGAGAAAGCCGCAGTCTGGATCCTGAGGATGGCGTGGTGGGCAGGGCTTGTCCTTGTCCATGTCGCTGGCAATAAGGCTGTTGGCAAAATCGGCGATCTTGAAATCGATCTCGCCCTTGTTCTTCCGCTTGCGGACCCGACTGGCGTCTTCGGTGTCAGTGGCAAAGTCCGTTGTCGAGTCTTCGACCGCGGTGTCGTAGTTGTCCTTGCCGGACTGGTCACCGTCATAGGTCATGAGCAGACTCGCGGCATAGAATCGGTAGCCTCGCAGCCGACGTACGATGACTTCAAGCTGGCTGAGCTTTTGCAGAATGTTGGGGATGTGCCGGAGGATGCTGTGGAGGTCTTTTCCATCATAAAGGAAGCGGGTAAGTGCTTCCTGGAACTCGTCACCGGCTTTGAGGTTGCGACCGTAGTATTTGTCTTGGAAAACGTATCTCTCGGTCTGTGCATCCCACACTTGAAGGCCGCAGACCCGCACACCGAGTTCCCGTGAAGTTGTCTCGGCACATTTGCGCTGTTGAGACTTCTGCTTCTTGGGATTGGCTTCGACGCCATACTGTCGTGTGCCCATCTTCAGGTCCATGATACAGGGGCGCTTCATGCTGGCGGTCAAATCTTCCAAAAGCAAGAAGTACGATACTCGAGACCCACGCTGAGTCTGGGCCTCTTTGGGGGTTCATTGGCCTCGACATCCTCTTGAACTCGCTTGTGGGGCTTGTCGCCACAGAGACCACTGCGGATTCACAAGCCGACGACGTCGTAGACGATGCCGTGACTTGGTTTTCAGCTGCCCCGTTAAGACCCTGGGTGGGCATTGCTGTGGGTGCGTCCGACCCGGGCGCTGCGCCCCTAAATTCTTCATTGTCGCCCTTGTAGCCTGCGTCATCAGGCTCTTCCCAATAATGCAGATCGCCCCTCGAATCCGACACGTCCTTGGGCCTCCTTCGAAGAGCACTGCCAGAATGCCGGCGTTTCTTGCGTTGGGGTACCATGGCCTCGTTCAGGATGTCTGGCTCAGGAGCACTAGTCCCAGTGACATCTTTTGACTCGCCATTACCATCTGGGCAAGGCTCGCTGGAAGGGCCGAGGTCGCTCTGTGATTTCTGGTGCATGCGTGAAGGCACAGGCTGGCTGTGTTCCTGTTTGTGTACCACGGGTAAGTGTAACTCCACACCGTTAGCTCTCATGAGGCTAGAGTCTGAACTCTGGGGCCGAAGCAGGCGGTCCAAAGTCTTCTTGGGCAATACTCGCTGGTGAGCTTTCTTGTGCCTGTGAATATTGATGGGCTGGTTCCGAAAGGCGTCGTTGAAGACCTCGTGACGCAGTTTCTTGTTGACCACAGTGGTTCCCCAGCTATTAGCATGACGGTCTTCCAGAGACGGCCTTTCCAAAATCCCGCCAGGCGTTGATTCGTTGGAGGCGTAGTGCGACGCCGGGACAGAGATTGACGAGCTACGAGCACGGTCTGAGCAGAGAGCCGCATTTGCTGCCGGGTGAAGGAGGCTCCTGGGCAGGATATGCTGGTTGTCCATGAACGTGACCGTTGGGATTGGGATCGAGCTTGATTGCAAGGATTGGCTGATTACTCTATTGTGCGTGCTCGCCTGTTGACCGGCTTGGTTGGGTTTCTCTGCAGCGTCATGAGTCGAAAGGCCATTAGCCCGCACACACGTGCTCTGTTCCCTTTGCTCGCCTTTCTTGCGTTCGGAAGCGACAGGCTCATCTCTCCTGACAGTAGATTTGCGCCGAGGCTGCTTTGAGTATGTCACATTGAGTACGCCGATATATCTGCAATGATGTTAGCCGCATACCCGGCACACTTCCTTGTCGACAAAAACGGATTTATTGAGGGCTGGTGCATACCTTGGGAGAAAAGGTAGTAGGTCCCTATGGTATCTTTCGATATCTTCGTAGAATTCATTTTCTCGGTTATTGAGCTGCTTGCAAACCGCTCGCTTCGAGAACTTCCATAGAGTCGTGTGCCCACCCACCTGGTGTGAGTAAGGAACAAGCTCTATAGCATCAAGCGGCTGTTGGGCGCCTAATTGATGGTCATGCACATGATCTTCATATTCCTGTGAGCCCAGTTGAGGATCCAAGGAGGATTCTTGTTGCGCACGATCATGCTCTGGGGAAGGAGACGCCGCAGGTGCAGCTTTCTCGGGCGGGTTTATACCGGGGGAGCGCGGTCCGGAATCAAGGGGTCGGTTGGGAGCAGCATCCCGCACATTGTCTTCCATGGGACCTTCAGTCGACTTCGGCTCATCGACCTCGGGTTCGTCAGCCTTTACCAGCCAAGCTGAGCCATCGGCGTTCCGCTGGTGTGTCACGCCAGGTTCACTTGTCGCATCGAGATCTTCCTCAACATCACATGGACTATCGGGGGCAGCATGGGGGCCCTTGTGCGGCAGAAAAACGGCAGACGATATTTTCTCCTCTCCCGAAATTTCACCGTCCTCTACAGCGTCAGCTGTATCACTTGGGCCTGCTTGCACTTCTCGATCCGCTGGGAGACCACCAGAGACTTTGGGTAACTTTTCCTCGTGCGCATCTCCCTCATCCAAAGGGGTTTGCGGATCAGCGTGACCTTTATGCTCGCGACGCACGTGGAAGTAATCCTGGGGTTCCTCGCTATACTTCTGCGCACTTATTGACAGCGGGAATGTTCTGGTGCGCGACAGACGTCCCGGTACCTCCTCTGCAGGGCCAGGGGAGGGCTGCAGGCTCTTGAAATGATCATCACCGCGGCCACCCCCCGGTTGCCTCTCAAATTCGGCATCGTTCGTGGACGGCGGCAGTCTCTCCCTGGGGCTTGGGCCGATTCGTGATTCTCTCCTCTTCATGGTTTCCTCCGGGAGTCCCTCCTTGAAGAAGCGCAGGCTGTGACTCGCTTTGCGGCTCCTAGCGTTCGGCTCCACTCCTGCCAGCACCTCTGCGATGGACTTCTCAACCTGGCCATCTTGGCCGTTGTTAAGGTCGTCCGAACCAATTGACCACGCCTTCTCAGGCCCCATTGACACTCGATGATCGGGTTTGCGAGGCCTGACCGGGGACCGTTGGCTTGGTGCAACACCTGGGTCCAGCCTTCCGTTAGATGGCTCCAGATCTCGGTCCAGTGTTGAGGGGGCGAATGAAGGTGAGGTTGAGGTATCAGAGTACGTGCGGCTGGAGAACGCAACGTCCTTCAATCTCTTCTCCCTGTCTGTTCTCTCCAGCGACGTGCCCCTGCCGCTGGATCTGAGAAGGTCTCTGTGGCTCCAGGGCCTTGAGTCCACGCTTCTAGGTTCCGATGAGTCGAGTGTGCGAGGTAGGACAGCTTCGCTGGACCGGGGAGGAAGAGTAAGTGTTTCGACGGCGCCAGTGCGAGCCATTGCGGCGAGAGCCCTTGGTGAGGCTCTGGGCGTCACGGAACCTCCATCGCTCTCATAGGATGCTTCCTGGAGGTCGTCGTGATGGGATTGTGCGGATGGAAGCCTGTCCGAAGGGAGGTCTTGTTTCGGGTGACTACCGGTGGCAGGGTCGTACGTATGGTTTTGCAAACGAGGGCTGGGACAAGGTGCATCGAGGGACTGGCTAGCGAGAGCAAGAGATATACCACGAGCTTCTGCAAGTTGCTGTGTCAGCAGAGAGGGCCCCTGAGGCCGTTTGGGAACAACAGAGGCAGAGGCAGAGGCAGATGTAGGTCCCCTGGGCCTTTTATCTATCAGGTCTGGTGCAACAGCATTGTTCTCGAAACTAGGTACACGGGTAATCTGGGATGTTGCTGTTCCTGCTCGGCCATCCTCCCCAGCTGCCAGAGAGCTCGACGTGCCAGGGGCTTGGGAAGCGGCGGGAGTGGAGGGGGCGCTGGCAGGGCGATCGCCGCGCGGCTGGTCCTGCCCTTGTCCTTGATTTTGTCCTTGTTCTCGGTGTTGTGGGAGTGGGAGTGGCTGTACCGGTACAGACTCAGGCACAGGCTCAGGCTCAGGCTCAGGCTCAGGCTCAGGCACGGGCACGGGCACGGGCAGAGATACGGGTGCGAGTGCAGGTGCAGGTGCGTGTGCAGGTTCGGGTTCACCACTGTGGGGGCTCACCGGTACAGCTCCAGAGGTAGTTGACGGCGACATGTGGTGGACATTGGCTGTGGATGGGGAGAGGTGTGGGTGTGGGAGAGTTGATAGGCGACGGTTGCGCGGGGGGTGGTGGAAGAAGCAAGACAGCGCGGGCGCGAGCCGGCCAGGGCCACGGCCAGGGCCAGGGAGAGGGAGAGGCAGGAGGAGGAATGAGGAGGACGGCAAACCCTGCGCTGCTTGTCCCTGATGCTACTGTCGTGACACTGGGCGATGGCACGAACCATGTGCTGCTGCTGCGTCGGCTTTGGGCCTGTGTGCCGTTGCGGGCAAGCAATTGGACGACAGGCGTGATTTGTGGCAGAATTGTCGTTTCTTGGGAGAGTCGGAGAGTCGGTGTGTGGGAAAGAAATGGAGGGGGGGGGCGGAGGAGGTGTTTCGCTAAGCCGCCCACGAGATAAGGCCTGGCCGCCCTCCCAGGGGTGGAGCACACAGAGGTTCACGCAAGAAACCGCAACCCCTGTGGCGGGCGACACACAATACTGGGCTGTGCCGTAACTACACTAACAACAGGCCCACCGGTACAGAGGTACATGCACATTTACCAGGCAGTCCGACAATCGGGCACCGACAACCAAGAGTACGTACCTGACGCTAGCCAGCCCCATGACAGGCGCACCACTTCTACTGTACTGTCCTCTACTCTGTGTGCGGCTGCTGCTGGGTACTTCCCTCATCATTGCATTCATCATCGGGCTGAGGACGACATCTAAAATCTCGTTTGACGCCCCTACTCGGTAGGCCCATGTAATAAGCCCGGCCAGTCTGTGCCCGAGTCGCCCAGCCTGCCAGTAAGACCAGCGCATCTGCTCACCTGCCCCAGGCCCAGGGAATGGCTGGTCCTGGGACGGCAGCAACGACGGGCCAAGTACCTGCATTGTTTCCTCGGCCCCCTTTTGTCAATGGTACGGGGCCACCAAGGTGTCAAGTAGACCAACCTTAAAGGGCCTGGGGAAGCGTCGCTCAATGCCCGCTAATCGTCCAGAACTACAGTACGTACCACGTGGGCGTCACTGGTGGGTTCTGGGTTCCATGCCTAGCCCCAGCTTGCAAACTCGTCAGCCTTACTGTTGTCATGATCCCGGGGCCGGCTGAGGGTTGATGGGGCCTTCGACTCCGCTCCCTCGCCTCTCCCTCCTTCCCTCGCCATGTCCCTTCTGTGACGGGGAAACGAGCCGAGAAAACCTAGATCCATAACTTCCCGCTCTCCAAGATCGTGACTGTCTTTGCTCGTGGGCCACAGCCAATGCCACTGCGTCAGACAGTTGTCTGTCTTGCCCAACCCTGGGCGTAGCGCAAGGTTTTGTTTCGCAGAATTAGCTGGCCCAGGCTTCGTTACGCAAACGACAACAGACACCCAAGACCCATCATCGTCATCCCGCTTGCCCCCGTATCACGTTCCGTCACCTCCGCCTTTGACAGGCTCGAGTCGCACCGAGGCCCAGCACTGGCCAACTCGTGCAACTCATTGCTGGCACCCTGGCCCGACCGGTGAGAACGAGTCGGCCCTGGATCCCCAGACACTATCCCGGCTACCTCGTCCATAGTAGGGAGGCCCGTCTTGCCCATCTATTCGCCCATCTACCTGTCACCTTTCCCTCGTGGTAAGCACCTCCTCCGACCGTTCCAACGGGTCGGCGCGGTTTCCTATCACCCACACCCACAGCCGTCTGGGTCAGGAATATCGCGCACGTAGACTAACAGACAACCCTTGCTTTTCGATCTGTCACTTGCGCTTTGTCACTTGCGTCCGTCCTTGCGTGCTTACTTTTCCCGCAACTCCAGACGGTGGACAATTCATTCGCCGTCATACAGACGGACTGCGGTATGATGGATGGAGGCTGAATGTTGACTTTTGCCAAGGGCGAACGGCCCAATCAAGAGAGCCCATGCTCAGAAGAGCCCGAGACAAAACACTCGCCAATCATCCGACAACGTGCTCTCCGTACAGCCTCCTATTCCTCCGCGCAGCATCATCAGCAACTCGAGTCAATGCCACTTTCCGAAGCTTCCTCCTTTTAGTTTCACCTCGCAAGTCGCAGGCCCCGGAATCCGATCAAGCTGGTCAGAACGAGCCCTCCCGCCAGGTACACACACTGTATCTCCGCCTGTTCCAGCCTATCAGGCACTGGCTCACTTCGGCGGACGGGGGAGCCGTGGGCTTCTGTGCCTGTCCGTGGTCACCGCCCTTTTTTCTTGTTTGTCGCGAGAGAGCACAACCAGGCGAAGCGTATCCTTGCCGGGGATGTGTTCCTTCCTGCCGGCCGTTCATGTCTAGTCGAGTCCGAGGCAGTCCAAGCGGACGGTGAAAAAGTTGTATGAGCCGCTTCAAGGGCAGCGCCATCGCGGATGCGCTCCGGCTTCCAGATTGCTCTCCTCCTGGATCACGAAAATAGGACAGCTGGCTTTACTGCTTCACGGCCTGGCCCCGTTCCATGGTCCGACAGCATCTATGTCGTCTGTGTCATCCTTCCGTCACAGCGTGAGTTTGATATTGGTCCTTTGTCTCCTGCAGCTCTGCCCAAGCCACTCGCCGCTGTTCGATCTTCAGCTTGGATAGCGCACTTTTTAATGATGTGCTAGTCTTGATTTCCTCTGGTAATCCAGTTCCCCTATCCCCGTCACCGCCATCCGGGATGATAACCCGCACATGTTCCACATCACATCTTGTTCTAGTTCTGGAAGGTACCCATGACATGGATGGAAGAATGCGTCCGACGACCAGAGACATGCCACGTTGAGCCGAGACTGCCGTGTAGTGGTGGGAAGGGACAGCTTTTTCATCTGGCCCTACGCTCGTCTTGTTGTCTGCCGAGTTACACGGCTCACCTTGCTGTGCTCGGCTATATTCAACTCCAATTGCTCCTTCGACACGTCTCGCTGAGCCACGGTTGTTTACACTCTACGGACTGGGCCTGGGCTCCGGGTACCAGGGATACATTTTGATCCGTTCTGGTTTGTATCGCAGCTGATGGCCCAGGCACCAGCACACGACAGATGATAGCAAGTCCTCGGACTCTGGAGTAGCACTCTGCTCTGCTCTACTCCGTTTCCGTCGAGTATACCATTCACTCTATGAGCAGACACCGCACAGAAGAGCTGTAGCGGCAGGCATGTGAAGCTTCTACTTTATTCGAGCTAGTCGATAGCATGAGGACGCGGCTCTCTGGATGCCTTGCCGCGCTCTGCATTTAATCCCAACACCACCAATCCCCATGTCTGTGTCGTAGCAATGTACCTGTACAGATCCCACTGGCTTGAAGGCTTCTCGTCGAGTGTAAACTTGATTCGCCCGTTCGATTTCCTTGTTTTGTCTCGCATTGCATCCCCGTGAAGGCTATTGCGACGTCTCTCGCTGTCCATTGTGTCTCCAGGGACATCTGTAGCCTCACTGCCCAGAGCCATGGCATCACAACGAGACATGTCAGTTTCTGCTCGCAGCGAAACCGAAAATTTGATTGATGTGACTAGCCCTTGATGACAATGCAGTAGTGTTGAGCGCCGTTGTAGGCCCGTAGTGTTCTGCGTGAACGGCGTCGAAAGGGTCCCAGTCTGAGGAATGAGGACATAGCGGTGACGCGGAAACCCAACCTTGCGCCGACAACCAATAGGTCCCACATGTTGCGCATTCATTCGCGTTGTAAGTAACGGTGAGGATCTAGACGCAGGATGAATCACCTTGATGTGGGCTTTATGCGGCAGGCTTCCTAGTTGGTCGTCTTTCCCAGATGCCGTGTCCGAGATAGCATTTGTCCTGTGTAGGTTGGAGGAAGCGAACTCCTGAAGTCAGTTAGGACTGAGATGTATAGGATGGGTCTGGGCTTTTTGGCGGTAAAGTGTCGATCTTGCGCAGAGTATTTGGGACCGACATCTAAGCCATGTGCTTGAATGTGATCGCAGGCTGAAGCGCTTCTTCAACAAGCAGTAAAGAAGTCTGTCTTATTTCTGTGTTCCTGCCGTGACAGGCGACAACGACGTGCTCTAAGCACGATAGGATATCTCTGGCAAAGCAACTCCGCGCGCTACCAATGCAATCGACCCTACCAAAGAACTCCAATATCCTCACGGTGCTCTGTGAGCATCAGACCACCTGTCTCCAGCAAAAGCAAACAAGATTGGGCGCTGATAATTATACATGCGCGCCACGTTGCCATGATGCTCGCTCGTGTTGTCAATCTCCATGTCAGTCCGTTGACCCACTGGCCCTGTAGAGTTTCCATCCAGAGCAATCCAGCCTGAAGGAATGGACTCTTTAATCGGCCCAAACATTGTCCTCCAAAGAAAACAATGGGTCTTCAACCTGGCGTCGTGCAGCCTGACTAGAAGCAGTCTCTTTCTCCTGCTTGCTCCGCGCATCGTTCACAGGACGATCGTCGGTTTCCATCTCGATACCCCAAGTATTGTCGAGGAACTTGTCCAGGTTATCGAGGACTGCGCTGACGTCGTCCACCGGCTCCACATTCTCCTGGTCCTCAAAAATGTCCATCGCCACAGGAGATGTCTTCTCTTCGTATTCATATCCGCGTTCTGCCTCGGCTCTTTTCTCAGCGGCTAGCTCCAAGCCTTTCTTCCTGGTCTGTGAGGCTTGGATGAAAGCCTCTGCCATAGCACCGACTTCCTGGCTGGCGGACGCCGTTTGTTGAGAATCCGAGGGCAAGAGCCTCAGAGACTTCCGGCTTGGCTTCTTGCGTTTTGACATCGCCTCAAAGTGCTTGGCGAATTTCTGGTCGTGGTCGGGGAGTGTGCCAACTTCCACAGAGCTCATCTCCATAGGGGGCGGGGAAGCTGCTCTCATGGTTGGCTTAGGCATCCGCACTGTGCCAGTCTTCTGACCGGATAGATCGAAATAGGAAACATCTTCCTCATCGTAGATGGCGTCCTTTGCATCCGGGACAGGTTCATCGATGAACAGCTCTTGCTCGCCCGGAAGAGGCGCGAAGTGCACTTGACGATCTGGCTTTCGCTGCCCAGGTGTCTTGAAGAGAATACCGGACCTTCCGCTTGAGTCCCTGAGAATGCTTCCGTTCGATGACGCTCGCTTCTTCACTGGCGAGGGTGACATGAAATCCGAAAATGCTCTAATAGACATCTCAAAGTCCGCAGCTGGGAGTTTTGGGGCTGCCGGAGTCTGCGGCACCCAAGGCCTCTGGGGTGGTTGGGACATCGCCAGTGCTTTCCCGGCAAGGATGCTCAAATCGGGTGTGCTTCCAGTGGAGCTTGTGCAGGTCGTTGGCGGAATAAACAAATGCGAGGCAATGTCAGCCTTTTTAATCCACGGGCTTTGAACTTGCTCTGCTGCCTTATCCAGGCCATCAGAACCAGACTCTGGTCTTGTGTCATTACTTGGAGCCTGAGGTGGCATCTGCAAAGAGCAGGCTGCTTCCCTTGTCCATGGGCTTTGAAGCTGTGGTATTTCAGGACCGACCGTCGGCTCATCAAGGAAGCTAGAGCCACTACCACAGCCCGCAGTTTCCTCGGATGCTCTTGGAGTCTGTAGGGAAAGTCCTGATAAGTCCTCAATATTCCGTGTTTCCACATGGATCGTAATCTCATCAGGTTCGTCGAGATCGCGATTCGGGCCTGACTGGGGTTCTGTGGTAGCCGGTTTCTGTGCCGTTGTTTGAAGCTGTTGCAGCTTCCCACTAGAAAGGCTCTCATCATGCACACCAGACTCATCCATCGGGATAGTCTCAATTTGATCTGGCAAAGAGCAGGGTGACGTGAACAAATCTGCTTCTGTTCCCTCATGCTCGACTCCAGGCGGTTTCGTCGTACTCGTGTTGGAATTCGTTGACAAGACGCTGATCTCGGCATATGCGTCAATGATTGATCCCAGACTAGCTTGTGAAGGCTTTGCATCTTGGGAGCCTCCTGTTGGAGTGGACTCTTCAGAAGCATCGCTTGCCTGACCAGCAAGATCTGAGGAAGAAACGCTGACGGACGCAGCCCGATCAATTTGGTGAGCCATGTTAGCTTGCTCCGGAAAGACGGGTGGCAGAGCCTCCAAGTTGGTATGTGTTGTCTGGTCAGAGCCGACTCGGACATCTGGGCCCGGATAGGCAATATTTGTGACGATTTCTTCCGGGTCGACGGGTGCCTCTGGCCTAGGAATGACGGGCGTGATGTCTTGTGTGTTGATAAAAGTTGACCATTCCGGGTCGGACAAGCCATCGACGCCACACTCCACGACTGGTACGTCATCTGACTTCTTCGTGGTCTCTTTTTCCGAGGAAGAGGCAGGAGTCCGGTTCTGAGTGTCAATATAAGTCGACCATTCCGAGTCCGACTGGGAACAGCCGTCCACCTGCAAAACGCTCCGAGGTTCTTCGAGTGCCTTATACTTGTTCGTATGTTGAAGCTGCACCGCTTCTACCGAATCATTTGCAGCATCAGGCTCGACCTTAGCAGGGAATTCATTCGCCGTCTTTATCTCGCCATTCGTTTTGTTGCCGTTCGTACATTGCATCTGAAGATTTGTTGGGCTGTGACTGGATGGGACGCCTTCGTCCGCAGCGGGTGAGCATATTGTATCTCTGGACTCTTTTACGAGTTCGCTTGGGGAAAGCTTGTTCCATGTGGGAATTCTTCCTCTTCATACTTGTTGGACCGGGCACAAAGGGGTCAGCTGGGTCGTCACCAGGGACCGAATGGTCTCCTTGCTCCATTGTCTTAGTCACATGGAGCTGTAGCGAAGATGGGCTCAGCGCAGCCCCGTTTGTGAGAACGCCGGTTGATCGCCCGCGCTCTTTACCTGCAGGGCTTCTGACTTTCTTGTGGAAGAGAAAGCTGTTGTCTTGTTGAGTCGAAGGCAGAGCAGCCACGGCTTGGGACAGGACCATTGGTTCCGCTATAGCAGCGCTATCTGGAAGAAGCTGATCCTGGCATGGCTCGGATTGCTTGGTCAACAACTTTTGAGGGCTTTCATGCATGCGCTCAAGTGCTGCTCCCGCAATCTGTGCTACCGTTCGAGAACGTTCTCTAGCCCCATCTTGATCCGAACCTTGGCTCGCTGACGACTGAGAGAGCTGTGGCTTTTTGGCTTTTTCTCGGCCTATTAATGAATTCCCGCGGCCGCTAGGTGGTCGAGCCTTGCTCTTGATGATCTTTCTCCGTTGGCGGGCCGACCTGTCTTTTGTCGGAGACGTCGAGACCATGGTGAAACTGCGTGCAGCATCGGAAGTAGGCGTAGCGGCCGGCAAAGACAGCTCGTCTTCGGAAGTATCGGCGGCTTGACGGAGTCGTGTTCTCCGATGGGGCGTAGTCCGTCCTGAGCGCAGCTGGCTGGGCATCCCTATTCTCTTATTCGCCATGGGGGAGGTATTCGGGAATGATGACCTGATACGCCCATTTGTTGCAAGCTCATCTTCCGGCGGAGAGGAGTCTCGCAGGAATTGAGCGACCATCTGAGAGGCATGTAGCTGACGGGTCTGACTGCCTCTGGTTCGAGCTGCTACAAGACTCGGGGAGTCACCGGGAGTGGAATCCTTGGGGTTGACAGACCTTCGCTTCTTCCGGTCACGTTTGTGCAGCCACGTTGGATCTGCAGATCTCTTCCTCGCGGGAGGTTCATCATCCCTGTCGGCCTGCTGTGATTGCCAGAATGGGTCTTTGGAGACAGATGTGCTCTTAACTGCTGCTCTCCAATTTTTGATGCGACTGTAGTCTTGTTCGTCCATATACGGATTTTTCCTTGCCGATGGTGGGTTCGTGATCTCAGGACTGGGCAGGGGATTTAGACTTGTGCCTTGGGTATCAGGGAGGTCCTCTTCGGGGGCAGCCGTCTGTCTCGATCGGGTAGGCTGGGCCTTGGACGGCTCAGCATGTGATTCGGCTCGCGTTGACCGCCATGGGTTGTTCCATTGCTTCCTGTCGAAAGGCCCGCGGAGAGCTGCGGATAGTAAGATGGGCACGTTGCCGGACAAGAAGTCAATAGCCTTCTTCTCGATATGCAGGCGTCGGTGCAGAGGGCCTTCGTAGTGATCGTCCTCCGAGCCCGAGTAAAATTCGTCGTCGTCCTTGTCCTGCACCGCCTCACAGTAAAGGGGCTCATCGCTGAGCTGATGGAAGGGTATTGGTGGCATGGCGGCGACGGCACACCCCAATTGTCCGGCTGCAGTGGGGTCGAATCCACGATAGCATTTGTGCGGCACCGTTTGTGAGTGGCAGAGAGCGAAGAGTTAGAACTTCTGTGGTGGTGAGCAGGACGGACAACAAGGGGGCCGGGCTACCTTCTGTTGAGGGCACAGAGCAGGCAGAGGCGGAAAGCTTTGGCCCGCCGGAGGTCGAATGGAGACAGGCGCGGTTGCAAAGAGCAACACGCGCTTTCTCTAGTCCACTTTACGCGAAAAGCACACGCTTCTGGCGCACTGACCACAAATGGTCATGCAAGTGCTCTAGACCCCTGCCATCCGCACGAGGTACCTAGGTACCCGGGGAAAGTCCTTTGTCCAACTTGCAAGGAGGAGACACAACACCAGATTTATTTTGGGTCTCTTGAGCACAACAGCCGAATCAAGTTGAGCCTGGCCGGTCTGTAGGACTTTTGAAGACTGGAAGCACGACTGGCGATGGCAGAGCCCGTTTTCAGGCCGAGCTCTCATGAGGGAGATGCCGGAGGGCGGGTTGCCGTGACAACAGCCGTCCAGCAGCCCAATCACGTCCCCAACGAGGTTTGTGTTTTGCACAAGTGCAGGTTGCAACCCAAAATGCTTTGCATAGGGAAAGAGAGACAAACCTGGGCAGTCAGAGCTCCGCCCTCTTGGCCCACAACGCGTTTTCTCTCTGACAGAACAGGAGGACCATCCTTCCAACATTGAGAACGGCACCGCAGAATCTGTGACTATTTGACGGATCAATTTCCATTACAGTATCAATTGCCAGGGCCGCATCACCATCTTGCTGTCTGCTGTCTGTGTGGTAGTCTGTCGACCGCTGGCGACTCCACCGGTACTGTGCTGCATACCGTGCCAATCCACCCTGCAGGCGATTGCATGACCCGCCCGATCGCAGACTGGACACCCAGCAAGGTATCCGCAGCCCGAGGCTGGCCTGTCTCCATCGCGTCACTACCCTGTGCTCGTCTTCAATTGCGCGCATCGCGAGACAGCCACCAACATTGCCTGCATCTCTCCGCCACCAGCTGGCCCTGCCTCTGATCGCGACCGCCGTACGGACTTCATGGATGCGAGCTGATCCCGACGCGACAACCAGTCCAGCTGCGGCAGCCAGCCGAAACCATGTCGTCGCACGCCTGGCTTGACTCTCTGTCGGAGGACTGGCCCTCAGAGCCAAACTCTCCAACCAACTCCAAGCCTCCAACCAGGAACGGCACAACACGATCCAGTGTCAGAGCCAGCGGGACTAAGATCCCGCGGCCATCCAGTGGCCACAGCGTTAGTAGAAGATTGTCGGCCACGCCCAACCGGAACAATAGCGCCGCTCTGAGCGAGCGAAGCCCCAGCGACATTAACATCCCCGCACAGCTGTCCAAGAGAACTCCATCGAAGCTCTCTCATGAGGTCAGGTCTCATCTCCCTCGAGGCCGCACAGCGAGCAGGTCCATTTCTGGCTCTCCTGCAGGATCTGTTGTTCACAATACCGTCCAGCGCCAGTCGCTCAGCTCATCGCCCGACAAGAGAAAATTCGACACCCCAGAATGGAAACGAAGGCTAATTTACGGCGAACTGGCCTATGGGGAGCAGCGTGACCTCTTCACTTCCGCTGGTACCGGTCTTGAGGGCATGTTCAAGCCACCGGTTCCGGCAAAGGCCCCTCCCGGACATCCAGACGAGGACCGCAGCGATTTACAGAGGAACAACACGACATTTCCTTCCAGTCCACCGGAAATCGCAGGGAACTATTCCAACTACGAGGTCTACTCTGATCGATACACGGAACAGGAACTGCCCGAGCACATTGGGGCAAACCAGTCCAAGGGTCGCTCGGTCAGGTACAAACTAGCCGACGAGGGAGGATCTGACACGAGCGAGTTGAGCGACATGTCCGTTCGACGAAACGTGCCACGAGAGGGAGCGCAAGCAGACAGTAGCCGGTCTGCAGCACAATTTCTAGCTCCAGCCACTGCCGGTGACGAGTCGCGAAAGACAAGCAGTCAAAGTGCGGCTCGCCACGAAGACTTCAGCCCCATCTTCATCGGTAGGCGTGGTGGCGAAGATGGCAAGAATGATTTCTCTGCGCTGGACCTGTCGCCGTCAGTCCTGTATGAGCGTCTTGAGAAGCTCCAGAAGGACCGCTCGCGCGCAAGCGGCTCCGAGCATGGTCACTCGTCTGCGGGAGGAGGCAGGCCCCAAGGAACAGCAGCCACGGAGGGCTTGCAACGGCTCGGCAGCTTTGTCAACCTCCGTAGGGGAGGTCAGTCGGTTGACGGCTCCTTTCAGCATCCCGTGTTGACACCAGCACTGGGAAACACATCAGACATGCTTCCGGAAGAATCTCTCCAAGCAAGCACTCCGAAGCAGTTCCCGAGCCTACGTGGTCACAAGCCAGACTCTCAGGACATGTCATCTGAGACGCCACCCGTGCCTGCTGCGCCGTTCCCAAGCCCGGAGAAGAAGCATCTTCGTGCCCAGGGCAGTGGCGGCAGCCCACTGAAGCTTTTTGGGCCGTATGATACATTCACAAACCAAACACTGTTGAGACGAATCAGCCAATTCGAGGACCCAAATACATCGCCCACGTCAGAAAGACCTCCAATACTCGGCAAGCGGACTTCGCTGGGAAGTGCGTCAAAAAACACTACCGATGCGGACCTCAAACCGCAATCAGATGAGGAAGATCCAGGGCAGAATTCTGATTCCCGTAAAAGGCAGACTAGGTCGGTCAGTCAGTTCGGGGCAGGAGAGCTTGATGGATTTGAGTTTGATGAGGACTTCTCCCGTCTTTCCAACGAGTCTGACGACGACGAGGTCTCTTTCCATCGGTCGGTCGCATTCAATGCCACGGCGGACTCTTCGCCTTCGGGAGGCGCTAATATCTCCATTGCAAAACGACGTCAGAAACCGGACAACATCTCGGCACTGCACTTCAGGACTTTCTCGGGGGCCGCCTCACGAGCTGCGTCTGCGGCCGTGCTAGCAGCCACTCCGAAACACCAGATCCAAGACCATGAGTACAAGAGACCGCGGACATCACCCACGAAAGACCCGACGCCGAAGCGCAGGAGAACTCTACATGAGTCCGATATCTCATTCGGTGCTGGAGACGAGCATATGCTGGAGCCAACACAGACTTCCCATCAGCATATGCAGGTTATCATCGGAAGGAAGCGTAAGGACGCTCGCGCTGGCGAAATGCAACAAAAAGCTAATGCCGAAGTTCTAGCTTCTCGCAAGGTCCTCCGCGTTCGAACTCCAACCCCGAGTCCCAGTCAGAGGTCGTCAGTTCAAAGGGAAGAACATCCTTACGATCAGTTAAAAGTCCCTGCGAATGAAGGAGCGAGACGTGCGCGGAAGGGCGTTCAGAAAGCTCAGCATCAACCTAATTTTCCGGTGGGCGGAGGGAGGAAGCCTTCCATCAGAACAGAAGACTTCATAAACGAAGCACACCGCATCATGGCGGCTATCAGAGGCAAGAACGGTACGCGGAGTGGCCTTACGAGCGTGGAAGAGTCCGAATCGGAAAACATCAAGCAGGCCACCCGGGAGCCAGCCTTGCCAGATTCTTCATTTCAGGAGTCGACTCGAGAACCATTTTCACGACCGCCCAGCCGTGATGGGAAGCCTATCCCAAGGGCCGTCAACCGGCAACAAAATCCCGAGCTAGTGAACCATTTGAAGAAATACGAGGAGCATAGCGACATGGGTGATATCATCGCCTCCTCTCTCCGGTCACTCGGTGTCTCTAAAGAAGATATTCAGGCGGTGCAAGCACTGGAGTATCGGTCGCATAGCTCTATGTCGGAGGCGTCTGAGCATAGCGTCTTGCGGCATGATGAAATCGTCAGCGACCCACCCAACATTCGGATTTCTGAGAACCCTCATCGCTATGAAAACACCACTTCAGCTGAACAGGCCCAGCAATTCCGAGACCGACTTCCCTCTCACAGTTCAGGCTCCGAATCTGGCATTTCCACTGGACAATCGGTACGAACAGGATCCTCCCGGGGGTCAGATACCAGGAGGACCATCGCACCACAGAGTGTGTCCCATCTCATCCCCGACCAGGTCGGCAACATGGTTTTAGATAGACAACGCAACATTTGGGTCAAGAGCAACAAGGTGCACGCGACACGCCCGAAGAGAAGCAGCACCCTCGTCTCTGAGAATAGCGAGGACGACCCGTTTGCTGACATTCCCGACTTGACTGTGGATGCGACGAGGGAGCTGCAGAACCTGAGAGATAAGCAGAGTCGGCAGGGTGAGTCAGGCAAGCAGTTCTTTGGACCAGAGAAGTTCGTGGGAAGTCCGGAGCAGTCGGTTCGAGGCCAGTCTCTCAAATCCATTCTCGTCAGGGATTTTGCGGAGAAACCAGGCAAGAATGGCTCGATGAGGTCTACCAGTAGACTCATGAAGAAGTTTGCCGAGGCCGACAACGAGGACGTTGAGCACGAGATCACAATACATGAAGATCGCCTGGAAGACTCGTCACCTCGTCGACGAATGACGATCAGTTTTTCGTCTCCAATCGCTTCAATCATACAAGATGTGGTATCCGGAAGCGGCCCCGAAGAAAACAACACAAGCATGTTCGAGCAATCTGTCGCAGATATCCTCCAGTCAACAGGAAGGCATAGTCGCCGTGCAACACCCGTTCATTCTCTGAACGGCCACGGCGGGCCACGCCCACGAAGCTCGTCTAGCGCACCATCACGCCATATGTCGGTCAAGGGCGCATCATTCGTACCTCGACCAGTCTCGGTCATTGAGGAGGAGAGTGACGAGAAGAGCTTTGCGGATAGGACAGAAGTCAGCAAGGCCGGGGACCAGAGTCTTACGGAAGAGAAGCCAAGTCAACGTCGCCAAGCAAGTGTGAGCATCATGTTCAAAACTCCTGGTCGGCCCAAATCAAGCCTTCGACCAGACAATGCGGAAACGCTGAGCCACCAAATCGGCAATTTATCACTGAGTCCGATATCCGACTTCACTGCACACCAGGATCGCTCATACGCGTTTGAAGTGAGCTACCTCGTCGGTGACCAGAACCTTGTCACGGGCGACACCTCACGGAAGCGCATGTCGCAGACGGTTCGTCACCTTGTCAGCAAAATTGCGGAAGTGGAGCCATTTGAGCCGTATTGGGAGGACTTGAAGGAGATCGCACTCCGTGAGAAAGATTTGGGCAGTCTGCACATGCTAGAACGGTTTTGTGGGAGCCTTGTGAAAGTCGATGTCTCTCACAATACGATCAGAGCTCTAGACGGTATCCCGTCATCTACTCGCGAGTTGACCATCACCCACAACATGCTTAGCGAGCTGACTGCTTGGGATCGACTGGCAAACTTGCAGTATGTGAACGTTTCGAACAACGACATCAAGAGTCTCTCAGCTTTCAACGGTCTGGTTCATCTGCGCGGCTTGGATGCCGACAATTGCGGGTTGGCGAACCTGGATGGCCTCAGATTTCACGACTCCCTGTTGACCTTGCGGGCCAGGGGGAATTCCGTTGAGAAGCTCAGCTTTGACGGCACAAACCTGCAAAGGCTGACCAGCCTTGATCTGGAGGGCAACAAGATACGGGAAATTGAGAGTCTGCACGAGCTTTCTTCCTTGACCTATCTCAATCTGAAAGGAAACCAGTTGGTTAAATTCAGTTCTGCTGAGCCACTCGCACTGAACCACCTAATCATCAGCGACAACAAGCTGAGAAAAATCGATGTCGCCTCGATGCCTCGACTTCACCTCCTCTACGCTGATCGCAACAAGCTCACGACAGTCGACGGCCTGTCTCGAGCTCCTCATCTGGACAGTCTATCGCTTAGGGAGCAGGGCGGATCAAGGCCTTTCGACATGTCCTTCTTGGAGACCGCATACGAGGTTCGAAAGTTATTCCTTTCAGGGAATCATCTCGGATTCTTTGATCCGCCACGCGACTTCCTCAACCTGCAGCTCTTGGACCTGGCGAACTGCGGCCTGCAGCGGCTGCCCGATAACCTCGGACAACTGATGCCCAACTTGCGTGTGGCCAACCTCAGCTTCAACGGTCTGTCCGACGTCAGTGGTCTCACGAGTATCCCAAGACTCAAACGCCTGCTACTTGCAGGCAACCGGCTGGCCGACCTAAAACCCCTGCTCGGTGTTTTGAGCCAGTTCCCATGGCTGACCGAGGTTGACGTGCGTGACAATTCGGTCACGCAAGGCTTTTACCCTCCTGTACGCGTGATCCTCCGAGATGGAGAAGCGCAAAACACCGACGTTTTCAAGCTCCCTGACGCGGACCCCGAACGTGATGCAAGGTACTGTGGGCGCCTGGATATGGAGACTCGAATCCAGCGGCGGGTATACGAACGCAGATGTGTGCGCTCGTGTAAGCATTTGCAGAAATTGGACGGCCTGCAAGCGAACAGAAAGATACGACATATAAGAGATGTGGTATGGAAGAACATGGTGCTGAGGGGGATGCTGCTTCAGCCTGACGGGATGCCATTCGACCTGTCTCAGTACGAACTCGAGAAGGAAGAGGACCCTACCTCGTATGTCAGTGAAGGGGAGAGCGATGGCGAGAAGGGCAAGACGAAGTGTGCCGCCGACGAGAGCGAGCGTTGGGGCATCGAGGACAGCTTCGCGGGCTGATGCGTGTGGCATGTGTGCTACTCGTTATCACCGGAAGCGGTGGTCATCAGCTTCACTATCATACGGAATGGGCGTTTGGTGTTGGAAAAGAGCATGCCGTTTTGATTTATCGGTCAAGGCCAGGGGCTATCCTGTGTGTTTTCGGGCGATAGCACGCTGTACTGGTTACGAGCATACAGATATGTACATCTACTGGGATTCCAGGCGCGTGGGGTGCTTGGGTATCCGCGACGGGAGGTCATCATGAAGATAATGAGTATAATGGGCGCCCAAGCCTGATTTTTCTGTCCACGCTTGCTTGAAAACGTCCATCATCTCTGTTATACTGGGCTGAAATATGGATGCCACCGTTGTCCTACTATCACAGCCATCCCGATCTCAGCGTCCCGCTGATACTCTGGACTGTGAATGGTTTATACGCTATCCGGAGACGTTCACCTCTCTGTAAGAGCTGGACAAGCAACACAATGAAAATCCCCAAGCTTCACTCTGGGGGTTCGGGCACTGGTGAGAGAGCATAGAGCCAGTCGATCTGTGTACCTGGGTGCCGCGACACGGCCATGCCTGCTACTCTCACAGTGTCCCACAAACAACCATGCCCTCCCCCCTTCGGCCCCCTCGGGAGTCTTTGGATCTCGAGACCCAGTAACGTCGCGGCGTGGGAGGCACCAGAACAAAGACCCGCACGCCTTTCCCCTTCCTGTTACACAGCCGCGAGAAAACATGTGGGAGGCACCCTGTCGTCATCAGAAGTCGCCCCCGAGAAGGGTCGAACGAACTGCAGCACACACGACAGGACCAGCCCCGTGGACTACACTCGGCCGATTGCTAGACCCCGGGAGGCGATATCTTGGGGAACGGGGAGGGGGAGGGGGCAGGAGGCAGTGTGTCTTGGGAAGTTGGCCAGGGAACTTCAAAGGAGGGGGGTTTGGGCCAAGCAAGATCTTGGAGCTTGACGCACCATTACGACGGCGGCTGGGGAATTATGGGGTATGAGAGATGGGGAGGAGGCAAGTCACGATGGCGGCCATGTGGGATGGAGGCTTGAGTTCTGCTCGCCGGCCCAGCCACACTATACAGCTGCTGCTGCTACTACTCGCGCCTGCTTGAACTTCAGGGTTCGAAGGGGCGAATTAGTGGTGGTGTAGGGACGCGACGAGCCGCCGAGCACATTTGCGGGAGGGTAGGGAGGCAGGGCCCAGCGGGCGATGGTCCCAAGCCCCGCGTCCCGGGAGGCGTGTTAGCCGGGGGAGCCTTCGGGGGGAGGGGGACAGGGGACAATCACGAGCTGGCCGCGTCAGGCGCAGCTTTTCCCTGCTGGGAGTGTGAGTAGTGATGGTGGGCCGGATGTCTTGATTTGCCCCGGTCGAGACGACAAGGCAGATGAGACAGAAGAGACATAGATAGATGGAGGCCGGCAGGTAGGCATAGACTTGGCCCATCTACTGTGTGGGAAGGCTGGCTCCTCGGAGTCGCGACAGGGTGGCCGGCTCTGCGAACACCTTTCTTGCATATATGCACGTCGGGACCTTCTCGTTGATCTCGGGGTCCTGCATGACCATAGATCAGGGAGGCGTGGCCGCTGGTCCAGGGAGAGGCCAGGAAACTGAGATCCAGAGGGATGGTGTGTGTGGCTGGGTTCGTTGCCCTCCTCCCCCGGCTGGCCTGGCTGGCCCATTGCCTATTGCGCAGGTCGATGGGTCGTAAAAGTGCTCAGGTGTGTTGAGGAGATGTGTGTGGAGCAACAGGCAGTGCGAGGGCACATGTGCATCTCATGAAGCATCGCTTTCGTAAAATTTACGACACCCGGTCTGATACTCAGCACGAGTGGTGGCATGTGGTCGGACCGAAGGAGGGAGTTTGTTAGTCTCCTCGCTGGTTGCCACCGTGTGCTTCGTGCTGCTGTAAGCCCTTGGGAGGCTCGATGATAAAATAAGCCCCATCGCGGAGCGAACCAAACTCTAATCACATACCAGGTAAAGTGCGATCAGCAGTGTCTCCCGATATGGTGTGCAAGGGACGGTCTGGCCCTTGGCTTGTCGTCAACATGCAAGCAAGAGCTGCGAGGGGGATCCTAGTGAGACGGACTGATTAACTCTGGTCGGTCTCATCCAGATTCCCGGCGTTATTTCGCATGTTGGTTGCATTTCTTTCCAACAAGTGAGATGCCACATCTACCTACCTCGCAAGAAGTTACGCAGAACTGTACCCAGGTCTGGCGGCTGGCGCGGCCTGCAGCCGACGAGGACTCCGAGATCGTGAAGGAAGACACTAGATATGAACCGTCTGTTATGGCGCTGTAGCCATCCCCAGGATCGGAGACGCGGACGTATGTGGACGTATGTGGACGTATGTGGGCATCCGCGGACAGAACGCTCCTGTTTGCCCCGGCATGACCATGCAATGCGGAGGAATATCCACGGCGGTTATTACCTCTGAAGGTGCTGGTGACACACGGGCAGATGTTGAAGGGCTCGCATACGTTTCAGAAAACAAGAGTCAAGCGGATCGGCGTCGTGTATCGCCGCCGAGAGCATGACGCGCATCGACGACCACCTTCGACTCCTCACGGTCATCAGGCGGCGATGAGGGGCCCCAACTCACGTGTCCGTGTGTGTGTGTGTGTGTGTATCCAGCGTCTCAACAACGCCGTGTATCACTTTTAAAAAATGACAATCCTTAAACATCACCATGACGATTGGCCCACCACGGAGGCCGCTAGACCTCCACGGCTGCACAGCCAATCTCGATTTGTCGCCTTGACGAAAAACATGCGAGCCCTTGAGGCCCGCCGGCCACCTTGTTCATCTCATCGTGGCCGCCCTCCCGTCACAGTCGTGCATGCATGTGCATATGGGTCCAGGTCCTGAGAGGGAGGGAGGGCGGAGGGGCTGATTTGACGGCCGTATCGGACCCCCTAGTGGGTCGTATGCAGGTCGTTCTGCTTCGGGAATGGGCCGGTTGGCCTTTTCTTGACGAGAGTTGGGGATCGGTAAACTTGCCCCCAGGTGGGAGTTGGAGGGTGGATGTGGTTGCAGTCGTAGTCATCATGCCCAGGTGCCTGGGCCCTGGGGAGAAGAAGCAACATGCGAGCGTCAAATCGGTGGGATTCCCTGCGCAGCTTGTGGCAGTCTGGTCTGGTCTGGTCCTTAGCCATGATAATGTGGGTTCGACAGAATCCTGGGGCCCCGGATTCTACGTAAGCTAAACATGTACATCGGTCAGCGAGTGAGCTGGGTGCCGAGGTACTAACACCTAGGTACCTTTCATTCCAAACCGTCTGGGTAGAGCAGAGACAGAGTGCCCGCAGATCTCATCTTGATCTCCGCCATGCCTTCGTGATATGCCATGGGCCGGCCTGGCTCCATACAGCAGGTATCGAGACCAGAACTCAGCCATGTCTCGACGGCTTGTGGCGGCCCAAGGGAATATGGAGAGTTGAGATGGTGGTGACACAAGGACCACAGGAACTCAGCTTCGCCATACTGGAAGGGGGACCAGGCAGGACCAACAAGCAATAGGCGGCTACTCAACACACCCAGACACAAGCTCCCAGCTGGGACATGCCGGAGCCATTACGGAGAGCATTTGCAACTCCGTGTGATATGTGAGCTGTCAGATCCGCCCCAGGCCACCGAGGCCCCTCTCTGTGGCCATTGGCAGAGCCAGTACTACATAGCAGCACATGCCAGGCTGAGGCACGGATCCAGGATGGCTAGGATAGGGTGGGTGGGTGGCTGCATTATCTCGGCGTATCTCACTTTGTGACGAGGAGCGAGAGACACGGGTGCGTGCTCAAGCGTGCCAAATGCCTGTCATCAAACCCAGGACACTATGTAGGACATGCTATGTCAACAGCCGCTGGTCAACCCGCGGCAGCGCCAGCGGAGCGGAGGACCTGAGGAAAAAGTGAGCTGTCGCCTTGCTAACCACCCAGCCCAACAGTAGAGTCTGACCACTCGATATCAAGGGCTGACACGCGAATCAAGTCGACTTGACCTTGTCCGGGAAGGCAAGTCAACGCGAGGCGGGCGTACACAGTCGGTTACGCTGAGGGTGGCAAGCCCCTAGAGCTACCAACTGCGCTCATTTTGAGCAGTCTGTATTACAGTAGAAGCAGCAATGTGAGATGATCCATGGGTGCTGCAAAAGAAAAGGGGTCTTTCTATAGCAAATACGACTACAAGCAACACGAGTCGGAACGGCATGCAAGTGATAGGTCAACATAGTTGGTTGAGACCATGATCGGTGGTGGAACTTGGACTGGACGAGAGGTCTGCCCGCACATGTACTTTGAGTATCAAAGAACTCGGCCCGGCCTGTCTGGGTGGACCTGCTTGTTTAGTAAGGGAGGGTCGCACGGGGAATGTCACGATAGCTTCATCCACAGGCAAACATAAGGTAGCAAGCGTGAAGGCTTTTCGGTGACGGGAAAGGACAGCGTCTCCTCGGGTAGGACCATTTCTGCGCTGGACCGCTGTGACCCATGACCGCGTTATTCTTTGCCCGCGTGCCCGTCGATTGGCTATAAAGGCATGCCCGTTTCATGTCGACGACAAGAGGGACCTCGAAAGCACGTCCAGAGTCAGGGGGTCGAGGAGCGTGGCAAGGCGAGGCGGCACGTTGGAGCGGTGCAAGCCGAGTAACAATGAACTCCACGGCGCGGCCCAACCGGTTGGGCTGGTCAGGGTATGATGCAAGTGAGGCCAGAAGTGTGCATCGTGAGTCTTTGTGGAACCCGAAAAGAGAAAGGGCCGGCCTGGCCATCTCGCCAAGATGTCAGTCACCGCTCGCCCCCTCCCTTCCAGCCAGTTGCCGCAGGCCCATGCAATCCCAGGCCAAGGCCCCAGGGGCGGGGCGAATCTCACGATGCCCTCTTGACATGCCACGATGCACCAACGTCTGGCAATCCGCTAGCTCGTCGCGCCAGCCTCAATGGCGGCCTGAGGTCTGCACGGACGACTGGTCCCATGTCAAGCAAGGCACCCAGGCGCTGGCCAGGACGGCCAGGACAGCCAGGCCGAACCCCAATGTCTGTACGCCATGTGTTGGACCGCTTGGGTCCGGGACGGGTTCCCGAACGATGCAGACGAAGACTGGGCCACGGTGCCAAAGCTCATGGCGCTTTGGCGTCGTTGACATGAGGCTGGGTGGGATTCGGGATGGCAGACCCACGGTTGCTCGTCGATAGTCACGGAGAAACAGAGTTAGTACAAGCCAAGCGATGTCTGCACAGCGCGTTAGGCATTTGCAGCGTTGTGTTATTCAGCGCTAGGTACCGGAGCATCTCGTCCTCAGCTTGAGTATTTCAGCAGGGCCAAGCACGGCTAGCCTGCTGCCGATGGATATCACCTCTGCTAAGGCTCAGGCATTGTCGAGGTGGGCTGCGCAGCCCCCGAACGGGACCAGGAGACGGTAACGTCACTAGCGTCCGCCCATAATAACGCACACTCCCAGTCCATGTGGGATTCTGAAGTCGGTGTCTCCTTTGTCTCCAAAGTCAATTGGGTTGCCGACAAGGCTTTCTGGTTTTCTTGGGACGACAACGGATGCCAACGTGCCTGTCGTTTTAGTGTTGGGCCTGCTTGCACCGAGAAACGGCAGATCCATTGGCGTGACGAGCCCCAACCTGCTGCAGTAATTGGAAACGAATAGACTTGGGCTTGTGAATCGTGGACGTCAACAAAGACAAGGCAAGACAAGGAGGTATCGACTGTAAGACCAGACAGGACTAGTCCAGTAGAAGTTCAGGGAACAATTCGCCCCACCTTCACAAGCGTCTCATGCCCATTCTGGTCAGCGTTGGACGTTCCCACCGAGCTCCACACCCGATGGACACCTGAGAGCGGCTCCATCCTGTTCCATCCAGAACGAAGTCGCTGAAATGAAGGGCACAAGGGCCACTGGGTGGTCTCACGGCGTCCGTCATCATGTAACGACTTCTGGGTGCAACATGTCAATCTCGAGTGTGTTCGGGCAAATATGGGGCGCCGACATACGCGGTACCGCACGCGGGCAATACCAGGTACTAACCGCAGTTGGTCAACGGGGGTAACAAAGATTAGATCGTGTTTTGACCGTGGTGATCGCTGCTAGATCATCCCGTCTCCCGTTGTCGTCTTGAAACCCCAAAACAGGCGCTTGGACAAATCGCCCAGCTTCCGGCTGATGACTCTGCCATTGATTAGATCTTGCTCAGCGACAGCACACACGGCAAGGATCGTTGACTTCTGGCCTGACGGGCATGCACAGCGAACCCAAGATATCCACCACCACCGCCTCCACCAGTCGGGCACTTCCCCAGATGCTCATCCGCAGGGACGATGCTGTTGCCACTGGATACTGAGGCAAAAGGGGCCTTCGGAGGGAGACGTCCCAGTCGACACACGGCTATGAAGATCGGAGCGGGATCGCGGCCTCACCACCGACGTGGAGACGAGCCTGACTCGCCGTCACATTCATAGCCTGCATGTGCAGTGCACGACGTAGTACGGCTGGGTAGAAACCCGTCGACAGGCCGTCAGGTCTTCTGAAGCACCCGGCCCTGCACTATGCGAGCTGACGGTGCCATCGCCGCGTGGGCAGCTTCAATTGATCCGTTTGGAATCAGCCAGCGGCATCGTCTCGAGTGCGTGGGGAGGCATGAGCGCGGCCATCTGGTCTCGCAGGCTTAATTTTTTTTCCTCGCGTGTGTTGGCGAGCAAACAGTCGAAGATGTCTGCTTCTGTGCACCTGCATCTGGCCAAAACGTGGCGGAAACTTAGTGTGGTGAGAATGGCAATCAGGCAGTGATGAGCGTCCCCAGGTACCACAATACGTAGCTGCTTTGGACATACACGCAGTTATCCACATGTGGACTGGTACCGAGTACGTAGCGCCTGGAGTGATCGTGCAGCAGAAGCCCACTTCACATGCGTCGACAAAGAGTTACGGTCAACCCATGTTCGTGCGGCCGGCCAATCAGGGCGGCCAGGATGGGACCACCCTTATCGCACGCCAAGGCCGACTGGGCCCTGGATCCTGGACCCTGCTTCGTCTGGGAGGGCAATTTAACTCCCGTCGTCCTTACCCTTTGGGAAGCCTGTGGGAGCAGCGAGAGCAAGGAGCAGGGAGCAGGGAAGGCTCGACCTCAATTGTTGGGCAACTCTATCACTATCTGATGAGGCTTCCGTCCTATCAGCCTTTTTCCCCCGGCGCGGCTTTGGGTTTGGATTCATCTTGAAGCAGGCTTTCTCCTGCTGCGAGCCCAGTCCGTATGCAGAGCGAACCCGGCCCAGCTCCTGCGATTGTGTGAGGGCGGAAGGCGAACAGACATCTGTCTGCCACCACATTTACCTGGCTTGTTGTAAATGGCTCGCCGGGCCGACGAGGTGCGGTTGAGGAATTGGCCACTGGCGCTGGTGAGCCTGGGGCATCTAACAAGCTGAATGGAAACTGATGGGGACTTTCTGCAACAAGCCTGAAGGGCAGGTAACTGCTCTGATGAATGCTAGCCCGAGGACTGACCATCTCATTGTTCACTCAGCATGGCGCCCGGGCGATTCTCTGCCTAGCGTGTCGTGCACCGGCTGCGGCAGCGCAGTAACTCGAGCCCACATTGTAGAACAGGGTGGACTGTTAGGCGATGGAGAAACGGGACTCGGGGCTGGAGCTAATACAGTCTTTTGCATCGTAATTGTGCCTACTGTGTGAGTCGTCCTCAACGGGCGTGGTCGAGGCTCACTCTCGTCCGCTGGTCCGCTGCGGGCACCGCATCGTTCCGCCCGGCTCAGCTCGCCAGCCTTCAATCCAGCGAAGGGCAGGGTGGAGAGAAGCCCGGCTGAGGAAAAACAATGTGGTGGTGAAAGACGGATTCCAGAGTGCTGTTCCCAGGGCTGGGTGGCTTTCGGGCGGGTTGGTGCACACATCAACAAACCGCGCCCCCCCCCCCCCGCCAATCCACCCACCTGCAGATGGTGATGGCATGGGCAGCTTGGAGCATGGAGACCTTGATGCGAGGGTGAGGTCCTTCTCGCTCGCGCTCTCTCTCCCCCCCCCCTTCTCCTTCTCTTGCCTCGCCAACAGCATTACTGTACGTACTGTGAGGAAGGATCTGGAATATACATGCCTTATTAGCCTGGGTCCGCGCATATGCATCGCAGCTGCGGCCATTATTATTAGCTCTGCACCTTGATTTTTTTTTTTTTTTTTTTTTTTTTTCCTTTCTGCTCACTTCGTCAATGGATGCCCGGCTTGGCCCCTCCTTGTACCTCCGTATCCCCCCCTTGCAGCCCACCCGGTCCGCAGCCCAGCGTCCCAAAAACTGACGACCTCCCCACCCTCCCATCCACACACCCATCCACCCACCCTGTCCTGTCCTGTCTAGCCCCAGCCCAGTCCAGTCCTGCCCTGCTCTGCAGCCCCCCTCTTCCCCCAAAAGCCCAAAGCCAGCCAGCAACCAGCATACACTCGCGCTCACACTTACCTTCACTCGAAACTGGCCGGCCTTTTCCTCCTTAGGACCGAGACTGCCACCACCGACCATCGACCACGATCCTCTCCTTTTCTTACCCACTCCCCGCATTGCACCCTTTCGAGCTGCTCGGTCGCCATGGCGGCTTAGAGACGACAATCTCTCTCTTCAACGACTGTTTCGCTCCGACTGAGGCTTGATCGGCTCCGGAGCCAACCTCGACAGCTCATTATGTCGAGTTGCCGTGCCCTCACTCCTCACCAGCATTCGAGCCCACAACGACTTCGACTCCGATCCCGTCTCCGTCTTCGACCACGCCCGCAAAATGGAGCACCAGGCGCCTAATCCGCCTGCTCAACCTCAACCTCAACCTCAAACACAACCTCACAACACGCTTCCGCCCGCACACCCGCAAAACCCCTCGCTCACTGCCAGCAGCACTCCCGTCTCGTCCCCGGGGCTCTTCAGTCCGTCGAACCCCCGCACCACCATGTCTCTGCCACCCTCACAGTCCGTGTCCGAGGGTACAACGCCTGCTGCACTCAACAGTCCCTTTCTTCATCCCCTACAGAACCACAGAGTTAGAGAGTATGTGTCCACCTAGCAAGCCAGACAATCCTGCAGCCTTTCCCTTTCCTTGTCACACACCGCGGTCAACGTCAAGAGACCTGAAACCACCCTGGCCGCCGGCGCCTGGGTGACCGCGCTAACGGCTTCTTGGGCGGTGGCGTTGACCAGGCCAGCGTTGCAAGTGCTGGTGTAGGTGGTCGAATGAGAATAAAGTCACTGACAAGAATGGCTCCAGGACACATGTCGCCAATATCGATAGAGACTTCACCACCGGGCGCAAGATCATCAACCATTACGAGGTCATCGAGGAGATCGGCCGCGGTGTACATGGCAAGGTGAAATTGGCCCGCGACCTCGATATCGGCCAGAATGTCGCCATCAAAATTGTCCCCCGCTTCTCCAGAAAACGCCGGCTCGGCAGGATTACCCAGAACGTGTCTCCCTTCGAGAAGTCCAAGAGGGAAATCGCCATTCTCAAGAAAATCAGACATCCGAATGTGGTGGCCTTGCTGGAAGTCATCGACGACCCTGACTACAGGAAAATTTACCTCTGTCTCGAGCATGTTGAATGTGGGGAGGTCATCTGGAGGAAGAAGGGCCTTCCGAACATATGTGCTTTCGAGCGCCGGCGTATCGAAAGGGAGATGAGGGGCGAGGCTCTGACAGAAGAGGAAGAGCAGCATCTTCTCGATTTGGAACGGAGATTCAATGTCAAGGAGATGAAACGCGCCCATCTTGCAGAGAAGACCGGTACACACGGCGACCCCTGGAGCTTGGAATTAGGTCAAGATGAGTCCGACCTCAGATCTGGGCCCTCCGAGGCGGATCTCACGCAGCACGCATCTGCTTCCCCCAGAGGTCGCACTCACCAGCTTCACGAAGGTCTGCACCTTCCTCACAGGCCCCGTCAAGAACGCAGTCAGTACAGTCAATGTCTGCTGTCGCATCCGAAGGGCCACCGACCTCGAACGAAGATGACATGGAGACGCCAGGACCCCTTCACTCGAACCCTGGCTCGTCTAGCGCGCTTGCCGGGACCATGTACGGGGCTTATGACGATTTAGGATTCAGAGAGCGATCTCCCAGCATGGCTGATTCCATCATATCACACATGTCTTCGATCGACTTCAACCCGCAGCCTCATGATCCCTTCGCCGATTTCTCATATGTTCCTTGCTTCACTATTGACGAGGCGCGAAATGCGTTTCGGGATGTCGTCCTCGGTCTTGAGTACTTGCATTATCAGGGGATTGTCCACCGTGACATTAAGCCGGCCAATCTGCTCTGGACTCGGGATCATCGCGTCAAGATCTCGGATTTCGGTGTGTCTTATTTTGGCAGGCCGATGCGAGATGGCGAACCTGACGATACCGTCTCCGAATCAGAAGCGCAAGACTTTGATGACGAGTACGAACTGTCCAAGACTGTCGGAACTCCTGCTTTCTTCGCTCCTGAATTGTGCTACACAGACCTCGACAACACACCTCCGCCCAAGGTCACTGAACAAATCGACATTTGGTCCCTTGGTGTAACGCTTTACTGTATGATATTTGCTCGAATTCCCTTCCTGGCAGAGGATGAGTTCCAAATGTTCCGGAAAATCGCAACCGAGAAGGTGTACATCCCCACCAGGCGGCTGAGACCTGTGGATCCATCCACGTCCCCGGACACGTCTTCGCTCTACAAGCGCGTCAACAGTGCTCCGTACCGTGACGACCACCAGCTCCTTTATGAGGATGTCGATGACAGCCTTCAACATCTCTTGGGACAGATGCTCATCAAGGACCCAAGGCAGCGGATAACACTTAGGGGAGTGAAGTACCACCCCTGGGTCCTTTCCAACCTACCCAACATTATGGGCTGGATCGACGACACGGATCCACAGAGGCAGACTCAAGGCAACAAGATCAAGGTCAACGAGAAGGAGGTGGATGACGCCGTTGTGCCTCTTACACTTCTAGAGCGGGCGAGGTCTACGCTGAAAAAGACACTCACCAAATTGACAAGCCGATCGGTGGAACGCGCCGAGGGTGCTTCTCGGCGGAGAGCCACTAGCAGTGCTGCCAGTTCAGCTGGCGATAGCCCTGCACACACGCCGATCATAAACCATATCCGCGACTCACGCAGGAAGAGCTTACGTGGGGACGGTGACTACTTTGCGACCGTGAGAGAACATTCACACACACATAGCGAGCATCCCTTGACCTACAGCGTGACGGCTAGTCCGGAAGAAGAACCACAGTTGGAGACGGAACCAACCTCGCAACAGCCGGGAGCGGTAGGCGGCCACCCATCACACCAACTTCCTGAGATTGCCACGAATTTTAATGGCAAAGAAGACATCACAGACCACCAGACCCCGACCTCGGCTCAAATGGAATTCCCGCGCCACAGGCACTCGCGGTCGATCTCGAATGCTGTGATAAGTTTGCACAACGACCTTGCTGAGATTCGCACGGCACCAACTACCCCTGCTGCTGATGACCACTCTGACACCTTGAGCGGCCTGCGCAGAAAGGGGAGAGACACAAAGCCTTCCGACGACTCGACAAGGTCTCAATCGGTCGACAGAGCCCTGGTGTTTTCCAGCCCCGACAAGAGAGCTGAAGCACGGGTTGGTGTGAGCTCTCTCGTTGCACCGGGAAGTCTCGAGCAGCCCAAGAAGCTTTCACAAATGCGGTCATTAGACCTCGGCCGGGCTTTTGGAGAAAGCCCGCTGCCCTCGCCTCAATTCTTCTCACCAAACACGATTTCCTCGTATCAGTATGGCCAACACAGGTCGGATCCAATGCTTGACAAGTTTCGAACTGTCGTCAAGATTGAAGAGAGGCCGATGACGGCCCACCGCGTCCAGGACATACCCGAGGGCAAGATACCACCCCCCAGGCTCTACGGTTCGTCGACTCCCGAGTCATTTGCTCGAGCACAGGAGACCCTGCGCCGACGTGAAAGGCTTGCGCACGAGGAGGAGGCACGGCGACAAGAGGCATTGCAACCCGCTGCCGAGCTTGATGCGGCCCGTGTTCCCTGTCCTCCCTCGCCGGATGATGACGACTCTGCTAGCAACGGGGCACCCTCCCGGGGGGAGACGTTTAGTACGACGTTTTCATCCAAATCCAACTCCCGCGAAGCTATTGCCACTCCGTGGACAAGCCCTAGCGTGGTAACCAGTCCAGTGAGCTATACTACGTCTGCGTCGCAGAAAGATCTAAGGGAGGCAGACGCGGAGCAAATTCTTGCATTCCAGTCTGACCCATCTCTACCGGCACTGCTCAGCGGGGCCTCATCGGTGTCTGCCGACCCGGAAGGGGACTTCTTGGGCAACCCAGGCGACCCGAAGACTGTCAGCCGGCGCGCTGTCCTCGAAACAACCGACTCGGTAACACCACCAGCGTTAGCAAAGGAACCTGTCACAGGATTTCCTCTAGAGGCGACAGAGCTCGATGAGCGCACCGAGACTGTCTTTGTTGATGACCATGAGCCCGGATCTGTGGGGAATTCCACGCCAACCCCACCCGCACGTCTTGACGACGATGACAGCGACAGTGATGATGGGATTCTCATGATGGGTCACCGATCTAAGAAGTCAACCGCTACCAAAGGCTCTCCCAATTCCATGGGCAAAATCGTCTTCGGGTCCAAGAGGCGCAACACTAATGCGTCCGTGGGCAGCACCGACACAGCCAAGAAGGTGTTTGCTCCTGGGGAGTGAAGACTCCCGTTGTACGACTACAACAAGAAGCTTTGCTATTCTACCACTCCACTCATTGAGGCTGTTTGGACCGGTCTCATTGAGCAGCAACAAACCGAATCACTGAGCACATGGACTCCACCACCACAAACTCCCCTCTCCAGATTCACATTTGGATTTCGAGTACTAAAGACTACGACGCGTCACAAAAAACTGCATCGGTCGGCTATCTGCTTCACAATTGTTACTACCAGCACGTACATACTTATCCTTTTATACGGCGGCTCCAAGATCACATCTCTTATTACTTGCATAGCGCCACCTCCCGGATGTGGGAACGAGTGGCCAGGTTCGGGGCGTTCACGATTGCCATTCCGGTTGGATCACTGTTACTTTTCAAGGCACAGTACCGACTCTCTCCTTGCCGCCTCTGAACGTGCAGGCGTCTCAACCTTCTCCCGATAAGGGAGAGGCGTGGGCCAGTCAACGAGAGAGCAGACAGGAAGAGCGGAAGTCGCCATGCGGACATAGCATTTCACGCAGCATTCACGCCACAGTTGAACTCCGTCATTGACGAAGTCTTGCAGGAGTAGTGTTCTATATATGTATAATTTTTTTCGTCCTTTGGGACGGGTTCAAATGGGAAAGACCTCGACAGGTATGCATGAGGAGCGGGTAGACACGAGACCAGGCCCCCGGTGTTTCGAGCGGTTTGGGGGATTTCTGCATTGTGGGAAATTGGGAAGGTTCGCTTGACGGTCATAGCAAGGCGCCGAGGGGGGTCCGATTGTCGTCTTCACGGAACACCAGAGATTTCCCTCGTCTTTCCGTACTTTTCAGCGCCGTCGGACAAACACGGGGTAGAGTCCCTGGAGCGGCGGGGTTGATGGACGGGCCCAGTACATATATATCTGTATGCCTGGTATTCATTATGACCATTGAGCGATGAGGGATCTGGGGGCAGAGGTCTAGGGTGGGGAGAAGCGAAACCCGGACAGGGTCGCCCACTAGGACAAGGGATCACATTATCAATAGCGGGTGCAGTGGGTGCAGCGGGTCAATGGGGGTTGTTTGCATGATGGGGGGAGAGTATGATAAGAATCTAATTGCGTTGGCCTAGGTCATACAAGTCTAATGGAACACAATGCGGACCAAAACCTCTTTACTATTCGGCATTTCGACGTGATATCCGCAAGTACATTCACTCATCATACGTGATCCCTCCCAACGATTCAAGGAAGTGTTCACGTGGCTGGCGTCCACCGGGACGGTTTGTCTCTACGAAGCTGCCTTCAGTCCTCTTTTCGCTCTAGGCAAGGCGCCATGTCGTCTCAGTACGCACGGAGTTCCTCAAATTGGCAAGGCAGAGATAGGCCAGAAGCCGCATAAGAAATGAGACGCAGAGGCGCGCAAGAAGAGTTTACTGAGTGAAAAGCTGTGGTATTTCGGGTATCTATCTCCCAAAGTTACCATTCATTCCTGTCAAGTGGCCCCTTTAGATGGCCGATATCTCCTCGATCGAGAGCACCATCATGACTTCCACAACTTTCGCGGCCGCGAACCACCCAGGCTACCATCTCTTTGCTTCCTAGAGACTCGTCCAACCCCCGACTTCACCAGTAGAATCTCGAGGCTTATGCGGCCGCTGGTCGTTGCTGTGCGATGTCTTCCACTATGGGGACGACCCAACCCGTTGGCCGGGACTCGTCTTCGAGACTGGGCTGTTCCCCTCTGCAAACTCGTCTCTCATGGCCCAGTCTTAACTTTTCTCCGGCCTCCGGGCTGAATAACAGCACGGTCACGAGGTCTGGCAGTGGTTGTTGTTTGCGTGTACATCCGCGATTGGGTCCATTCTCATGACTGAATCATGAAACCCGCGCGTGCTACCGGTATATGCTCATTGTTTAGTCGATACGATGGCCACCAGCACGACCAGGGCGGCCAGCACGAAGAAGACTAGTGCACCCGAGCCCAAGAAGCCCAGCAGGGCAACCAGGCTCCCCTCCCGCCGGGGGTTCTCGACGCTCGTCAGGATCCTGTCGAGCCTCTCGGCCATCTGGGTGTCCACGAACTGGCCGCGGACCCTCTCGTCGCCCTTACGGCCCATCTCGGCTAGCTGCTCCGGGCTCATCCCGTTCAGAACATTGTCCATAACCTCGGTCCAGGCGGCGGCGTCGGCCGGGTCCCTCAGCCAGCCCGTCTCGCCCTCGACGACCGTCTCCGTCGGCCCACCGGTGTTGGCCGCCAGCACGGGGGCGCCCGCCAGCATGGCCTCGAGAGGTACGATTCCAAAGTGCTCGTTCGAGGGGGTGTAGACGAGCAGCTTAGCCGACCTGAGGAGCTGCTGCTTGAGCGTATTTGTGACCGACAGCAGGAATATGACGTCGATCTCGGGCGGCACGGCCAAGGCGGTCTGTGCTGAGTGTACGGTCGCCTCGGTGAGTTTGAGAGACTTGGCGAGCTCGACGAGCTCCCTGTGATAGGAGACGTTTTCAGACACGCGGGAGTCGTATCCACCTAGGGTGTATACGTGTCAGTCAGGCGAACACGATGGATAGTGTAAGGCTAAGTCATAGAAGGGGACCAAAGAGATAGAAGAGGATGTCGTACCAGCAATGACGAGCTTGACGCCATTTCTCCTGTCTCGTGGCAGACCGGCGTATGCCCTGATAGCCAAGGCGATGTCCTTCTTGCGTTCATAGCGGTTGATGCTCAGAATGATGCCGCCGTGGTCCCATACCAGTCCTCCCTCCTTGGCCCCGCCCACGCTCTTTGCGGGCCTTATGTCGATACAGGGGTACACGACCTTGAGGTCCCTCCCCCTAGCCAGGCTCGGCCAGGTGCGTGAGACCACGCCCCTGGTGAACTTGCTGTTGACGGCGATCGCGTCGGCGAAGCTCATGCTGCACCTCTCGAGGGTGTCGAAGGGCAGGCGGTAGAGCTTCTTCAGCCACCTGTCGCGGCCCTGGACGAGGTGGAGGTCGGGGAAGTGACAGTAGAACAGGATGGGCGCCTTCGGCTGGAGGAACTGCAGGAGGGGCAGCCCCGCGCTGAGCTGGTCGACGAAGAAGGCATCGGGCCGCAGGGAGGCGAGCTCGCCATTGAGGCGGATCTGGACGAGGAGGTGCAGCTGCCGCGCGATGGCGCAGAAGATGCTAAGCTTGGAGAGGATTGAGGGTGGGAAGATGGTGTTGCCGCGCACGCGAACCTCGAGGGTTCCTTTTCAAGTTGGAGTCAGCAGCTGGTCACAAGGGAGAGTTGTGTGTCTGGACTGGGCTGGGTTGAATTGGGCTGGGGGACGGCGCGGGATGCGGGAGGAATCTATGTACCGTCTCTGGCCTCGTCAAAGCAGTGTTTGGGATCACAATGGCTTGTGAAGATGACAACCTTGTGGCCCCTGTTCTGCAGTCCCACAGCGGCGTCGACCACCAACCTCTCGGCACCGCCAATGCCAAGATCTGGATGGAAAAAGACAATAGTCTTCTTCGTCTTTCCCGTCGCTGTCGTCTCTGCCATCCTGCCGTGGAGCTGGCTCAGTTTGGCATTCCCGTGTGTTCTGAGCAGGAGAGGACATGTAAGTACATTCCAGCACTGTGACAGCTGTGAGCTTGCGACGCCGAGCCGGACATACGTATGTCATGGCACCACCCCCATCCCCCGGATGACTAAGCTTCTGATTCGCGCCTCAACCTCACGCTAGCAACAAACACATGTGCGACCACATACTGTAAAGTCAGCCAGCCAGCTCGAGCTAATTTCAAAAGGTCACCACAACACTACAGCAGCAGCAGCATTTCACCATCAACGCGACCTTTCTCTATGAACGCTGCCATTAAAGAGAGCGAGAAAAACCTAGATCTGCAAAAACCAACCTGGACCGAAGCTCCAGGGAGGGGTATCTCAAGTACCATTCCAGGAAGCCTCAACGTGAGGCCTCATTACCGCCCGCGCGAGTCCGCGGGCTTTGTTGCCCTCCGCATTACGTCCTGGCAAAGTGCCATCAGACAGACCATTCCAATCGTACATCCATCATGCCGTCTGGCAGAGGAAATCAGCATATTTCGTCATCATGTTCTTTTTTCCCCGCCAGCAAACTCCAAGATGTCCTTCATTTCATTTCAGTCGAATTTCCCCCCCATCCACTGCTCTAGTTCCGTTGCCTTTGTACGCCGTCTACCGAACCCTTTGTGGACGCTGAAGACGCTGACCGGGTGAACTGTGGGGTGAAATGTGAAGAGAGCGAGTGTCGAGAAAGTCGAGAAAGTCGAGAATTAATTCATGACGTGGCAACGTCAGAAAAGTGAGAAAGAGAGCCGAACACAAAATTAGGTTTTGCCAACTTCTCCTCCAATTTAGAGAAGCATGGCGGCGACACCGGCAGCAGCCAAGAAGCCGGCAGCCGGGGCAGCAGTCATCTGAGGCGCCTACGAGTCGGTCATGTTAGAACGAACAGGTGCGGTCCGGCACAGTAGGGAATGGGCCAACTTACAAAGCCTGCAGCAGAAGAGCTGGTTGCCTCGCCCGCAGCGCTAGAAGCGGCAGAGCCCGCGGCGTCAGTAGCGGAGCTGGCAGCACCAGACGCAGAGCTGGCCACGCTCGAGGCGGCACTGGAGGCAGACTCGCCAACGCTGGAGGCAGACTCAGAAGCCTCTGAAGCGGCACTGGAGGCGGAAGCACCTGCGCCACCGACTCCGAAGATAGTGGTAGCGGCAGAGGTGGTGATGGTCGAGTCGCCGGTGGTGATGGTGGTGGCGAAAGACGAAGTGGTGATGGCGCTCGAAGACTCGGTGGCGGAGCCGCTCTCAGTGGCAGAGCCAGAAGCTGAGCCAGTGGCAGAGCCAGTGGCAGAAGGGGTACCAGACTGTGGGTGTGTCAGATTGGAGACTTGCAGGTTCCGACGGAGAAAAGAACTTACGATGACAGTGGTAGGAATGTTGACACCAGCGGCTGTTTGTCACGAGAAATCAGTTTTCGGTCCAGCTGTGAAGTGCGGTATGCACAGGTGGGGCGCGGTGCATCACTTACATTGGCAATAGCTCACACCGTACGAAACGACAGCGTTGGCGACGTCGGAGCCACAAGCCTGCTGAGCGCAGTCGCGCAGACCGAAGCTGAAGTCGGCGTTCTTGCAAAGGCAGGAGGGGTCAGGCTGGCCATTGACAGGGGGGCAGCCCAGGTTGGCCTGCTCCTGGAGCATGTTCTGAATGCAGGTTTGCTGCGTGATGTTTTCAGTACGAGGTGCGTGACAAACTGAAAAGACAAAAGGGGGAGGACTTACGCCACACTGGGGGACGGAGTTGATGTCCTGGGCGTAAACGGCACCAAGGAGGGCGAGGACGGCGACAGACTTCATCTTGACTGTTGGTTTTTGGTGTTGGGTTGGTGGGTTGGAGGGTTGATAGTGGCTGCGAGATGAGATTGACGAATGTCGATGTGCGGCAGTAATACTGAAAGTGGTGAAGGCTGTTGGGATGAAAACTTGGGTCAACGCGTGTGAAGAGGCGCGATTGTGGTGTAAGTGGTGAAGGTAAACAGAGGGAGGAGGGCGATGGACGTTTGGGGGAAACTGAAGAGGCGGGCGTGGTCGAACTTAAAGACGGGGTCACAAGTGCGGACGAAGTGAGGTGGCTGGCTGGGGGAAGGTGCTATTTCGACAGTGCAGTGGTTCACAAACACAAAGAGCCAAGGCCAGGATGGGTGGATGGCAGATGGAAGGACAGGGTAGGCAAGGTACGCAAGGTGCTACAGTATGCAATCTGGGAGAGGGGCACGCACTTACTGGATCGACGGACGAGGCTTGCCAGGGTGCAAGGTCGAGGTGGGATAGCTTGATGGGATGGGTGACGGTCAAGAAGAAGAAGGCACGCAGGAGGGAAGGTACTGCAGGTACGCAGGCAGGCGGTTGGTTGTTGTTTCTACTGTAGTGGCTCCGTGCTACTGTGTGTGTGTGTGTGTTTATGTGAAGTGAGGTGAAGGCGGGCAGGGAAAAGGCGTCCTCGCGAGTTGCTGGCAGCTTGTCGTCAGGTCGTCACTACGCGCACACAGTCACTGCACCTTGCCTTGATACTACCCACGCTACCTCCTACAGCAACTCAGTTTCTGCCCAGCTCCACCTCCCAGCCCCGAGCAAACCAGCCCCAGGTACAAGCTCGGGTACCTGGAGACGGAAGGGCGTTGCCGCCCAATTGGCGTCATGGAGCTTGGATCGTGCGGTACCTGCTCTTGTCCCGGTGGGGCCTCCTTAGCCGGCGTGGGCATCCCTGCCTTGGCCTAGGTGTCATTGTTTCTTGCTGGGAAGCTGCAGCTCTGGCCCTGATCTTGACGATCTCCGCCCCATGATGCATGTCGGTCTCCCCACCTAGGTGGGCAAGGTGGGCCTCGCCCATATGGCCGCTGGGACATGCCCATTCCAGCTGCGCTTTCCAGAACCTTTCGAGGTCGCCTGGAAACCTCCGACGATCGACGTGGCCCACGCCGTTTCTCCGTGCCTACGACCCAGCATCTCCTGCTCTCCGGTCTGCATATTCTACGATAGCACGCAAAAAGGCGTAGTAGCGCGGTGCCAGGCCAAGGGCACGCGCAGCCCTTGACCTGTTCCAACTCCCGTGCCTGGGTGCACTGCTGTACGCGTTCAAGTCCGGCTCTCTTGACGTTCGAATTTGCACGTTACGCCTCTCGGGGCCCGCCCAGCCTGGAGCTGCCTCGACGTACTTCATAGTGTAGGGGACCACTGGTGTCGTCGGCTTTGTCAGGTGTGGGCCTGGGGCAGTCATCCTCCATTCTCGGTGTGGTGCACTGGGGACGTAACCGGCCCATGCACCAAGCCTTCCTTGGCCGGACAACCAAAGAATGGGGTCAGGAAGCAAATAAGAAGCGGTGTTTGCAATGACGGTGTCACTCGCCTGGCGGGACTGTGACCCACGACCCTCTCACAGGCCCGGGTACAAGCAATACGGCGATGACCTTGAAACCTGGAAGGCTACATGTAGGCAACACGAGAGCGGTCAGGACCGAAAGAATCAAGGACTCAGGGCTTCGAGCCGCAAGCCCAGCTGGGCTCCAGCACGCGTGCCCTCAAGCAGGCTTTTTCGAGTGGGCGCGTCCAGGGACATGTGCAATTACCGCCAGTTCTACCCCGTTAGTCCGTCCATCTCTCTGCTGCTACTGGCCCGCCCACCTTTGATCGGTGGTGCTACGTGGGAACGCTGTGGACTGGCCTGACTCCGGCAGGTACTCACCGATGGATCGATACAGTATGGATGCAACAGCCGAACCGACCAGAGGGGCCCGCTCTCTCGACAATATTAATTACAGGCCTGCAAAGTCTGTCGCTGGAATCTTCTGAGGTCTGGAGGCCCCCTCAGGTGCTAGTAGCAAGGTGCACCCATCGCGATAAATGCAAGTAGACGGCGAACCGGCAGCTCTAGCGTGCCCCGAAAGCAGGGAACACAAGCTCTCCAAGACCAGATGAGGTCAATTTTGAGTGTTTGTTGGTCGACCTGGGTGGCTGGTCCCGAGCGTCGGCCGTCCACCATTGGACAATGGCAAGCCTGGGCGGGGCCTTGGGCAAGCAGGGAAACCCCAGTCCAGACGAAGCATTGCACCGGCAGGGGCAGAGACATGCATCAGTGCGCGAGCATCATTGAGGGGAGGCCACCCGCAGAAGAGAACAGCACGACGCGCCACGTAGGGGGAAATCCGAGCCTGACTGACGTATGTTGGCATCATGGCTGTCGGCGGAGAGCCGATTCTTGCTGCATAACGACGCAAAACAAAGACTCCAGGCTCGACAACGGAGAAGCACCGATGGAAGAAGTCTGCGAACCCAGAGCGGCGTTCCGTGTGATGTCATAGGATCGAGAAATCCAGCGACACTAGATGCTACCTGGGTATCTAGGTACACGGGTACCTATTCCTCTGTGCTGTAATGTACGCACGAACGCACGCGAACCCGTGCGAGAAGCCAGCCGCTCCACTTGCTCGATTGGGTTCTCACCGTCGGGCCCATTGGCCGCCTGGGGATGGTTCTCCCCCAGCTTCTCCAGGCTTGTCGCTGATTACCACCGCCCAGAAACACCCGGCCGCCGTCTTGATACGTGTGTAACGTCCTTAATTTGCGGGCACCGCATGTCACCTCCAACCCATCTCACGACCTTGCCCCTTTCCGTCGTGCAGGTGTCATCCTGTTACTACCGCCTGGCACTCCTAGAGACCGCTTAGCACGCGCAGGACACTCGGTTTCGTCTGTGCTGTGTCTCGGCGGCATTATCACTATCAACTATCTGCCCGACTCTTTCGTTGTCGGCGTGACCACCGTGCGTATCCGCGTGCGGGTTAGCCCCGTCAATTTTGGGATTTGTGATGCGGTGCCTCGACTTGTGCCAGGCCATGAGATTGAGTTCGTCCCCTTCAACACCCTTTGTCTTCACGACCACCTCGACTGCACTACTTCTCATGGAGCCACCCCGACACCGCAATTGAGGCAAAAAGCCGGTGTCGGCCAAGCAATATCTCAGGCGTTTGAGGAAGATGGGAGGAAGCGACAGAGGAACACGCCCAGCCACAGCCACCAGCTCCCTGGCCGTTTCTTTGACCACAGCTCACGCCGAATCGCATTATCACCCTGGGAAAAAAGAACGTGCAGAGCACAGATCGTGGTCAGAACTTTCAGCCGTGACTTGCAGGCCACTAGCCCAGAAAGAGCGTGCCGCCGACTGCCATCCGCAGTCGGCATCAAGTTCTGAAATTTTCCCTAGCTGGCCCGCCCGGCAACAACCTTGGAACCGCTCTGTTGTGCTGCTGCCCCTGGCGTGCAGCAGCTTATCAGGCTTGAGTGCAACCACACCTTGGATCTACAAGCCTACAGACTTGGCCGTCGTGTGGCGCCAGCGTGGTCAGCCACTCGTCCCATTGGGCCATTTCCAAATGAGGCCTCAAACCGGACGGACGAGGCAAGCTGAGTCCTCGAGCACTTGCATCTGCTTGCATTGCCCACCGTCGGCAGTCATTTCCCGGAACGTCATTCTAGTCCAACCGCCACCGCGTCAACCAGACCAGGACAGCTGGTACGACGGCGCTCATCAAACGATTATTTCAAATGCCTTTGCTCGTCGTTGTCACGAGACAAAGCTCGGTCAAGAGACGTGCTCGTAAATCGCTATTGCACGCATTCGCAGATTAGTCTCGCTGGTTGAGCACAAAGGATAGTCTCGGCATCCTCAGAGCTCTCAGAAACGTGCAAAGCATTGTGCTCTCCCCGAAATCCTAGAGCAAGCACATTGCTGGCGTAGCTCTACTCGGTTATTGTCATGCCTCAGCAGGCCCAATGGGTCTATCAAATTAGCGTCGGCGCCAGGTCCCGCGAATTGATAGGCGCCAGTCCGAGTTCGTCTGTGATATCAGGCGCAAACTGGGCTCAAGGTTCAATTCACAATACTGGCCCACCACCGTCCAGGTCGACCGGCGAATCCGATCATTTGACTCGCCTCTAATTGAGCTCTGCACAAAGGAAGTCGAATAGGAGCCCTCGGTCGTCGACCCAGCAATGTTCTAGACTCGACAGCAATAAGTGGTGAGCTACCAAAGCCGATTGCTGTTGTCCAACCACGGCCAGACCGTAGAGAGTGTGCCGGCCTCCCTGGCACAAACGAGACGTGGGCTGGCCTGCTGTGGCGGCATAGAGAATGGCCTATCAATGCCTTCCTTCGCAAGCGGCAGGCCTCATTCTGGGATGTGGGATTCCCTCCAATAAGCCACGTCCAATCCATCCCATGCGATCTCCCACGAGGGGAAGATTTCATCTGGATGGGCGAGCTCGGCGTCCCGGCCACTCGGAATTTCAAAACACGTTTCTTGTTCATACATTTCACGCGGGTTTCCAACTCGGGAGACAGGCATCTTGTCCCGGGGCTCAGCGCAAGGAATAAATCACCGTTTGCCGCAGCATCCTCGAGGACTTATCAGTCAACCTCGCCATGGGCGTCAATTAAGCTTTTCATAGATAGGACGTAGGACCCGATGAGCCTCGGAGAGAGGTCATGTCTTGAGCCACAGGGAATACCGCCCTCCTGCGGTACCCCGAAAAGTCTGACTATGACTCGGTATCTTCCCGACGTATTCATTTGCGCTACGCTGCTCGTACGTGCCGTTGGACTTGGAGAAATCAAAGGGCCACATCGCAGTGGAACGACCGGGATGATATTACGGACACTCGCCCTCTGTATGCAGAAGCAGACAGAGGGGCAAAGTGAACAGCAAAAACAGGCACGGAGCAACTGGTTACTGATCCGTGGCAGTATGGACAGGACTGTCGGAAGGAGTCAGGCAAGTACAGCAGCAAAGTTGTTATCAGTAAAACACTTTATTCACACTTGAAAGAAGACTATGAACATCCCTGACCCGACTTCCAAAAAGAGAGTGGTATAACAAGACAAGAAAGAAAAGGGGGTTCGCATGTGGCACCTCAATGAAGAGATGAGCTTCCACACGCCTCACCATGACTGCAACCTTCCGTTGCTCGACTCGTACCTAGTGTTTGTGTTGCCGTTGCTGCTGTGCAACGAGACGCAGCTTCGCAATATTACCCAATTGTCTTGCAAGCGATTTATGTATGCCGCCGCCCCTTGCACCGTTGAAATGAGGAAACCACATGCCCGAATGAAACCAAAAGCAAAAACGACGCCCATCCTCATGACTTGCTGTCGTTAACATCAACTCGTACTCATTTCTTCCACCCGATGCTGGTTGATTGCTCTAACCACTGCACATCACGCAGGACTCGGGGTTGTCAATGCTGCCTGTGAGGTTGTTAGTCAATGCAGATTGAATTACACATTTTCGACCACTACTTACATTGCAGGACAGCTTGCGAGTAGATGTCATGCTCCCGGTCGGCGCTGTCGCCGTCCTTGTCCTCGGACTGGCCGTCAGGCTTCTTGCCGTCAAGAAGCTCCTCTTCCGCGGGCTTCTCGGCCGGCTCGATGGGCAGAGCCTTGGGGCTCTCGCCCTCCTCTTGATCGGCCTTGAACGGGACGGTCCTAGGCTTAGAGGGAGATGCCAAGATACGTGTCGCTGCCTCTTGGTCGACGGACGGAGTCGAAGGAGGCGGCGTGATGCTCGGCGTGGGGATTCCGTTAGATCTCACAGTCTTACCGCCGCTGACCGACTCCTTCTTCGCATACATGGGACGCACGAAGCTACTAGCTGAGGGCTGCCACATGCCCGCTGGAGGCGCACGCTTGCCCAGACCGCTGTGCTTAGCACCGGTCTGCTCCTGGATCTTGAGTGCCTCCTGGTCGACAGTGAACTGGATGGGTGCGGCAGCTGCCTGAGTGCGGAGGTAGTACATGCCGGTCTTGAGGCCGAGCTTCCAGCCGGCGAAGTGCATGCTGGTGATCTTGCCCATGGATGGCTCTCGCATGTGGATGTTGAGTGACTGAGACTGGTCAATGAAGGCACCGCGGTCAGCAGCCATCTGCACAATTGTCCTCTGAGAGATCTCCCAGACGGTCTTGTACAGAGCCTTGATATCAGCCGGGATGCTGGGAATGTTTTGGATGGAACCATCCTCGGCGATGATACGGTTCTTCATGGCCTCAGACCACAAGCCGAGCTCTGTCAGGTCCCTGAGAAGCCAAGGGTTGACAACCTGGAACTCGCCAGCGAGCACACGTCGCTGGTAGATGTTCGAGGTGTATGGCTCGAAGCACTCGTTGTTGCCCAGGATCTGTGAGGTGGATGCAGTCGGCATTGGCGCCAGCAATAAGCTGTTGCGGACACCGGTCTCCTTGATCTTGTCCTTGAGGGCCTCCCAGTCCCAGAGGTCAGATGGCTTGACATTCCACATGTCAAATTGGAGGATGCCCTGTGAGACGGGGCTGCCCTCGTATGTCTTGTACGGGCCTTCCACCTTGGCAATATCGCTTGATGCGGTAAGAGCAGCATGGTAGATGGTCTCGAAGATCTGCTGGTTCAGCTCACGGGCCTCGGGGGAGTCGAAAGGCATGCGAAGAGCCAGGAATGCATCAGCAAGACCCTGGACACCGACGCCAATAGGTCGGTGTCGCATGTTGCTGTTGTAGGCCTCCTTGACCGGATAGTGGTTGACATCGATGATCTTGTTCAGATTGCGAACGACCACCTGCGTGACCTCATGCAACTGTTGGAAGTTGTAGCAGTTGTTGTCATAATCGACGTATGCTGGCAGAGCAATGGAGGCCAGGTTGCAGACGGCGACCTCGTCTGGGGCAGAGTACTCGATGATCTCAGTGCAAAGGTTGGAGCTGCGGATGGTACCCAGGTTCTTCTGGTTGCTCTTACGGTTTGCGTGATCTTTGTACAGCATGAAGGGGTTGCCAGTCTCGGTCTGAGCCTCGAGGATGGCGTACCACAGCTTCTGGGCCTTCATGGTCTTGCGACCGCGGCCTTCCTTCTCGTACTTCTCGTATAGAGCCTCAAACTCCTCACCGTAGCAGTCGGCGAGGCCAGGGCACTCATTGGGGCACATGAGGGTCCAATCACCGTTCTTCTCGACCCGCTTCATGAAAAGGTCGGGGATCCAGAGAGCAAGGAAAAGATCACGGGCTCGGATCTCCTCCTTGCCGTGGTTCTTCCGCAGGTCAAGGAACTCGAAGACATCAGCGTGCCATGGCTCAAGGTAGATAGCGAAGGCACCGGGACGCTTGTTACCACCCTGGTCGACATAACGGGCCGTGTTGTTGAACACCCGCAGCATGGGAGTGATGCCGTTGGAAGTACCATTAGTGCCAGCGATATATGAGCCGGTGGCACGGATGCGGTGCACGTTCAGACCGATGCCTCCCGCCATCTTGGAGATCATGGCACAGGTCTTGAGGGTGTCGTAGATGCCCTCAATGCTGTCCTCCTTCATGTCGACGAGGAAGCACGATGACAGCTGTGGCTGGGGAGTGCCAGCATTGAATAATGTGGGCGAGGCATGGGTGAAGAACTTGTTTGACATCAGGTTGTAGGTCTCGATGACTCTCTCGACATCGTCACCCCAGATGCCGACAGCAACACGCATGATCATGTGCTGTGGCCGCTCGACAACTTTACCGTCGAGCTTGAGCAGGTACGAGCGCTCGAGGGTCTTGAAGCCGAAGTATTGGTAGCCGAAGTCGCGGTCATATACAATGGCCGAGTCGAACTCCTCCTTGTGACGCATGACACAGTCGTATGTCTCTTGGGAGATCATGGGCGACGGTGTACGGTTTCTTGGGTTGACATAGTGGTAGAGATCGCTGACTACGGAGGACCATTGCTTCTTGGTCTGCTTGTGCAGGTTGGAGACTGCGATGCGCGCAGCGAGGATGGCATAGTCGGGGTGGGTAACAGTCATGTACGCGGCAGTCTCGGCGGCCTGGGTTCAAATGGAAATCAGCACATGGACGTGTGAGGGAAGCGGGTAGGGGTGGCAAGGGCACTGACAAGATCGTCCAGCTGGATGGTGGTGACACCTCCGTAGACACCACTGATGACCTTCTGCGTGATCTGGACAGGGTCGACATGGTTCATGTCAAGACCATAGCACAGTCGCGAGACACGCGCCGTGATCTTGTCGAATTGGACGCGCTCCTGGCGTCCATCTGGTCGAATATTAGTGTCCGGTAGTGGTGGGCATGGGTAGGCCAGGACATCTTACCTCGCTTCCTTACAAACATCGCGTCGATATGTTGTGAGGACTGCTTGAGAGGGGTACGGAAATGGAGAGGGGCAGGCGTTCCGCAGTGGCGGCCTGCAGGTCCGGCGAGATGGAGAAGATACCGAAGACACCGGGAAGTTTACTTTGTGCAGCAAAGGCAATTGCGAGTGGTCCTATGCCCCGGTAAACTGAAAAGCAGAGGGCAAGTCGGGGTTCAGTGGGTGGATGTTGTGGAAGTGAAGATGGGAGAGGGAGTAAAGCACCGCGGTTCCGGGAAAGTTTTAAGTAGTCGTGCTCCGGAGAGAGAGCGCGTGTTGCTAACAAGCCCAGCAAAAACGCGTCTTGTTGTGGGCGGGCTGGAAGGAGACGCGCAGAGGCTCGTGCTGCCCCTGTCACCACATGCAGCACTTCCTAGGTACCTGGGAAACTGAGCATGCGGGCAGACATGGCCTAGAGTACTGAGACAGATGCCTTGCCCATGTACAGTAAGCATGTGCAGTGCTCCAGTATTGCTGTATGCAGCAAGATCTGATAAGTGCAGGGGCCAGCCGTCAGCCCGACCGGCCGGACCACTTTACGCGCCTAGCAGCTCACCCGCGGTTCTGACGTGTTTTGATGATAGTGTCCTGCTACGGGGCATCACTCACACATCACGATGCCTCCAGCACCCCAGCGGCACGGTTGCTGTGGCTTGCCCGAGTGTGAGTCAACACCAGGTCTGTTGCCTGTTGCTGGAGTATCTTATTTGAACTCGGTCACAGATGGGCTGCTTGTGTTTAGGAATGACCGTGAACATACTCACGTCCTTTTCCATAAGAGCCAGACTCCGCTCAGTCCGAACCAGCATTCTCACCACAGTCACAATCACAAGCAGACCAACAGCACACTTCTCTGTGCGTGCATCCTCCAGGATGGCATCTCAATCTCAATCTCCGACTCAACCCCCGCCAATAGCCGCCGAGAACGGAGCTCCAAACGTCACTGCAGCCTCAGCCTACCGGCCAAGATACATAGATGTACGTTTCCCCCCTTGAACCCCCTGGCCGTCTGCAGTGCATGCGCGTCGAAGATCCTGACCGGCTCCAGATCGGAATCAACCTCGCCGATCCCATATTCCGGGGCGTTTACAACGGCAAGCAAAGGCACGATGACGACCTCAGCGGCCTGGTAGACCGAGCCAGGCAGGTCGGCTGCACCAAACTCATCGTCACGGGGTCCAGCTTTAAGACCTCGAGAGACGCCCTCGCGCTCGCCAAGGACTACCCAGGCACCGTCTACAGCACCGCAGGGATCCACCCGTGCTCCTCCTCGATATTCGACCAGGCGCACCCATACTCCCACGAGGAGGACGGCGACGGCGAGCACACGCCCGCCTGCGGCCCGGACCCGGACAAGCCCATCCTGGACGAAGACCTCGCCGTCGACCACGAGAAGACCGAGACCATCATCTCAGACCTCCGGCGCCTGGTCGAGGACGCCCGGGCCCCGGGGCCGCAGCAGCAGCTCGTCGCCTTCGGCGAGTTCGGCCTGGACTACGACCGGCTGCACTACTGCGCGAGGTCGCTGCAGCTGCACTCGTTCCAGGCCCAGCTCTCGCTGGCCGCCTCGCTGAGCCCGCAGCTCCCGCTATTCCTCCACAGCCGCGCGGCGCATGGCGACTTCGTCGCGTGCCTTAAGGTCGCGTTCGGCGAGAGGCTGGAGAGGCTGGACAAAGGCGGCGTGGTGCACAGCTTCACGGGCACCATAGAGGAGATGAGCGAGCTGATGGACTTGGGCCTCTACATCGGCCTGAACGGGTGTAGCTTCAAGACCGCGGAGAACTGTGAGGTTGTCCGCGCCGTCCGGCTGGACAGGCTGATGATCGAGACGGACGGGCCGTGGTGTGAGGTGCGGCCGAGCCACGAGGGGTGGAAATACCTTGTTGAGATAGACAAGAAGGAGATGGCCGCGGCTGAGGCACCAGCGCCGGCCCTTCCTCCCGCGGAGAACGGGGAGGCGGCGCCCCCAGCGGTAAAGCAGCCGCCCAAGAAGCAGCAGTCAACCAAAAAGCCACAGAAAAAGGAGTCAGAGGTCATTGAGAGGTTCAAGACGGTCAAGAAGGAGAAGTGGGTCGAGGGTGCGATGGTCAAGGGCCGCAACGAACCTTGCATGATAGAGAGGGTGGCCAAAGTTGTGGCCGGCATCAAGGAAGTCTCGGTCGAGGAGGTATGCGAAGCTGCATGGCGAAATACGGTCAAGGTGTTCGATATAGAAGAATCGTAGAACAGGGGACGATGAGCGAGCATAGAATGTGGCAGATAGACGTGGCCACAAATGGTGTAGCTATGTCAATACGCACTAGACTAGAGTCGTAAGTCTGCTGATTTATCGTAGACTACACTCATGACACATAATCAATCGACCGTCGCGGTATTATCGCAGCAGCCATCACATACCCGAGCCTCTGTGGCCCCTGATTCTGCCATGCCGTACAGCACCGATGGTCACACCTTCCTCGCCTGTCAGCCACCCCGGCATCTTTTCCCCATCGATGATACCAGCCTCGACGAGCTGTCGCACCCCAGCAAACACGTGTGGCCCATGGAAAGTCAGTTTGACACTCGGACGCCACGTTTCGTCGTCGCCGTCAAGGTCAGCACTACCTCCGCCTTCGTCGTCCTGCTCGCGAGCCCGGTTAAACGCCACGTCCATCGTACTTCTGCGGACAGAATTGTCGTTGGGACGGCTTTGTGGAGAATCTGATTCCCCTCCAGGGGCTTCCCCGTCATCGTGCATAGGATCTGTTTTCACATGGAACGGGTCGTCGATCACAATGTCGACCCTTTCTACGCCCCTGCCATCGTCAATTCTTGCCGAATCGCCAAATCTCGCCCGTGCAACCAGCCTCGCGCGCTTGACCCTGCGCTCATGCTGTTCTGTATCGGGAGAAACAGCTCGATTTTTAGATGCTTGCCCATGCTCCGACTTCTTCGTAGAGCCACTGTCATCCTCCTCGCTGAGCGGCGGCGAGGGGAGCAGTGTTCCCAAGGGTGACTCTTTCTTCTTCTCGTCCGCGTAAATACTCCAGCCACCACCAGCCGAGTTCGTCCTGCCTGGTCCTCGTCTGTGCAGCAGCTCTTGGATATGTCTTGTGCTCAAGGCCGTGGGCTTTAGTGTATATCTCTGCCTGGGCCGCGACAACGCCTTGGGTATTCCTTCAATGACGAGGGTGTGCAGACTCTTCGTCTCACTGCTGGCAGCGGGACCGATGCTCTGTGGCTTGCTGATATATATGCATGGGCTGCCGTCAGGGAAAGCCACGTATATTGTCCGGCTGGCGTCACCATCAGAAGCCGATGTCGCTAGCTTAGTATTGTACGGCGAATCGAGGATGAAGATGCGCAGTAGGAGGAGGGCCATATCCTTAGGGCGGTCAAAACTGTAGTGCACCTTCACATCGGGTAGCACCTGGGCTTGAAGGTTCTGCAGGAACGTAGACGGGTGGAATCGCGGCACAGCCAGGGACGTGGTGTCGATTTTCGGCGGACCATCATCTTCTGCAGCCTGTTGGGGCGTGGGTGTCTTTAGAGGAATGACTTGGTATGCACTCCATTTTTGGGAAGTTGAGTTCTGGTAGAGGTGTTGCAGGTCCGCCATTGAGACTTGGTAAAGAGTCAGGCCATGGCGCCAGTCGCCTTCTACTATGCGATCGACGACTTCGCGCTTCGAGCCTTTGCGGGTTTGCATGTCGGAGTAGAGGTCTCGAAGTTCGCCGATGGAGGACACCGGGGGATAGAGGTCGGCGGGATCATCATCGTCATCATCAGTGCGGAGGAAGGGCGCACAGATGGCGGCATTGTTGTCGTCGAGCCAGTCAAGCACGAGGGCGAGCAGAGACGGCCGGTTCAACCGGTTGAGATGCTTCAAGACCGTAGAGCTGGAAGCGTCGAGTCGCAAGGTTGAAGGGAGGCGGGCTGTGGTGGGGACAGAGATTCGCGCCATTTCTTGTCGAGAAAAGAGCCCACATGGAGCATCACCGCAAGGCTGGTGATAAAGGCATTAGATGCGGCCGACCCACGTCATACGACGATGCGATGGTTGATGGATGGCCTGTAGGACGAGACGCGTCGTGGGGTCTCTGGGTGACGCGAACCCTGGGTGCCAAGGCCAAGGTTCAGTCAGCCTGCAGCCGGAATGATGAATTCCGCCCCCCCTGGTAAAGACGATGTGATGATTCTTCTAGAGTTGGTTAGCGCTTCCACTAGTCCCCCCGCCTCTAAATAACATCTCAAAAACCTCTTAAAGACTCCCAATTCAATTTACTCTCCCAGGGCTTATAATTATAAATTAAGAAAGGGCCGGCTGGGGCGAGGACGGACGGTGCTGGTAGGCACCGCCGAGCACCACTTGAGGCCCAACCCGGTACTCTTTATGTTCCTTAAAATGAGCGAGATGTGTTTTTTTAAAGTGGCTCTGGGGCTCTGAAATGCCAAGATTAAAGAGTGGGACCACTATGCCGTTCCTGAAAAAATCATCACATCGTCTTTACCAGGGGGGGCGGAATTCATCATTCCGGCCTGCAGCACCGACGCCTAGTCTATTCTGGATTCACAGCAGATGCTCGCAGGGCTTATCTAAGCGAATGCAGGACCGAAACCTTGATAACGATCCGGCTTGGCATTTGCATTTCTTAGCTGTCACCGCACGCATACGCATAGAGATAAGAATAGGAAGCAGAAGACTTGATTTATCAGCAATGGCGGGGCTGCCCGCACATTTTTATACTGTCCATACTGCAGTCAAGCTGGCTGTACATGGTGCTGGGAATTTTCCTAGGTACATACAGTACTGTGTTCGGTTGCAGATTGGCTACATCCAGGCCGCCTACGTGCCCTGGGATGTAACAATGGAAACTTGGCTGCGCTCAAGATGCTGCATCGACTCAGCACGGGGACGGAAGGCTGCTTGTGCCATGTGCAACGTGGGGCAGGGATGTCAACAAAAGGGCGGTATTATGAGCATTGTCAGGGCCGACAGGCCGTCAGCCTGGTTGCTGATTAATGATCATTGCTTAGTATAGTGTAGAGTGTAAGTCAACGGCTGATAGTGAGCATAGGGAGTGGTTGGTGCGGCATTGCAAGGCTTGTGTCAAGGGGTTCTGCAATAAGAGGGTTGTATTTGGTTTCTGGTTATGGTTCTGTCTAAGTTTATGCCAAAGGGCTAAGGGGCCGAGGACTACCTATTAATGCCCATAAGGGATCTATATAATGCTCCTTCCTCACAATCTACCCCCTTTAAAAAATAGCGGCGCCCTTATAGCTAATAAATAATTCCAAAAGGTACATTTAATAAATTAATTATCTTATATTTCATCTTTTAAGCAAAATATTAAGCCTAAATTATCTTTATCTTCCTTATAATTTCCATTTCTATCTTTTAAAGCATTAAGATTATTTTAAGGTTTATTTTATAATTCATTATATTTCTTATAATTAGCTACTTTTATATCTTTACTTAATTTAAAGTTATTTATAAAAAGTTTTAACTTAAGAATATATTTATTATTAAGTAATTTAATAATGATATTTATAATATTTTAAATAATAAGAAAGGCATTAAATTTATTTATAATTATTTTAATAAATAGGGTATAATAGCTGCCTTTTAAGGTATTAATTTATTTATCCTTTTTAATTAATTAATCTTTTAAGCTAATAATGTATATAATGCTAAAATTAAGTTACATTTAAAGTAAGTTCCGCTAAGTATTTAATTTAATGTTTTTTAATTATAATTTTATAATTTAAGCTTGCTATTTATTAACTTTAATAGCAAATTTAACGTTTTCTATCTTATATTGCTTATACTTTTGCTATTTTATTAAAGGCAGGGGTGCTATTAATAAGGAATATAAATAAGTATTAGCGTATTTTATTATAAATAAGGAAGGTAGCATAAATTAATAGGTTATTGCATTATTAATAAGAGATATAATAGGTTACAAGGATATATTAAACTTTATCTTCTTTAGGTTACATTATAAACTCACTATAAGCATTATATTAAATTTTTTTTAATTAATTTTCTTTAACGAATTATATTCTCTAATTTAGGACGATATAATAAAGACATTAAAATCGCTATTAAAGAAGCAATTACTAAGGAAAGGTAGTTTTTTAAGCAAGTTTTTTTTAATTTTATTACGTATAAATTTAGCAGCTTTAATATTTTCATTAAAATTGCTTTTACCTAAGGATCCTTTAAATTTAAATTAAGATTTAGCTTAAAAAGAAAAAGTATTATAATTTATTATATTAAATAAGTATTGCAAAGAATATAGCAAAGTTAAAGCTTTTTTAATTAATTAATTTATCTTTACATTTATATAAAAAAAATATTAACTAAATTTTCTATTAACAATATCTTACAGTTTATTATAAATATATATTTACTATTTATATTTCTTCTTTTTATACCTTTTAATAAATTGCAAAAGCTTTTTATTATATTCCTACTTTTATATTAAGTAAATAAGGATAAGGAAATCCATAGCTTTATTAAGTTTATTAATTTTAACCCTATTAAAATTAAGAATCATTTATAATATAATATGCAAGTTTCTTACGGTAGTTATTAAGCTAACTTAATTATTTTAACGCATAATATCATTAATGTTTTTAATCCAGAGCTTTAAATTTTAAAAAAGATCCACGGCTTAGCGCTTTACTTTAAATTTATACCGTTTAAGTTTATTTTTAAATAGCTTTCTGCTCTTATCTCTTTCCATTATTATTATTAACGATAAGCTTAAATTATAAGGCTATCTTAAATATATCTTTTATTAAATAAAAATAAATAGAAAAATAAAAGGGAAGAAGAAGTTTATAATTCCTAAGAGAAAACTAAAATTATGCTTTAAGTAATGCTATATTCATCCCATTTTTTTATCCAAAGTTTTTAAGCAAATATTATTATAAGTTACTATGGTAATTATTAATGGTAATTATTAATAGTAATTATTAATAATAATTACTATATTAAGTTTATAATAAATAATTATTTACAAGCAAATTCATTAAGCAACGATTATACATTAAGTCCTAGTTGCAACAAAATCATTCATTCTTAAAATTCAAGTCCCAATTTAACATATTTAATAAGATATTTTATATCCTTTAATTTTAAATATTATTAGTTAATTATGCGCTTTACGTAATCTTTAATTTAAATAAGTTTAATCCAAGATATATTTTAATTAAATAAATCCAGAAAGTATGGCTTAAGGTAATTAATGAAAATAACATTATGCTTTAACTTTTATATGCATAGAAAGTTAAGTTAATATGCAAAACAACCAATCCTTTCCATAACTTTAAAAGGGCCCGTATATTATAATCCATATTTACAACTAATATTTTATGGAATTTTATATCCTTTATATAATTAAAGTAATACCCATGCTTTAACTTTAAAAAATTATATAAAATATTATTTATTAAAGTATGCTTTTATTATTATTATTATAAGTATCAAGGCATTATATATATAAATACAGCTTTAAGGAAGGTTTAGTAATTAATAAGGCACTTAATTTATAATAATATTTAAAATATTATTTAAGATAAAGCCTTTAACGATTTTGTTTAAAAAAGTTTTAATTGCTTAAAATTTATTATTATAATATTTAAATTATATTTATAATAAAGTATTTAATTATTTTCGTAAATTATTAAGGCTGTAAATAAAATAGCAAAGCATAAATTTAATAATTTATATCATCCTTTTTAATTAGCCATTAATTTATAAATAATATATAATTATATAAAGCAGCTTTATTTTAAATAATTTCTATATTAATAATTAAATGCTTAATAAGAATTTAAAGTCTTAATTTAAAAGAATGATTTTTAAATAGCCTTAATTATTTTAAAGTAAGTATTATAGCAAAGAAAAGGCTTATTTTATGGCTTTTTATATTAATTTTCTAAGCATTAATAATAAATTCTTTAAGAATTTATAAATTATTAAAAAGATATAATTATAGCCTTTTATTAAAAAATGTTTAAAGATAAAGTTTATTATAATCTAATAATATAAATATAGTAAGCTAAGCAGCAATTATAAGCTTTTATAGGCTTTATATCTTTTAATATTAAAGACTTAGCAATTAAGGTAATAGTAAGTAAATTTACATAGCTTAAAATGCAATCTTTTAATATAAAAGGGCTGGAAAAATTTACTAAGTTAAGCATAATTATAATAGCTACTTACATAAGTAAGTTTTAAAATTTTAATTATATATAATTAAGGAATGTAAAAACAAGGAGTTTTATCTTTATTTAATATTTTTTAAATAAGGTTAAAATAAATTTTAAATAAAAGGATGGCTTTATTCTTATAAAAAGCATCATTTTACTATATTATATTTAAAATTCTTGCCTATTAAAGGTTTATTTAATAGCTATCTTAAAGGCGCTTATAAAAGTTAAAAGATATTTTAATATATATATTTCTATTTTATAAATTTAATTTCAAAGGTATTGTAAGGATTACTAAGCGCATTTCTAAGAAAAACAATCAATATTTATTTTAATTATCTAGGAAAATATTTAATTCATTATTTTTAATTAGCGGTAATATATTTAATAATAATATATATAATAATGCATTTAGCATAATATTTTTTCTTTTTAATTTATATAGTAAATTGATTTTAAAGGCATTAATATATTTAAGGGCATGAATTAATTTTTTATTATTTATTAAGGCTGCAATAAAGTTAATAATATTAAGTTATTTAAAAAGGATAAGGATTGCTAAATAGTTTATATAAATTATAAAATAATACTTAATAATATTAATTTAATATTAATATTTTTAAGTACTTATATATAGCTAAGAAGTTTCATTTCCATAGCTTAATATTAGCATTTTGCGAAAAATAAAGTGCAGCTAAGGTATATAATTATTTTAACTAAAGTTTACAATAAGTATATAATAAT